TAGGACTATTCTAAATGGATTGCTTTTTGGATTACTCTAAATTTTTGGAATGCCTTATACTATGGAACTTGACAAAAGTAGTGTTAATTAACTGCGAGTATTACGTTTCGATGGGGCGATTTAAACTTTCATTCAATCAGACCAAAACCCTTCTGAAAAATTTCAAACTACCAGAACAAAGAACAATTTGTCGATCAAGGTGAACCCAGGACAGAGGTAGACAAAATTCCGTCAAGAAAGAGTGAGAGAGAGAATGTGTGTTGTGTGCGTGTGCGTGTCTTTTACGTTATATCAAGGAGTCTGTGGGATATTTATAAAGATTTTAAACGAGATCTGAATTCTATTGATTTGCTGTGGCTGTTTAAAATTGAGGTACGAGCTAACATGATTAAAATACCCCCCTGGATGGAAGGATCCTCTGACTCGTGCTCTCTGTGTAACGCCAGGGGTCACAGTTTATGTTTTTCACTTCCTCCCTGAATGCTCTATATTAAAAGAAATGCGTCTGCTCCAGCTAAGCCGAAGTATCCTAGACGTGAATTAATCATCGAGCAACCTCTCAACCGATCCCATAAAATACTGAGGCATTGCAAGAAAGTTTCGAGTTGGTTTATAAAATTGAATTTAAAAGAGGCAATGTTATTTCAATTATTAGCTTTCAGTTCTAAGTTATATGTTCTTTAATTTCTATTATTTTGTTAATGTAATCATTGACCTCCGACCGACGGAAATTTCCATATCATACAGTGCTTGTATAGTTATCGTATTATTATTATTATTATGTTACTGGGTAGTCCTAATAAGGTTTCTACTTCTGAGTGGATACTATCATGGGTATCGAGTCTAATAACAAGCCTGAAGTTAATGAACTATAAGCCATAAATGTGAAGAGTGCAAAGACCTTCCTAATGGACCCAGTACAAAAGGCCTTTTACCTACCTCAACAATAAATACCACAAATATTCTTGATAACAAAAAAAAATCTAGGTCTATTAGTAGTATAATTATGCAAGAAATTATTTAAATTTATTTAAGAAAGCAAGTCTAGAGGAATGGAACTTGACAAAAATAGTGTTAATTAACTTCAAATTGCTACTTTTTATATGTATGAGGGGATTTAAGTTTTCATTCGAGTTTAACAGTTTTAAACGCGCGTTTAACATTTAGTGCATATTTGTAATTAATTTTGTAAAATATTTGAGAGAGGGACGGAACAACATAGGTGGATAAAATATAACAGAAATTATAATGTGGTTTTCTCTTTACAATTTGATTATCGTGCTAAGAAATTTTATTTTGGTGTTAAACCTGAATTTTTTTTTTTTTTTTGCACGGATTAGGTTCTTCTTTTTACTTTATCAACCAGAATTCGTCTGACATTTTTGTTTCTAGTGTTAAAAGCTACATTTAACCAGAACATTTCTTCTGAACACAATTATCTACAAAATTCGACGGGTCGGTTATCATAATTTTATTATATAACCTTTTTATATTTTATTTTCACGGTCTGAACACCGCAGACAAACGATGGCCAAGATTGGAGGAAAGCTAGCTGCCAAGGTGAAGACCTATTAAAAACAGTAGCATTTTAAGTAAGATATTTTTTCCCATAATATTTATGTTGATGTATATTAATTCAAAACTCGTTTATTCTATTTAAAGATGATTAGTACATTACTCGGATTAAAATTATCCTTCCCCCCTTTTTCTATTTATTTTTAACTTTATTTCATATGTTTTCCACTCGGTATTTAAATACAGGAAAATAATTTTTCAAATTAGCAGAGAAACTTTATTTTTGCTTATATTTACTGTTTAATGCAGCAATAATTATTTTAAAAATAAAATGTTTTAGATAAATTAAAAATAAAACATTCCTAAAGCTGCATATAATTCAAACTATGAGGTTCATTTTAAAATACGAGCCAGTAGGGTTTAAAACTGTTTACTACACGAACGTAGGTGGATCGAGCATTTAATGTGATTCATGAAATAACCGAACCTGAGGGCTGCAGTTTGCCAAATTTTCATCCACCACCTCCAATAGGTTCGTAACGAAGACTGTCACCCGTCTGACCCCTTAGTATTTCTCTTTTAAAGAAAAATGTTGACCTTTAGTACTTCAGTTTTGGAATCTTCTCCCCACCAGGGCACGTACCAAAATAGCGAGACAGTTTTCCTTCAGTCTCTTGTCGAGCGTAATGTTTCTACCACTAGCACTCGTCGTTGTTGTATGGCTTGTAATCATCTTTCTTCTCCTAAGGTACGGTTTCTTAACATTCATTTTCGATTATAGACGAAATAATCTATTAGATTCCTTTTAAACGTTTAACAATAAATTGTCAATAAAGCAATTTGTTATATGACAACATTGAGTTAAGTAATAAAAACAGTTTGTTGATAACACCACTCATAAGATACGGGCAAAGGAACAATATTAATGCAATGTATGAAGTTTTTAACACTACCATTGAATAAAGTAAGAAATCTAATTATCTGAAGCTTATATTGTTTTTAAAGCTGAGGAACTTAGCTGTGACTTTCAGGCCGAAATTGGCTCGTTATTAGTTTAGGCGTCTAGTCGGTACTTTGAAGAAATTTCATTTTCTATCTTTTAATTTTTTGTGATGCCTGACTTACCGGAAATGTAATTTAACTCGTTATATTTTTTAATTAGTCGCTGTTCTAAGCTGTAAAATCATCAGTGGATACAACGCATAGTAACATGTTGAATAGATAGAATTAACTTAACTGGGTCCGTCCATTCTCGCTGGTTTACGTTTTACGCGAGGAGTTCCTCCACTGAAGGCGTGCGACTAACGCATATGAGTGAAACGTGAACAGCGAGAGTAGGCTAACCCAGTTCAGCCGTCACATGCTTCTACATTCATAAATTGGAGACAAAGTCCTTTCTTTAGGACTAAAAAATTAGACTAAATTATTAAACCCATTTTGGATTGCTTCATCTTTGTAGTATTGTCAATTTTACGGTTCAGTCAGGGAATTACTTTTGGCTTTCACATTACAAAGTAAATATTTATGTCATTGTCACAGAAATAAAGGTGCAGTCCACTGACTTTAAAATTTATAGTTTTAGTCTTGAGATAACACGTAGGTGTATAAATTTGATATATTTCCAGTAAATAACAAACATATAAATGTTTAGGCAAGTATGCTAAAGTCAGTTTGGCCAAGCTGATGTTGGTCGGCTGTTCGAGTGATGTGGCTGGATCCCGAAATTGAATTATCATAGGATATCTTCAATATTAGTTTCTTTTGCAAATTCTAAGGTGTTCAGATCGTGATATAAGTTTACATTCCAAGCGGCTCCGTGATGAGGCGAAGAACACGAGGAGTTACCTGATTCTTGTAGGGGTCATAGCTGCAGCTGCTCGGGGAGCCTGCAGATGTCCTTATTTCCCGGATGTACGTAAATTAGACGTTTGGTTTTCAATATTAGAGTGGTGATTTGTCTTGGGTGAAGTGCGTCAAATATTAACTATTAACCTATGACGGTAGTTGACATACTCGTTGAATTGGCGTTTCTGTTATTCTTTGTTAAGTATATTTTATTCGTCTTATAATGGTGTTGATTTGGAAACATTACTGCGAATTGGGTGCTCTCTTGAGTCCGTACCTAAATACCTCGTCCTACAGGCCAAATTAAATTGTGCACAGCAGTTTGATTTTGACTTGTTTTAAGCGTTTATTGGAACGCATAGGCATTTCCTGTACTTTCAGAGCTAGCATTTATCACGTATAGATCCTTGTGATATTCTTTCATATTTTAGTACTTTTGAAGAGTACCCTTCGTCCGCAACACCCTGTGAGTATTGAACCAAAAGCCCTTCAGTACTGGGATAATTACTTCTAATGAAAGGCTCTGATAATTCCGGTCTGTCTATTCTAATTGGAAGTGTCTGGCGGGCGCGTTTCGTCATTTTACAATCTAATGGTTGGCCTGAGTGTTATTTTTATCAGCCGTGTCTTTTTCATCGACAATAAGTCTATAGACTCTTCACTAAAATGTTTCACAATATGCTCAGAATTGCATCGGAGTTGATCATGGGTCGTAACACAATACTTCACGTTCCAGATCAAATCGATTGGCGTTGCAAATTAATTTTGTGACCGGTCGTCATGGCGTTTAGATTTAGATTTTAGATGTTTTTTGTCTTTTAGATAATAGAATTATTTTCCCTGTATAAAAATCTTGTTCTGCTGACAGACCTATAAATAGTATAATCGACGACCACAAGCAACTCGTACGGCTTAAGATTGATACCCCAAATTTAATTGAAGGAGCTATTTGGTGGAGTTTGCGTGTGTAATTAATTTGACCTAAATATCACGTCTTCATCAATGAATTGTCAAAATACATAGATCATTCTAGGAAGACGATTTGGCCATTAGAAGTAAGTTCACGGGAAATGCAGCTGTTCTCTGGCTATTTCCTTTCTCCCGTATACTACAAACGACTTTCAGCATAGTTACAACCTAAATTATAAATATAATTATGATTTAATTATAACACTTGAAAAAAATTTATTAAATTTGTAAACTGAATATATCATTATTATTAATCCTTACATGTTATGCTAATTTAACTTATACGTGAGTTATCTCAAAGGAATCCTTGCTTAATTTCATGATAAACGGATTGTAGCAAATTATAACTCGAAAAGTTAGTGGAAAGTTCGGTCCTTACTTGAAGGCAAATGTTATTAATATAAATTAACATAAAACCTATTAAAGTTAATTACCAATGTTGGAAAAATAAGATAATGCTTGATCTTTTGTAATAACCCCATGAAAATTTATACGTTTTCAGTTTAGTGTAGCATACTTAAAACACACTATTTCTAGCATTGTAAGTTTTATATGTTTCCAATGAATATTAAAAAAAATCCATATTAAATAGAAAGTGAGAGTTCTAACATAAAATTTTATTTGAATGTGCCCAGATGTTGCTTAATAATGATCAATTTTTCTTTATTTAGTGATGGAGCTGAGTTTTTGGTTCATCAAAGTACCACTAACAGTCCAGTGCCAGTGGTAGGAATTCGTCCTTTGACGCCAGAAATTTCCAGGACTGCACCACCCACGGTTAGTATGACCCTTATAAAATCAATATCATTATTGTTGTTGTTGTTATCATTATTATTATTTTAAAAATCAATAATAGCATATACTTATTTAGCTGTCTGTGCACTTGTGCTGCAAAGTAATTAGATTTTGGTTTTCTTTTAATCCCATTGTTAGAATGTGAGTATTTCAGAGTATGGCTTTGTATAACTGAATGAATTTGTTTAGTAATTGTAATATTGTATTTAAAGAACATTTGCCAATTATAAATTCACAGTCACCTAAAAAAAAAAAAAGAATAATTGATGGTAACTGTTCAACGTGTCATTCAACATGCAAAAGCAAGTAGTGTTTCTCATACACAATATCATTACCAAGTAAATAATCAGTATGTCACACTTACAGAATATATTATGCTTGGGGAGAGGGTCATAAATTGTGGTTGTTTAAATCAAGGCACACTTCAGCCCAAGACAACCACTTGGGTTTGCTCTATCAATAATGTCATGAAGTTCCAAAGTTTGTGTCCATATTTTTTTATATTTTTTTCCTAGTGTGAACATTAAATGAAATTATGACTGTATTGCCAGAACAGATATTTGATATTCTTCTTTTTATTGCATAACATTTATTTTAAAGTTTCTTGAACAAGAAATGGGATTTAAAATCTACTATTCATAAACCTTTTGTTCGGTTGGGCAAGTTCTCTCAGTTTGATTATATGGGATGTAAAATTTTAGTAGAAAAACACTGTTCAGAAATTACAACCCTTTTATTGAAAATAACTTGGTAATTGCAGCTAGTTATTTCGAAAGTCTGCCATGTTATGCCACATGTCTCTGCCTTTAATTTACCTGAGTTTTTAGTTAATAAATATTTATATAAAACTGAAGTCTAGTGGTTATGTAATTATTAAATCAAACAGCACATTGCTTAAATTAACAAAGATTTGCTTGGATGTTGAGGAATAAGCTAACAATTTAAATAATAACAGCTTGCTATGCATGCAATAAGGGAAGAGCTTTATTTTTGAGTTTTACTTTATGTTAAATGTACTGAATATTTTAAGCAACTTTAGGCATTAAATATAAACATTGAATTGAGCCAATATATCGATCAGTATTCATGATGAAAGACAGTCTAACTACAAAACTAGTACAGCCATAGGAGTTACATATCTTATTTTTCCTTCAGCCTATTTTCTATGATCATGAGGTAATTTTACTTCCATAATATAGAGTTGATTTCTGTATATATACAGCACTTCTCAAAACAATTGTGTTAGTTTGCATTTAATAGCATTGCGAACTTTTTATATTAATATACACTTCATCGACCCATTATACAAAAGTTGGTTGTCCTTGAACAAAGCTGGGAAGTCCAAGGTTCCTATTGTTCTATAAATGAACATAAAAACTAGCAGTCATTTAAGAAGATCAACCCAAGAAGTCTGCTGGCAATAATTTCAAAAAGAGTGCTACCTATTTATTCAGAAATCGTGAAATGCGGATTTCTGAATAATTATCGATTTACGGTCACTAATCACCACACAGTGCTACCTATGTCATCACTCAAAAGCCCAAATGAAAAGTGTCTCTGATCCTCCAAAGTTGCTTGCTATATAAATTGTCACAATTCACTATTAACAGTTAGAAGGAGAGGTAAGGCCATTGTTAAATAAAAAAGAACTTGATCACCAGAGCTTGGAATTTCAGAGATTTGGAAAAGTCTTGTTTACTGATGAGACCAAGATTCATATGAAGAACAGATGTTCAACAGTGTGGTATTGTTTACCACATGTTGCTGTTGATAGACGTTTTAATTTCCTGGATAGCATTAGAAAGCTCAACCATCTCGTTTTTGTCCAGGGAAGTGTGACTGGCCAGTAATGATTAGCAAAAATATATCTGCAATTTATTAAAAGAATTAGACTCGCATATGAGCTTAGCTAGTGGTATTGAGTATGAATCGTGGCACATGCCTCAAAATTTTATGTGAGAAGTGGTCTGATCCCTTGTCCACTTCACTCATCAGACATTAAGCCCTCATGTATGAGAAGAATTATGTATTATATTTTTTCAATAAGTTCCTACAAAGATAAAAAAATACTTGTAATTACTTTGGTTAAAAAATGTAACTTCGAGAATTATATAAATTTTAATTAAACTGAAATTCATCTTTAACTTAAAAGGAACATTATTAAACTAAAGGGGTGATTGCAATTATCATCATTACCATTTTTTGTTAACATAATTTATTATCAGTCAATATTAACTTTTATTAAAATAAGAACCTTCACCTTACTTCAGTAAATTATAAGTTTTATGGAAAATAGAATAGACAGCTAAGGTGTCATATAAATCATTTAGAAAATCAGGATGAGTACAACACATTATTAATCTTATGATATGTCTATTAGATAATAAATTAATTAAAAAAATAGATAATAAATATATGTAGTTGTACATTTAACATATTAAAAAAGCATATACCTATATAAGAACAGAAATAAATAAAAAATTATTTGCAATTGTATAGTCAGAGAAAATATTTCTTACAAGTTTGTGTTGAACATATCAATAGTAGTATACTTATTACTAACAGTTAAAATGCCGGAAATACCAGAGTGAAGTAAGTAATTATCAATCAACATCATTTCAGTTTCCCACAATCTGTCTGCTTGTTTTATGCAATTTTTTAGGCTTGTTCAAAATTCTCCCAAATATGATTTAGTGCCTTTCACCCATTTTCATACACCCTGCTTAAACCCTGACCAACACTAAACAAGGTGAAAAACAACTCAAGACACTCATGACAGACCAAACTAGCAATAAGTAGACCAAGTTCTTTAAAAAATGAAAAACTGTTTAAATAAGTAAGAAAGGGAACTGTGGTAGCCCAGAGATCATCATGCTAAGAGGCTCATAGACTCTGCAGTCATGGGTTCGATTCCCACCATCACCCCTGAATTTTTTTACCCATACCCTTCCCCTCCCCTAAAAAAGTTATTTACAGCCTACATGTACTCTGGAAAGCATAAATGAAAATTATATGTAATATTATAAAGTAAATATAAAAATCAAATTTCAATTAAATTATATAATTATAATTCAGGGAGAAGAAAAAACATAAACAGTTTTTTTATAAGATTTACCTTAACGGTTTAACTTATGCATTGAGAGATACTGCAACTTCTGAAAGTCTACCTTTTTGACAAACTCTGTTTGAAAAGATAATGTCTTTTTTTTAATATAATTATTGTATTAATTAATTTAATTATGTTATCTGTTTAATTTTATGCTTATGTAATAAAATATACTAGAAGTGAATTGATGTGAGCGTTATCTCTTGACGTCTTTAATAGTGCTGCTCTTTCTAATGACTGTTGGAGAACATCAAAGCATATAAAAAAAACTTAGGAAAAAAGCAAATTTTACACGGTTGGATAACATAACGCTTAATAAAGTTGTTTAAATAATTCAACAAAAATAAATATTATATGGAAAATTACAAGTGTAACGACATATACATACACAGAGCCGTAAATTTGATAATTTTAATAGGCTGTTTTGCATTATGAATTGTATATTATTATAGAAAGATAGCAATTAGTTCCTATGCCAATGATTTATTCTGCCAAATTATTGTAAATTAGATCTTGACAAGTCATAGTACTCGTGTAAAATACAGAATTGTAAAGTTCATATTACAGATAACATAAATTTTAAATTTTGTATAGATGGCTTTACTTCCAAGCTGTTAATCTAAGAACTATCATATAGAAAATTTAAAATAAATTACAAATAGTAATTAGAGCTAGTACACATGAAAATGTGTAACAATAAAAAAATATATATTGTGTAACTAGCATTAAAATTAATTTTTCCAACTTTTCAATTAATGAATTTATTTATTATTCGTCTATTTACTGTGATATACCCCATTTAAAAAAATCCTTTAAGAAAATTTATTTTTTTGATCGTTTGACGTTAATATAAAATCAGTATATTTATTTAATTGGTCAAGCGGACCAGGAAAAATAGTGAATATTTATTTAAATTTGAAAACTTGTTCCTCTTACATCAGAACACATGCTAATATATGACAAAGGTTGTCTCATTACTTATGATAAAACGATCCTGTCACTCATTCGCTCTTTCTTCCCTTTACATGTCTGACACTACAGGATCATGGATGGGTATTGTACATGTAATGTTTTTACTAAAAAAAAAAAAACTGTTAAAAAGGAAATTATTTGAATGTTTAAAAAGAATCATTGCACTAGAAAATGTGAATGTGGGTGGGGCAGAGCGTGGTAATTATACTAATTACTATGTTAGTAGCATAATGTTTTCATTTTTTTATAACTACCCATAGAGTATAATACAATAAAAAAATGAGGGCTTTCATATTGATGTTCGATTAATTTTTTTTATAGTAAATGTGGCAATTAAAAAAAAAAAAAAACCCGCACAAAGTGTTAATTTCCTGTTATGCCACGCTCTGAACCAATTTTTGTATTGTTAATAAAATAATAGTAAATGGAAAGTGTATATAAAGTAATGTTTTGTCTTTGAATTATATATATATATTTTATTTATTTTTTAATATATATATATATATATATATATATTANATACCGTTTTACTGCTGACATTCCTATGCTTCCCTATACCATCTATACTCTGTTTTTTTTACAACTATCAAATCATTCAGATATATTTATTTATTTTTTTTTCCATTAGAGATTAAAAATATACTACTACGAATTTAAAATTGCAATAACTAGAATTTAAGTGTTTTCAATTCATTCTTGTATAATTTGATATTTCTTTAATTTGGTTTTATGTTATCATAAACACTATTTTAATGAATTTAAGGAAAATGTGTTATAACAGCAATAATGGAACCTTAGTAGTTATATATAGTATAAATATTTAATTAATATTATTCTGAAAACAAACAATATTACAAATACAAAATTGTTCGCATTGAGAAAATTATAATACAAATAAGCATTTAAAATGGTGGTAAAAAATTTGTATTATTAATTTTTTCAATTATCTATTTCCAAGTACAAAATCCATACATATATTTATCTATCAGAATGTTCGTATATTCTAAATTGATGATGACAAACTTTTAAACATTTATGAAATAAGTGTAAAAATTATTGGATGATTAAGTGCAAATATATAATTGCACAGCATTTTAAAAAACGGTTCAATGATTTTGGGGGTTGTAAAACAATTAAACGAGATTAGGATAAGTAAGATAAATAAAAAATATAAATAATTCAATGGCCCTATTTGTAAACCCAAAGACTAATAACAAAACTTTAACCATTGTTAACATTCTACCATATATTGCATTTTTCAAATTTGTGAATTTTCTCATTCATATATGAATTCAAATTATAACTAAACTTTTGTAAATAGTAAATTTAAAAGTGTGCGACTATTTTTAGAAAAAAATATAACAAATGGTGTTAGTTTTAGCACGGTAGCTCCTAACATAACATATTATGCTCAGGTTCCTCTCCAATAAATAATTTTTCCTTATTGAAGACGTTAATAAAAAAGGTGATTTTTATCAAGTAATTTGCTGCAAATTGAGTGTCTTGTAAGAAAGCACTACAATACTTTTTCCCTCGTAACGTATGTCACTTAAGGGACACAGTACGTTTTATATCATTAACAATTGTGTTTTAATTATAATATAAAAACTATAATATAGCCTATATTATAACTGACATAAGGATATATAATATAAAAACATATAAAATTCGTTATATATTTTTTAACAAGTGTATAAATAAAAGAAATTTCATCGTTGGTGTTTTGAAGATTTACTTTTTTAACAAACAAAAAATGTAGAAATTCTAAAATGTCATTAAGCTAAATAATTTTTTTAATGTTTAATACATTTTATCACATAGTGTAGAACAAATAAATGAATCTTAACGAATTGAATTGGTTTTCAAGTTTCGCTGTACTAATCTCTTAACCCTTATTTTTTCTTCCTAACTAATAATTCCAACCAAAAAATTATAATAAAAATAATAATAACTACACACTAACGTCCTCCCTTGCACATGCACATGCACATATATGCAATAAATTAGTGATATATCTGATACTTAAAAAAGTAAAGGCTACATAAATAAAATATTTCTGTTCTCTATTAACATTCTTGGTTTCTATTACATTTTAATCTGGATAAAAATAAATTATTTGGCTATCTCTAGGCTACGATTCACTTACGATCATTTTTTTTAGGGTTTGAAAATTTTAATACTAACAGAAAAAAATATATTTAATAATGTTTTAGTGTGTTGCATGTAGCATGTTGTTTTAGGAAGCATGGTGGAAGCTGGGTAAGTTTGCACGAGCATCTACAAATCAACATTTGTTGATCAAATTTAAAAAAAAAAACCTCAAACTTATTATTAATGGATGGGCATTATGACTGAATTAAATGTAACAAATGATTGAATTGTTAACGTCTGTTTCTTGCGCAAGCGTGTATTAGTTATGATTGTATTGATTTTTGTGGTCAATAATAAGATATTTGAGAATGGAGTGGATCAATGCATAATTTTCCATAACATAACGATCATTTTTGTTTAGCCAATTTATACAAATGCTTTAATTAACTTGATTTATTTGTTCCAATTGCAATTATTAAATTTATTTTAAATTAACCTTATATTTCTTGTTGCATTATTTATAAACAAGATTTAAACCTTCTCTTCTAATGTTTTAATATTCTTTTGTTCTTCAACTAATTGATGCATACAACTGATTTTAGTAATAATTTTTTCTGAGCGAATTTGTTGTATTATGCAAATTGCTTCGTGCCTATTTTCCTACATTATAAAATAATACTTAGACCAACAATAATTAATAATCTCAATATTTGTTAGCTTAACATAAAACAATTGTACACATGTGCCCATCTCAACACTGATAATTTATGTTTTCCCCAGACTTCTCATTGCATAATAAACCATTCAAACAATCCACTAAGTTATCAACCATTTCATGTTACATATCATTGGTTAGCAATGAGAAAGCAAGCAATTGTTACTATAGAACTAATTACCATATTAAAAAATCACTTAAAAGTAGAATTTGTATTGTACTTAATTGATTTGTTCTAAAACCTTCAAGTTAGAATAGAATTTTCTTTGATCCTACTATGATAGCTAATAGTAATACAATGTCATGTACAGTGCAACATTTAAAATTAACTCTTGTCATTAGTATTGAGTGTTATACATATTGACAAAAACTGTTTAGTAACTTACATTAATGTAAAAGGCAACTGTTTTTTAAATTAGGACATTGATCACATTTTATCACAATGTTATTGTTTGAAATAATAAAACAATTACACTTACCAAATTACCAGCTGCAGAAGACACAGTACAAGGAGAAAAACACGTTAAAACAACACATATAAAAGTTCAGTAAGTTGCATTATTTATTACACTTGATGATCTTCAAAAGCTGTCTTCATGTAACGTAACATGTACATTTTAAACTAAATATGCTTACATTGAAAAAATATGGAATTATGTTTATGCTTCTATTAAAATGAGAGGGTGAGACTAAGATATGAACTTCAATACCGACATTTGGAATAAAACAATTCATATATAATTTTATCTGTTTACAGCCAGTACGTGAACTTAATCCTGATCATTCTATCGGTAGTTTAACAAAAGACTACAAATTCTCCAGTGCCCCAATTCTGGATATCGGTGATTGGGATGATAGGTGAGTCGAATATATAACTAGATAATTTAATACATCGGCCTTTTACATTTATTTATTTTGACTCTGTAAAGCTTTGGAAATTATTTCAATATAAAGTTTAATACACAAATAAATAGATGAATAAAAGAAAAATGTTTCAGTTTGTTTTAGCATCCCTTGATGGGATTTCAATGTCTTTGTGTTGTTGGTTTTTTCCAATTTTTGCAGAGAATTTTTTTTTTTAAATCGTATAACATTAAATTTGTATTTCTACTTTTATCAAGTTTCTTCTTGTCACTGGCTTGTCGTTTAGTCTTCTAATGGCATATCACATCCTCCTCATCCCAGTTTATTTCCTTGGGCTGATATACTGGGAAGTACAATAACTTATAAAAATTGATGGACCTCCTCTTATATTTGCCAAAATTATGTCAGTTTACTAGGGTGTGGGTAATTTTGTGGCCGTTTCCCTCTCTTATAAATATCTCCCTACATCTTTAGAAAAATTTTAGCACAAAAAGGCTACTGTGTATTGTTCTAAGAATAGTTTGTAACAAATTCTATTAATCTGAATGGTTTTTACAGTTATACCATAGATGAAGATAATTCAAAGGGTAATGAGATATTAAATGGCCATTACGACAAAAAAGAAGATTTCAATCATGAATCGAAAACCCTCTCACGTAAATAATACATATTAATTTATTACTTTTTTATTTATATACTAACATATTATTATTGTTTTAGAATCTGTTATTCAGAAATTTAGAAAAAACTTCACAATCAAGTTTACTAAAAAAGGGGGACATGGGAAAGATGATCAGGACACAGATGATGTAGAAAATGAACAGGTAAATTCTTCGCCTACACCTTACAATCATAAAGAAGAAACATCAGTGGAACGATTCAGGTAAAACTTCAGAGGTGTTTGACTAAATATAACAAAGGGTTTAAATTCCCAATGATTTAGATTTGGGCCGTTAGTGTGGAGGAGTAGCAAGGAAAGAAAAAGGAATAAAAATGTAGGAAGATCTTCTAAATGCAACAGTGGTGATAGTGGGATCCAAGTAGAAACTAATAGTATAGTTGGAGCGATAGAAGATTCATCTGAATCACACGATACGGATAATGCTACCGAAGAGATAGAGAGCCCGCCAATCGTACGGCGTAGAGGAGTGAAAGGGCTCTCATGTGATATTAAGCTTTCTAGACCAAATTCCGATGTCAGTAATAAGTTTCTTATAGAGAGAATGAAGGTAAATTATTAATTTTTAAAATGTTTGTTACTTAACGATAGTTAATTTATTTAGAAGTTTGAAAATTATGGTTTTAGTGTTGAAGATTTAGCAGTTCTCTAGACTACACCCACTTTTTTAAGTACATATTTACAATATTTATTTAATTTTTATTAATTATTAAAATCACTATCCCAACTACATACAAAAAGTTTTACATTAATGCAGGCATAGAAATATTTCACATTTAACAATTTGAGTTATCAGATTAACCACTTGGTTTTATCACAGTATTCACTAGAAGATAAATTGCTACTTAATTATTTAATAAATATCATTATAATTTAAAATAAATTATTATCACACTATATCGCACATGTATTTACACTATATACACATGTCTTCTAGCGTACGTGGCTCAGGTGTGTTGCCTTTTTTCCTCCTAGTATGAAGTGGACAGCACCTTTGACTTTACCAAGTCTGGATTATAACTTGTTGAATCGTTCATGAAGTGTCTTTTTTTATATTCAGGAGTTGTAGTTCTTTGTGTATCTGCTTGTTCCTCACGTACTACTCAACATTTATTGCCATTCACGCTATTTGGCTTTGTAATACTTGCAGCTGCTTTATTTTGGATGAATACGCTGCTCCCCATATTTCGCACCCATAAAAGACCAAGGGAAGGGTCTTATGATAGATATATAAATTAGTGTTTGGGCCTTACCTTGGATTTGTGGTTTATAATAGAATATAACATATCCTTCGGTCACCATTTTATTTATGTGGTAGTTTCAGGATAAGCTTCTGTCCAGATGAATTCCTAGGTACTTCACAGAGCTGTCAGGAGGATTCCACGAGATTCCTTTCCGACCAGTCACATGTCATCGCAGAGTAAAGATTTTTGCTTCTCATTTTGAAGGGTTTATCTCATTTCCATTTATCAAAATAGTTTGGTATATCCTCTAAATCATTCTGAACTGCTTTCTGAGTCTTTGAGGCATAAATAACTGTGCATGTCTGCATAGACTCACACGTCACCCGATCATTAACGGTCACTAATCTCTACATATAGACCGCTATGTTTTACAACTGGAGAAGGAAGGTCATACATCTACAATTATGTTTAACCATATCACTTTAACACAGAGGTTTCTGTATTTTGTGCATTATTAAATTGTAGTTAGTTATGTGAGATTTAATAAGTGGCTTGATAATCACTGTCTGCGCTTTCTCATCAATTTTGCGTAAAGACCTGACTTACAAAAACTAACACAGAGCATGATCCCTGAACATGGCAAAATGCTAAAAAGTATCTTTCATACAAACTGAAAACGGGCAGATCAGGATGAACGAAGATGATTAAGCTAGTACATAGTTTAATTTGTCAAAAAATTTCCTCACAATTCATAGTAATCGGTATTTAATATGATATGTGAGTTTGTAATAAGTGGTTACTGCATTTTATAAGCCTCGATCAAATTATTTTTGGCAAAAGTTGACAGTTGAGAATGTTTGGGAATTAGTGGCAATTGTGTTTCATAAGTACATTGTCATCTGAAATCATATAGGCAATAAATAATTTTTATGATGAATGACTACCTATTTTGTAAGCCTCCAATCATAGTATTTATGCCAAAACTAGATACTTGTGATTGTTTAGAAATGAGTAGCAGTTGTATTTTAAAACTTAACTGTCATCTGAACTCATATAGGCAATAATGAGTTTATAATAAGTGGCTCCTGTATTTTATAAGGCCCCAACCAATTTATTTTTTATTTGTTTCAAAACTGAACACTTGAGAATGCTTAGAAACTAGTGGCAGTTGTATTTCATAAGTACACTGTAATCTGAACCCATATACGCAATAAATAAGTTTTATCATAAGTGACTACTAGTAATTTATAAACCTCCAATCATTTTTGCTAAGATTGGATACTTGTGATTGTTTGGAAATGAGTAAGTTCTTCTTAATTCATAAGTAAACTGCCTCTGAACCATATAGGCAAACACTAATTTAGCTCATTTTTCAAGCGTTCATGGGGCTGGGGGGTATCGTGACTCGTCTTTGCCGTGCTAGTGGTTTTCGGTTTGAATCTCAGCAGATCCCTTGAACTTGAATTTAAAAATTATACAGAAAATCATTTTGTAAAGTGGTTCTGAGCCTAGTTAAGCTATACTGTATGATAAGAAATACTTTTTTTACTGTTCAACTGACAGTTGTACGTGCTGCATCTGTGGTTCAAGCACTTTACACTTATCCATCAGTTTGAATCAATGAAGATATGCTTGATTTCACAATTGTCTTACAAGAGTAGCTAAAATTATATTTGACTCATACTTTTCATTACACACACAATTACAAACAAAACAAAAATACTGGAATTATTCATAACATAATACTATAAATTAATGTGTCATCAAATATAATTTACTCTTTACCTGATTATACAAATTTATTTAAGTTACCCTGATATCAATAATGCTTAACAGTAGTAAAAATAAGCTTATAATACATGATAATAAACCTGATAATTCAATTATAGGCTGAATTAGATTTGCGAAAGCATTCACACATTAGAATAAGAAGGACGTATTCTGATTTTGGTGGTCAGAAAATGTACAACTGGGAAATGAAACATGGTTACAGGAAAACTCATCAATCTCCTCTTCGTAATAAACCATGTCGTGCTAACAGTATTAGCAATAGTAGTAATGGCAGCAATAATAGTAGAATGTGAGTAATGCAATATTTATTATTAGATTGTTAATGATAAACAATTAAAATCAGTGGGGAGGCATGATTATATTATTCATCTTTACCTTTCATTGTATTTAGCTGGAAAAGGCCTTACCACAAAAGTGTAACATTGAGGAGATCAATTAGTCAACCCATAGGTTTAAACGATTATAGCTCTCCTGCTAGCATAAGAAAGTTTGTTACTGGAACAAGTCCAAGAATATTAAGTGAAGATGAGAGATGTGGAGGGACTTCTGATGATGATATTATGTCAGACTCAGAATCTTCTGTTACTTCAGCGACAGGCAAAAAAAAATCATTCGAACAGGTTTGTAAATTGTTTCTCAATTTAAACAAAAAGGTATATTTATTTGTTGAAAAAGTTGTTAAAATATGCTCAAAATAAGGTCATGGAAGATGATTGGTTGATTCTGGCTGAAGCAGTTTGGGATCATGTTGCAATGGAGCCGGAAGAATTACCTTTTCGTGCTGGAGATGTTATTGAAGTGATGGACACTTCAGATCAAGATTGGTGGTGGGGAGCTAATGGTGAAATGTTAGGTTGGTTTCCGTCTGCATTCGTTCGTGTAAGTCCCGCTGTTTTTTTCCCCATACCTTCGTTAATTGTGTGTACAATAAAATTTTAAAAAATTGGATCATTCCAGCTCAGGGTTAGTCAGGAAGACACGGTCGAAGATTGTTTGGCAGCTGTTGCTGCAGGAAAAGCGTCTCACACCTTGAGAAGAAAAGCGAGTGTGTCTCTGTTGTCAAATGATCAAGTTAGATCGAGAGTTCTCACTGAATTAATTTATACAGAAAGAGATCTTGTAAAAACTCTCAGAGATATTAAAGAGGTAAGTTCTGATTACAAATCACCTTAGACCAGTTAAAAATTGGATATTAAATAATAATGGCAATGGGGCGAGGTGGCCACAACTGTTAAGTCATTGACACTGTAAGGTAAAGGTCCTGGGTTCAAATTCATACTTACAAATGGTCTTTTTTTTTCATTTTCAAAAACACTATCACCTCAGGGTTTGATTTAACAAAAAAAAAAAGTTGTGTTTTTTTATTTTATGTATATATACCCTGATAGGCAAAAAATTCCACCCACTTGTAATTTAACTTGATTTGTATATATTAATCAAAGTTTTGAGTTTTTTAACGTTTAATAATTGAGTCTGTCTAAAAAAAGTTTTAAACAAAGTAAATTGCTAAAAATAAAAAAAAAGACAGATAACATTTGTTTTAATTAGATTTTTAATTAATATTTCAATATCGCGTATTTCCTCCTCTTAATTACATCTTGAAGACACCATCTAGAAATCATAGAACAAATCTACACTCATCTGTAAAAAGTTCAGCAGACCAATCATCCAAAGACGAATGGCTCTGTTGTCGAGCAAATGTGAGCCTTGCAACTCTGTGTGTTCTGGTCAATTCTGATCCTCTTACAGGGGAAAAGCCATCAGTCCATACTGATTTAATCTTCTTTCGAGCCGTGCATTCAGAAATTTGGACACCTCGAACTTCCCAGAGCTGATGAATCACTTGAACTACAGTTCAACAAGGAGCCGGTTTTGCAAAATTCTCAAAGTCAAAAAACAGTGGTTCTGTTATCCTAGGGCGTACAGAACTGGGCCTTCTATGATAGTACCCAGTTTCTTGAAAACGTCTAACAGCATCTCATAGTTTTGTAGGGAACTACAAAGGCAACAGCCGCATACCGATGGAACATCCATCATCAATAACTGCCTCACCATAATAACAATAACATCCTCAGCACTATGTGACATGTTTAAGTTTAAAAATTGTAATTAAGAAAACAAAGTTAAAAACCAAACAGTTTATTTCACTTTTTTATTTACGTATTTATTTTACTTCAGAATTCAAATGAGAATGAATAAACATTTTAAATTACATAAAAAGTAAACATTGATAAATGCTCTATACTTATTTTGGATTAAGGATTTGTGTGTTATGTCTAATTGATATTCCCAATTTAAAACATAGCATAAACAAATATTTATTGATAAATACAATGAGACAAATTAAGAGCAGAATTTTCTTTTATCATGAAAATGAAGAAAATAATCAATTGGGTGGAATTTTTTGCCTGTTTACATGTATACTTTTTTAATTATTATTTTTACTTTTTTAATACAGGGGTACCTGAATGAATGTCGTAAAAGAACAGATATGTTTTCTGATGACCAGTTGAAAACTATATTTGCTAATTTAGAGGAACTTCTTACATTTCAAGAGAATTTCCTTAGCGATTTGGAAATGAGAGTTAACTGGGACGCTCCTTACAAAAGTTGTATCGCTGATGTTTTCCTAAATCATGTAAATAATTAATTTATATTTTAATTAATGCTGTGAGAAGTTATTTAAACTTTATATTGTTTTAGTGTGAAGGTTTTAAAACTTATTCAGATTACTGTAATGCCCATCCTCTTGCTATAGCAACGTTACAAGATCTTTATAAACACAACGGTTATGAACAATTTTTTGAAGCATGCCGATTAATGCGAGGGCTTATGGAAATACCACTTGACGGTTATCTCTTGACCCCTGTTCAGAGAATTTGTAAATACCCTTTACAATTAGCAGAACTCCTCAAGTACACGAAAATCGACCATGACGACTATAAGAAAATTGAAAACGCCTTAGAAGCAATGAGAGATGTAGCACTTTTGATCAACGAGAGGAAACGGAGAATGGAGAGCTTAGAAAAGATCGCTATTTGGCAAGCAAAAGTTGAAGGATGGGAGGTAATTAATCAAGTAATTAATTGTATTGAGTGGCATTTATCGTATGGTTTATCCTAGGGGGAGGAACTAATTGCAAGAAGCAGTCAGTTGATCCACCAAGGCGAAGCACTAAAAGTAACATCTGGAATGTGGACATCATCCATTAGAATATTTCTTTTTGATCATCAGATGGTTTATTGTAAAAAAGATATGTTAAAAAGAAGCACCTTAATTTATAAAGGAAGGATATGTATGGATACATGTCTTATAGTCAATCTTGCTGATGGGAAAGGTGAATTAACCATTTAAAAATGTACTCGTTAACATTTAGTGACTAAAATTTAATATTTTTTAGATTCGACGACAGGAGCCTCAGTTAGAAATGCTATTAAAGTTTCGCTGCCTTTTGAAAAATCACTAATTTTTTGCCTCAGAACAGCTAAAGAAAAGTCAGAATGGTTAGAGGCATTTGTTCAAGAAAGAAAATTAGTTAAACAGGATTTAGCAGAAGGTATAGATTTTGAACCTGCAGCAAGAAGGTTAGCTAGAGCTGCAGCTTCAAGAGTCACTATAAGCCTTCCACTGAAACGGGAAAGTAAGTACATAAGTAATCCTTAATTAATATTAAATTAATTAAGTACATTTATTTTTTTTTCTATTTGCTGAGCAAACTATTTGCTGAATTCCTTAGAAACATTACCAATAATCTGTTAGATTTTGTGGTCTGATTGATCAAATAACCTCTTTCAGTTAAGTAATCTTTATGTAAGGTATTCGTTGAGATAAAAAAGTCAGTGTCACGAGCGGGATTCGAACCCATGACCTTTGGCTAGATACACTGCTGCTCTACTACTTGAGCTATCGTGACTTCGATCCATTCAGACACCAACTTCCCATCTCAACCTACTTTTTTGAATTTGAAGTCTCAATAGCGCAATGGTAGAGCAGTGGCATATTTAGCCGAAGGTCGTGGGTTCGAATCCCGTTCGTGACACTGACTTTTTTTATCTCAACCAATACCTTACATAAAGATTACTTAATTGAAAGAGGTTATTTTTTTGTCAATCGGACCACGAAATCTAATGTATTTAATAAGCAAAAAAGCAATGTATTTACTAAAGCTCTCTATGGCCATTTCATTTGTCACTGAGAATCAAATAGATCACACGACATTTGAAAAATGGCAAATAGGAGGGAAAATTCAAAATAGGTGGGTTGAGATGGGAAGTTGGTGTCCGAGTGAATTGAAGTCACGATAGCTCAAGTGGTAGAGCAGCGGCATATTTAGCCGAAGGTTGTGGGTTCGAATCCCGCTCGTGACACTGACTTTTATCCCAACCAATACCTTACATAAAGGTTACTTAATTACTAATAATATTTGTTACGTTGAGAGAAAGGATGTTGAGAATATTTATAGAAAATCTGCCATAAAATTGTCATATTAACAACAAATATCAGACATAAAAATATGACTTTTAAATTACAGCATTTACAATTATTTCTAAAAAATAATTAATTATTTCAATTTTCTTCGTTATTGTTGTCCTATTTTTTTTATTTTTTTATGAATATTTTTACACATTTTTGTTAAAGGTCTTTTAAATAATATTACAATTTTTCAATGTTTCATTGAGCCTGTGCCATTTTCAGTTTTTTCAAAAAATAAACATAGTTCGTTAAAATCACTACAGGATCGCTGAAACGTTGAAAAACTAATTTTATTTAAAACATACAAAAAAAATATTTAATTTTCAATTATCAAACTAAAAAGCTAAGTTATCACAAAAATCTGAAGAAAAAAAATAAAAATCTCACAATTACGATCAGTTTGTAAATTGCACAGTTAACTTTCAAGCTTTTTTTAGGGAATTAAGGCACAAAGCATCGTTAATAGCTCATTTATTTATATTTTGGTCATTTACTATCATTTTGACCTGCCTTTCTTCGCTGTTTTGATCTGTCAGATGTGTGTGCCATTCTCACTTAATTAGTATGGAATCAAAAAGCATCTGACCAGATATTGTAGATATATCAAAGTGAACATGGAGCTAAGTAGAACTTTTGAGAATAAGATAAACTAAGGCAATGAACATGCAGACAATGCGTTCAAAAGTCGGGACGGCTCACTATTGCAATCCGACCCACTGACGCTAATTGTACAGTAAAGAATATGGTAAAGGAAAAGTTACAGCATCTGTGGACGACTGGTACGTGGCCCCTTAATCCCTTAGAATCTAATGCAAAGAAGAAGGATCTTAACCCTACTCAAAATTGGCCATTGATAGTCACAGACACTTTGGGCCAAAGCCCACATTGTGTCTGGCATGCAGAGAAATTGCTCATTGTGCCCCATTTAATTGACGGGTGCTCCATATAGGGAGTGAGTAGGAATACCGCTCGATATGAGAATTGTACTCCACCAAAACATTGAAATAAGTGATTCTCACTTTCCACGAGAAGTCATAGGCTCTGTTCATAAGGACACATTTGGGCAGAGCTGAGCCTATATAAATAAATTAAAAATTAGATTAACTTATGCTAAGAGGCATCGGTGGCCACAACGGTTTAGACATTGAGTGCACATCACTGTAAGGTAAAGGTCCCGGGCTTGTATCCAGCAGCTCTGCATTCGAACTCAACACACTTTTTTTCTTTTCTTTTTTACAAAATTACATTTTACAATTATAACATTGGCACCCCAAGGGTTCATATAACCTCATAGTTGAAATACCTTCTAAAAAAAAAAAAAAAAATTAAATTTTAGAATTATGTATTTGTAACATTATTTTTTCTGTGACTGTTTTAGGTAAAGCGTATGTAAGAAGCAATACATCAGGAGCATTACACGGTACAAACGATAGATTAACTAGAACTCATCGGAAGTACTCAATGGGCCGTAAAGTTGGTTCGTGGTTCCATTTCGGTGCCACTAAGAAATTGAGACAACTCGGCAAAGTTGTTTATGATACTTAAAACTAATTCGTTTAATTGTAAAATATAAAAAAAAACTCTAGTCCATAACATTGTTTTTTATGTAAATGTCATTCAGAACAAATTGTTTGTAACTTTTTAAAATGGTGATACATATCAATGTTTTATATAAATGTGTTTCATAACGGGGAATTGTTATCATTCCAAAATTTACTAGAGTAGACTGTGATCTGTAATTTTACAAACCAAAATTCTTATACAAAGTTGTATCAATTTTTTCCACATCTTTGAAGCTGGAATTCTTAGAGTTTTAAATTATAATCAATGTGAATTTTTAAATGTTAAATGCAAATTTAATCTAGAACGTAAGTAGTTGTTTTTTTAAAGTAATTTAGTTAACGGCCCCCATGAATAATGCATGCCAAGTATAAGACTGAGGCATTTTATTATGGAATATAAAGAGATTGTATCTGGAATTTTTCTCTTTCCAAGTTAAAATTTGTAATATTTTAAATGTAAAACAAACTGTTTACAATATAAAAAATAAATATTGAAAAATCAGTAGAATAAAAAATTAAAAGACCATAATTCACAAAAAAATAATAAAAATATCTGTTAACACTTTTATAATATTTATTGAATGTGTGAGGTATTAGAGTTACTGTTGAATTGATTACAATATTACAACGTATATCTTTATTTTAATATGTGAATAATTCTTTGTTGGTTATAATTTCGTTAATACAAACCAACAATGAGAAACTTTGTTAAGTTTAAATTTTATTTACAACAGTTCTGAAAGAATGATTTTTACATTGATAATTTTCTAAATCGTTGAAGTATTAAAGTGCACACATATCAGATTTTTTTCGATAATGTGTCATGTTTTTATGTCATAATTCTACCTGTTTTTTTTTGTTTTGTTTTTTTTAATCCATCATTAATTTAAAAGTCAAAATATGACAAATATAAAAAGTGTATTTATTAATGACTTAGTTAATTTTTAATTTCCTATGTTGATTTTTATCATTTGTTGTTTATTATAAAATACAATTTGGTTTTGTGATCTCAGATAGTTTTCATGTTCAAAAAAATTAAAGTTAATTAATTTTAAAGGGATGACTAAATGTCCATTATCATTATGGTAAAAGTCTAGTATAACGGCTCCAAGTTTTATAGTCATAAGTTTTGACTGGTGCATTTGATATATGCAGACCCCAGGAAATTATTGAAGCTGAGGACCATACCTTATACCTATTTCAGTAGATAGGTACAGTAATAAAGAACTTTTTCATCCAAATCAGCCCTAAGTAAGATCAATTTCAGATTATTTTCCCTTAATTTCTTAAAATTATCAACTCACTAGTCAGTTCTCTTGAATGCCTAACTCTGACTAATAAATCGTCTACTAGACTAGTCTACTATTAAATTGTAAGAAAAAACACTGGGCAGCCGGGGCATCGGTGGCCACAACGGTTTAGGCATTGACAAGGCATTCATCACTAAGGAAAAATACCTACAAATGGGCTTTAAAAAAAAAAAATAAAAAAAAGTTAATATTAACTTCGTAGTTGAAATACTTGTAAGAGAAGCCAGGCAACATATTTCACAAGGTACTATTATTAACCGGCTACTACCAAAATCTATTATTATGGCCGTAACAGTCCTGACAAAACAAAAGAAAAACTCAACTTTGACAGACCCTCATAATCACTTATGATATGATATCAAAGAGATATTCGGAAAAAAGGCAACCCTGTTTCAGTTAGGAGCCCTAATATGGATTACTGATGGATCAAATATAGAACAAGGATTAAACCCTAACAAAACCCCTTTCACTTGTTCCAATTACATTTTAAGCTGAGTTTCCTGCATTCCGATTGTGCAAAGGTAGGTTGGACCAACTAGGCACACAGGAGAGAGTCCTAAATACGATGTTAGAAAAATGGCTCGATAAAAAACTACAATCACAAAGCTGAGAGGTATAAATCTCACAAAAAATGAAGGTAAGTGTTTGCAGCTCAAATTGGAGGAAAACTGTAGGCCTCTAAACCAGCCATTGCCCTATCAACTAATATAACACAAAAAAGGGCAAAGCCATGGACATGCCACATTCTGTAAAGAGAAATCCAAAAACATATCTGTGAATGTGAAGCACTACACCATTATAGGCACTTCTGTAATTCTCACACCAAGAGGAACGTATTTAGTTTTGGGGGAAAAGCACATTTCCATGGTACTAATCATAGTTTACATTATGTACGTGTAGTTTCTTTTATCAACAATACTTTTACAAGCTCCTAAAGACCTATACAATGAGAGCAAAATGAATAATTATTATAAACGTATACTTTAGCCTAAAGGGTTGTCACTCCCCCAATGTGGCTTACCTTAGGGTATATATATCAGGGAGTTCACCCACCCCGTTATGTGGCTAGGCCGCTGGTATCCTCCTTAAGCCAAATGCCCAGGGGATCGTTGCTTCCCTACCAACAGGATTAGGCTCCAGCAGGGAATATTGACATCTAGGTCATTTCTACCCTAATACACGCAGTCTATATTGGATAGATCAGTCGCACAAATAATTACATTCATATATTGCAATCATTCTGATTAGTCAGTAGAATACTGGATATTCCTCCATCAATCACAGTATTAATAATCTAAACTAAATTAGAGTCAATGAGGTACTTTTAAAAACATTCCTCCAATGACCCTAAGCACACACACACACTGCTGGAGGGGCAATGGTGACATTGTTTCACCATCACCCCTCACCATTTACACTAATAAATGCATACATTCAAACAAAACAGGTGAAATATAGCTATAAATAAAAGTAAAACACTCCCACGTCCTCCGAAAAATTGGAAGGGACCCAGAAACCAACTGCTGTGATCAAGAAACATTCATAAATCTGGCAACATGCCTACATGCTCTCTATACGGAGCCATGGCATGATATGCCTCTAATATGTGGGACAGATTGAGTAACCTTTCTCTGCATAAGGGGCACCTGCTCGGGCTTTGGCCCAAAAGCACCTGCTCACGTGTCAACCAGGTATTGCCAATCCTTAATCGGGTGAGTACGATCCGTTTCCGGCTCAGGTTCTCTGAGGGCCCTCTCTACTGGTTTTGCTCATGACTCATGTATCATCTATTAATTTGATTTGTTTTTATTTAATTCAACAATCTTGCAATAAATAAAAATTCCTTAAATTTGTTGATATTTTTTGTGGATAGCTCAACTGCCAACATTTATCTGGAGCACTTAATTTCCGTGAATCTAAATTTGATTTAAACATTGGGATAATGTGTGATCATTTTAACAAATTGTGTAAAAAATGGCATTTTTTTCTTCTTAAAATTTATGACAAAATATTGATGTCAACCCAATTTTCTACTATGGAGCCATATGCTATTAAGTAGCAGACGTTTCACACTAATCCAGCCAAGCAATGATTTAAAAAAAAAATGAAACAGAACATGGCAGTTTAAAAGGCCCTTTTTACCGCAGAATCTTACTCTTAAATATGCGATTAGGTGTCAAGAGATAGAAGTGCCCAGTTCACCCCAATTAAAACTGGTTTAATTTTATCAACTACAATTCAGCCAATTGTTTTATTTATTTGACTACTTTATTAGACCAACTTAGTTTGCGACGTAAATACATAATTATAAAGGTGAAAAATATTTACTTTTGAGGGTGTTGGTAGCTGTAATAACCACACAAGGCATTGACATAGCGCTTGCCAAAGATAGTATCCCAGGACATTTTCAAAGAAACAAAGGTTCATAAAACCTTGTAGTTGAAATAAAAATAATAATTTTAAAAAAATGAAAACAGCTTTTAAGTATAGCTGGTAATAAAAAAAAGCAGTTGCATTTGACCGAAAATGTAAACGTAATTTTTTTTCACATTGCTCACTAGGACCTCTACATTTTTGCCTCCATAAGGCAGAAATCAATTTTCTTATTTTATTTATGAACTTTACATTAGCTTATTAAATAAATTATTATTTATGTAATAAGCTAATGTCATAATTTATAATTTATTAACTATAAATCTTCACACTTCACATGTAATTTAAGGGTTGTGGAAAAACCAATACCATCTCTTATATTTCTTTATTTATCTTTTATGAAACAAAAATAAATATTTTCACTAGTACTACAGTTCACCATTATATTTTAGTTGGGTGTTTTTACTATGAAATAAAAAATACAAGTTCAATAATTACCACCATACACCCAACTGTAAGACATAATTCTGATGATACCGTATTTAGTTAAAACTCTTTGAAAGAGCTCTCCCAACTTCACACGCATAGATTTTAGAGCTACGTCTGTTCACAGATATAGAAATAAAGTCTATTTAAAATAAAATATGCTTCATCATTACAAAAATTGTGATAAAAGTTAGTAAACAGAATGCTATTTAACAGAGATATTTTGATTGTTATTGTGTTGTAGTGAAAAGTTATTGTGAAAATAAAATAAAAATGACAAAAAATATTTACTCAATGTATAAACCATTTACAAGATTATTCTGTACAATTATAAATTTGCAATGCAACAAAAGACAGTGTGTTAAAAAATAACACACCATTGTGTACATCTAACCTTTAATCTTTGAAAGGCTTTAAATTTTAGATTTTGATCTTGTCCTCCTGGGTGACAGACTAACAGTAGCTGGCTTTTTAGAGCTTGACGGTGATGCTTTAATATCCTTAGGTGTCTTTTTCACAGATTTTGTTGCCGATTTAGTAGAATTAGTCTTAGTTTGTTTAGGCTGTGGTTTTGTATTCAATTTGGACGGTGGTGCTAATTGAGAAGCAGGTGTTGAAGATTTTTTTCTCCCTCTGGTTGCAATAGTTTTACTTTTTTCTATCTTTAGTTTTTTGGCTTGTTTAGAGTTTCTTGTTTTATCCTCTACAGTTGATTTTTTATTTTTTATACGAGCAGAATCATTTGAGTTTTTTGTTTTACCCTCTGCAGATGACTTCGAATTTTTTGTAGAATTGGACGATTTTGGCAATTTTATCCTTTCCACTGTTGTTGGAGAGGATCTCTTTATTTGAGTTGGCTTTTTCACATTTTTCGATGTTTTAACACTTACATTTGGGCTTTGAAGTTGACTCGACTCAATTTTTGCAGTAGATTCATTATTTTTTTTATTCTTAGAGCGCGCTTTGTTAGTTGGTGTTTTTAGAGATTCTGCTTTAGATCTCGAAACTTCCTGGGATTTAGTTTTCTTTTTGAGATTTTCTGATGATTTTTCTTTTTTGTAATTTGTAGTTTTAGGTGAATATGTTCTCTTTAAGGATTTAGGATTAGAACATTCTGTTGCCTTTTTATTCTTTACTGGAGTTTGTACTTTTGAATTTTTGATCATTTTATTTGAAGCTACATTAGCAACTTTGGAGGTATTTGCATGTGATTCACGAGCAACTGTCTTCTTAACAGTTTTCCTTTGTTTTGGTAGTACTGTCTTTGGACAATTTAAGGAGTGTCTTTTCTTTTGCTTTACTGTTTCTGATTGATTTAAACTTGTCGATGTTGAAGAATTTTTTATTTTTGTCTTTGTCAAGCTCTTTGAATTCTTCACACTTTTACGTTTATTCTCTCTTTCATTGTTAGTAGTTACTTTTTCATTACTTTCTTTTGTTAAATGTTTTGTTGAGTTTGATTCATTTAACGACCTATTTATATCTGAGTCATTTTGTAAAGTACGAGCATTCAAAATTGATTTAATTGTTTTAGATTTTCTTTGTGTAGAAATTTTGGCTCTAGTCGAACCTACACCAGACTTTACTTTATCTTTCTTCAAAGTTGTTAAAATATCACTACTAGTTTTGTTCCTTTTAGATTTAGCCTCATTGTTGGATTTTTTATCTTTACTCATTACCTTTTGTTTGTTGTTCATTTTAATTTTAGTGGGAGTTTTTCCAGCTCTAACTTTATAGGTCTCGTTGATTTCAAAGGTTACTTTTTTCAGAGAAACGAATGGATTTTTCTTTGATGGTGATGTATTGTCTATCTTAATTCTTTTCGAGCCGTAACAATCATTATTATTAATAGGACTACCCAAACGTTTAGATGACTTAACAGGAATAACAACAGATGTTTTATTGTTATTAGCTCCACAGTCTGATTTAGAAGAAATGTTGTTACTTGATAAATTATCATCAGAAAACAATTCTCGGACCCCTTGAATATTTAAGTAACTTGATTTTTCAGTTGCAAATAATTCTTTTATTCCCATAGGATTTCTATAATCTCCTTTAGGAGAGGGAGTAAACAATTTTTTAACACCACTGACATCAGTATAGTCAACAACTGTAGACGTGGTATAAACTCTGTCCATATGAGAAACGGTGGGAAGTGGTAGTAGTTTTTTAACAGAAGTGTTCACTTGAGACGAAGTATTGAAAATACCTTCAATTTTCTTATCAGCAAGTTCTAAAAGGTTTGCTACTGGTCTGAGAGAGTTACAATCACCCGATTCACCGTTAGTTCCAATCTTACTGCTCCTACTAGAGCTTCTAAGCCTTCTCGTACAACTCGGCTTGTTCAATTTTGGGCTAAACTCCGATTTTCTTTTAAGATCGAGGGCATTAAGCAATTCATCTTTTTGTTCCCTTCGAAGCGATACATAATCAACTGATGTCTTGACATTGGCTGAGAGTGGAGATTCCGAGGCTGAAATCCTACTTTTATTTAAGATTGGTAACTGTTGTTCCTGAAACAATATGCATGATTATATTTATTATTATTAAACAATACATAAAAATCAACACTAAAACTAAATAATGTAAAATACACTCAAAGACAAATAAAATTGGTAACTTGTATTTTGTTGTTTATTTCAAACTAAATGTATTTTTGTTGTTATATTCATTACAACATTTTAATCTAAAGTAAATTAAACAAGATCATAAATAAATTCATGAGTTTTTAATAAAAATTATTTAATTTTGATTTTTTGAAAGAAAATTCACCAAAACATTCAAAAATCATAATTGATAATTTCATTGTGGTAATCCCTACATCCTCCAATAAATAGGTTAGAACTCGAGACTCATGTGGTTGAGAGTTATGCATTAACACAAAGTTGTCCCCAGAAATAAATTGAGTGAATGGGACCATAGCTTCTAGATGATCTTCCCCAATGTACATCAAAAGATCCATTATGTATGACAATCAGTTTGGTATGGACATGGACCCCATACCATAACTGTCTTTGAAAAGGATGTGACTCATGCATAGCACATGAAGCAAAGAGTTCTCCGAGTCTTCTCCTCAAATGGTCCTGGTTGCACAAACCAAACCGGCACTCATCTGTAAAGAGAACAGCCCCCCCCCCCCATTGTTAAAGTGTCCAAGCGAGATATGATTTGCAAATAGTCACTTTTCTACTCGATACCCCTCTAATAGTACAAATCCTGATGCAGGACGTCTAGAGACTAGGCTATTCTCACAAAGCCTTCCTTTGTTTTAAAGCTGCCCTTATATTACGGACTGTTAGGAGTAGACTACCTATCAGGGAAGCCATTAAATGATAATTCTATAGAGCACTTAATTAAGGTTTTTAGTTGAGATGAAAAAAAGTTAATGGCACGAGTGGGATTCGAACCCACGATCTTGGGCTAGATACGCCACTGCTCTACCACTTGAGCTATCGTGACTTCAATTCACAGAGTTTTAATGAAGTGTACTTCATTTTAATCATTAAATTCACTAAAGCTCTCCGTGGCCATTTCATTTGTCGTCGAGAATCCAATCCGATTACACGACATTTGAAAAATGGCAAAAAGGAGGGAAAACTCATAAGGTGGGGTTGAGATAGGAAGTTGGTGTCCGAGTGGATCGAGGTCACGATAGCTCAAGTGGTAGAGCAGCAGCGTATCTAGCCCAAGATCGTGGGTTCGAATCCCGCTCGTGCCATAAACTTTTTTTCATCTCAACTAAAAACCTTAATTAATTGTAATGTATTAATTGGTCAAGCGGACCACGAAATTAGTGAATTCTATAGAGATGTAAGTGCGATAAAACCATCATCTCCAACTGTCGTACATTGCAGTCGACCACTATCTTCTCTTCAATAGAGACTTTCATTGGCCATAAATCGCTGAAGACCATTGTGGATAACCCAGAATTTGTGGCATGTATTGGTTGCTACAGCCGACATTGGCTAAAGCATCTGCACGGGCAAGAGCTTCTTGACTTAAAACCATACTTTTAAGAAAAAATAATGATTGTTAATTTTGTATTCAAATTTATTGTTTTATCAAAGAAAGCAATAAATGAAACTAATTACTCATTCGAAAAGTTGGCTCTGGAATGGATTAACGTGAACATATTTTCATTATTTTTAATCTAAAGAGTGTAAAAGAATTAGTAACACTATTAATCTAAACAAGTTATTAATGTTATGTTTACATTTTAAGCTAACTATTAATCTCTATACTCAGTTATTATGGAAAATAAACAAATAAACATAAGAGGTGTATCAAGTTTTGATGAAAATGCTGAATTTGAAATAAAAACATTCAAATTTGCTATAATGCATTTTTTCTTATTGTAGAGAAAAATCTTCATTATACATTTTTACAACTAATAATATATATAAAGGTAACATCATAATAATGTAATGATTACATTTTGAATTTAGCAACACATTTAGCACATTCGGACAATTTAATTCTTGAAACATATTTGGACAAGCAGTCACTGAAAGAATGATGGAAATAATTTCATCATTCACAGAATGAAAGTTACACATTTCATGAGGGAAAAAATTGTAGCCAGAAGAGGCCAGAAATTAAGAAAGTATTTTTTACAGGTAAATAAAAAATAAGATATAAGTGAAGAATCCATGGAAGAAAAAGATTTCTTTAAATCAACTGAATACGACATTCAGTCTTTGACAAACTAAAAACATCTGGAACTAAAATCCCAAGTAGAAGCATAAAAATAAGTATACTCTTCCAGAAACACCACAAATTTTATCAACAAAAAACTAAAACAACATAGTATCGATCAGTTCAAAAACAAAAACCCTGTTTAGCAAAATTTTTATTTTACGTGAATTGCCGAGGAATGTATTACACATCAATTAAGTTAAGAGGTATGATTGTAAGTACATCACACAAATGAGATTAGGATCAGTGAGCCTAGAGCAAGCAGATTCTGGGGGAAAAGGGATAACTCAATACCCTTGATTTAAACCCAAAAACCTTGAGTTTAATATTCTATCAAAACATTTTACATTTTACTACTCTCTATGTGTCATTAAGATTATTCAACATAAAAATTGTACTATTAGACTAGATTTTACCTCTGGTGTTGATAGCTCATTCTGAACATCTGGCCGTTTTGCAGGTGACTTTTTCCTATGGCACACTAGTAGTGCTGCTACCTTCTTTTTATCTAAAAATATAAAAAAATGTAAAAAATTTTAAAGTTAAAAAGAAACATCTCTTAGAATCTTTGTAATTTAGTAACAACATTACATATCTGCACTAGTGTGCATTTTTTCCTGACATTTGGAATAAAGTAGACGAATAAAAATATAGTTAGTTACAATGAAATTTATAGGTACTAAAATGGTGGATTATTATTATTTTTTAAGAGAAATGATGAATAGTGGAGTGAGTGTGGTGTTCAATACTTTTAAAAAACACTTACCATGAGTACGAACTATCTTTTTAAAAAAGAAATTTTTAAGATGTTTAATGGTGATTGAAAATTGAATTAATACACAGAAAATTAAAATTACACTATTTAAGCACAAAACACAATGACAATTTTTTTATGAACAATTTTATTAATGGCAAACAGAGAAGTTATATGTGTAAAAACAGTAAATGGATGGAAAAAAATCTTACCTAATGCCTTTGGTGGTTCTGATTTCAGTTGTTTTGCAGCCTTAACTGATTTTTCAAGACATAAAGCGTCTATGTTTTTACTCAAATTTTTCTTTGCTGCCATTTTTTGTCTTGGTACTGAAAATGCCAGCTTCTTAAAGTAGCAGGGTTTTTTTGGCGTAGAACTAGGAGAACAGTCACTTTCTAACCTTAATGAACTATTTCTAGGAGATCTAAAATTTATTTCTTTTGTTCTTTCCACTGTCTTCGGTGTACAAGGAATATCTTCATTCTTGAGCGAACCAAGTTCAGATCGGCCAGGCAAAGATTTTACAGACAAATCTGATAAAGTGGTATTTTTTAATATTGACTTCCTACGAGATGGAGTGAATGAATCTTCCTTTAAACTAATGTTCATAGACGTCCTAGCCAAAGCTTTTTTCTTAGTTGAATTGAGTGAAAGGAATGACAACTGTTTAGTTTGACGGCTAGGAGTGACATTTGAACGAAGACTTGTTAGTGATCTATTTTCATTCTTAGTAGTCAGAGAAGGCGTTTTTAAAATTGACTTGTTTGAAAAATTTAGCTCAGAATTATTTTTAAAATTACATTGGTCTTTAGTTAGTTCGATATTGTCAACAACTGTATCATTATGTGATTTTTGAAGTCTACCATATGTTTTACTGAGGCTTGGAGAATCTTTAAGATTCTTAACTGAAGACTTAGATTCACTGGGTGAAAAACTAAAATTAAAAGCGCTTGTTTTTTCAGAGGGATTGGATGTAAAAGACCCATCAATTGTAGACAATTCCATTTTTAACATTTTCTTTTTTCTAAATAAAAATGGTGTTCTTTTTTCACCAAATTTGCTGTTCTTATCCAATTTGCACTTATCAGGAGCTGGTGTCGAATGAGAAAAACACATTTTACCATGTTTCGTTTGTGCATTGGCTAAAACAGGGGACGCCATTCCCATAAAAGATTTATCAAAATCAAAACTAAAATATTTAAATATGCATTAGTCCTTTAAATCTTAAGAATATATAATTTTTTTAATCAAAACTGACCTTCTTAGCGATTTCCTAAAATTAACTTTTGAATTGGAAAATACACGACACAGTAAACCTGTTTCAGAGAGCCTTTCCGCAATGATCTTACGCTTTTTAGTAGGATTTAGAAACTCTTTCTAAAACAATCAATTTAACCCGTATTGTTGTTAGTAAATTGATTAAATACAATTTATAACAAATTTTATCCTTTAGAATGCTCAAGTTTAAGCATATTGTTAGCATACTAACCATCAATCTTTTTTTTGGTCCGTCTACCAATTTTGCCCTTCTTTTCCTTTTCATTTTCCTAAAAACAAAATAAAGTCGTATAAACAAAATAAAATAATGTTAAAAAAGTAAAGTTTAAAAAAAAATGGTGCTCACTTTTGGCCAGTAGTCCATAACAACTGGACGTTCCCTATTGTTATCAAATCATTGTTTTTAAGCGTATAATCTTCACTACTTATGTTAACATTATTCAATAAGGTCGTGTTGGTTTGAGACATGTTTCGTATTATTGGCTATAACAACAATGTACAAATAAAATTAATTTTACATAAGTATGAGAATTACCTGCTGCCTACCGGCTCTCCATTTAATGTGATGATAACACAGTGTTGTGGTGAGACATTTGCACCGTATAATCTGACATTACAGTTAATATCATGCCCAATGTATGTGTGCATTGATTGGACTATGTAAGAAAATGGCACACTACTATCCTTCAATACAAGTTTTCCCTTCATCATGGTCTAAAAAAATTCGCATATGCATTAGTTAATATAATTTCTCGAACAGTTATAGACAAATATACAGATGAAAGTATTATTTCTATTAAAAATTAGATTTTATGGCATCAGGCTAATTTCAATAGCCACCAAGGAAATATAAATATAAATCAAAATTTACAAAATTTAAATCTCTCCAATTGTACAATTAAATTACTCCAATTGTACAACTGGTTATCTGACTTTTATTGTTACAACAGTGCTAGAGCACTACAAGTATCTTTGTTATCTTTATAAATTTTGTATTATAAGAGGGGAGAAGTAATCCATTAATTACACTACTGAGGGAGGAAATCATCGTGAGACCATTGGTGTTTTAGGCCCTATTCACACTTAGGTTTCTGAGTGACTGAGATACTCGGCAAAAAAGAGACCCTTCATGTGTAATTAGGTGGCGTCACATAGACATGGGTAGACACTAAGGACCCGACGTATTGATCTTCAAGTCTTCCAGTCTCGTCTCTCAACTGCATTTGTACTACTGGCATGTGCAATGAATGAACAAGTGCTCAATTTAAAATTATGGCAGAAAAGGAGGAATCATCACTAGAATTCCTAGATATTGTATATACACATTGAAGCTTACTAGATTCGTACTTCGCCAACAGCCAATATAAAACTGATTAATTTTCTATTCAAACAGCGAGCAACTTGGTAAATCATGCTACTCATAATAATATGATGCTAATGCTCGAGGCATGATTATGAAGGTGAAGGGCTATGAGATTCATCCAGTCTCCAGTTGTCAGGCAGCTGGTTACCAGATCTGCATCTGTATCTCCACGTGATGAGTAGGCCCTAAAATCATCAGGAACTGTTTGGGATAAAAGGTGTTGGACTAAGAGAGTTCAGGGTTTTATCAAGGCATCTCTACTTACTTCTTGTGATTTCAAATACAAATAGAATTTGAAAGTTGAAGATAGTGGGGTTGAATATGAAGTAGGGAGTTTGGGCAATGGTTCGAAGGATTCTGGACTGGAATAACTGGATTCGTTGTAATTTTAAACAATTGAATGAACTCCACAGTTCAATTCTACATGTTGTGTATAATGAGGTGCTGTTTTATAGCGAGTAGTTTATATTATAGGGTGAATGGGTAGTTCAAAATATACAATGGCAGAGGTATATAACGAATACAATAGCTTTTTGAAGGAATTGTTGGATTTGGGATAGAATTAGGTCAAAACTAGGAGCTTTTTGTTCGGTAAGCTTGACAAGATATATTTAACCTCAACAGGAGTGACAGCTTTCAGAGGGAGAGAAGATAGAAGGTATTCATCATATACATTTCAATTTGAAACATTATCACGCTCAGAATAAAGAGTGAGGGTTTTGTTGAGGTGTCGAACAAATATATCAGCTTTTTCATGGTCAGACTTGGCCCATGATCCATCTCAACACAGGGGTAAAGATGTAATGTGGTTTTTCAGGATTGTAATTCTAATGGAGAAATGTATCTACAAGTGAATCACGCTACACACACTATGGCTTACGGTGATGGTTATAAGTTGTATTCCATGAATTAAAAAAAAAAAATGCTCATATCCAACTACTTGGTTCTTTTTTCACTGTTTTTCATCTTTCTTCCTCCTTAGCAGTTTAACAGTTAGTAAAAAGGCAAAATGGTAATTTTCTTTTGTACAATATTCCAATATCAAGAACAGACATAGCAGAAGTAAACTGGACGAAATAACTGTGATTAAACACACTCAAGCATGATATTAGTTATTTTCTTACAATCGTGATTCAGGTATTGACAGCTAAATTGAGTAAGTATGGAAATGTCATTACTGATTGTGAAGATTCCCAAAAGGGAATCTTAAACAGGTTTATCTAGAAATTAAATTAATTGTAAATATTAAGATTAAAAGTAGGAATATTTTGGCTAATTGTTGGGAAAGTGTGTAAGATTGGGCAATCGGAAATGGCCTGGAATCTCGGGAGCTGACCCCGTCTTACTCGAAAACTCCAGATGCAGCTAAACAAACCTGGCGAAATGGTAAAAGCTGGATGTTTTCGACTGAGAAATGTGGGTCAATCCTAGGCAACCGCCCTTGAAAAATTTGCTGTTGTGCTGACGGGTGGCCTTATTACTCAACCATCAGGATTAGCTAATGCCCAGACTCATCCGGAATAGTCCAATGACCTGGGGAGGACAAGTGTAGTCAGGTCACACAAGGAAGCATAACAGTATTTCCTAACCTTGACGGGTTCACCACCTCCTCCCCGACTGATTGATAAAAGTACGATTTCAAAAAGAACGGGCAGTCCACTGTCGAGTCAGTCGGAGAGTCCAATAGAGTTAGACAGGGAATGGAGTCAGTGCAGTCCGGTCGAGTCAGTGCAGTTGAGTTGGGTCAGTCAGAGAGTCCCGTCAAGTCAACGAGGAGTTGAAAAGTAAAAGCGGTCAGTGGAGAGCGTGGTCGGGGCCATAGGAATTGGCAGTAGGTCAGGATTTGGCGAAAAGTTCACTAGGAGGAGCCAAAGAGTTGTCAAGAAGACAACAGCAAGAAGTTCACCCGAAGGAGCCGAAGTCGGCCAGGAATTGGCCCAAAGTAGGCCAGGAGTTGGCCAAGAGTCATCAAGAAGACCACGGCGAGAAGTTCGCATCGAGGAGCCAAAGTCGGCCAGGAGAAGACGAGGAGCCGAAGTCGGCCAGGAAACGAGGAGGGGACGAAGCCGGCCAGGAGTTGGCCGAAAGAGACGTCGAGAGAGAAGTCTAAAGAGCAGACTGAGGACAGTAGGCTGATGTGGCCATGACAGCCGGCGTAGAGAGGAATCAGTGAGAATTCCGTAAGAGTCGACAAGGAGTCGGGCAGGAGTAATGAGACCAATGCTAACATCGCAGTTTTGTGAGTACAATATTTGTCAATCAGTTGGCGGGAGAATTGGAGAACAGTTGGGGAAGATTTAGAGTCTGCTGCTGAATCCTGAATAATACGTGCCTCAAGTAAGCTGATTTAGGATAGAGATTTGTGTGAAAGCTTGGGTGTATTTAGTTATATATTGAAGTATTTATTTAAGCTAAGCAGGGAGAGAAATTAGAATTAGAATTGGGGTGTGTGAAGTGGGACCTAACAAAGAACTAAATTGGTTAATTATTTAGAGTTAATTTGTGAATTGTTTAATAGGAATAGAGAATTGTTAGTTTTAAGCAGGGATAGAGATTTATTCATGAATTGATTGTATATTAATTGAGCAAGAGATGGAACATGTCGGGGATTGTTCAGACTTATTAAATAAAGGGACTCGATTGTTCTGTCCGAATTGTTGTATCTTTTCCCAAACCTCCCCGTTCAGAGTTAGTGGAAAATAAGTGGAGGGTGTGCATCCGTCAAGTCCGGGCAACTTGACACATCTTACCCCCTAAAAGGCGAATGCGATCGCTCACTCAATCGAGCCGCGAGCCGCACGAAAACCGCTCACCACACTGATAACGTGAAAATGATATATCGTAATGTTTTGATTCACTTTTTTTTACAATGATGAGGTTAATGCGCTTCAAAACAATTTTTTTAAGCGATATCATCCTCCAGGTTTATTTTCCTTTTGTTTTGACAAATCCAATAAAGTAAAAGCCAGTATGGGAAAACTTACCCAGTCGACAAGTCAGTGAGGCTGTTTATCGGGGAAAAGTTGTAGAAGCTCTTGTTAAATTGAATAAAGCACTACCTGCACAGAAGTTCAAAGCAGTGTGGTTTTAAACCGCACCGCAGTTTCGTGAAACTTTAAACTTTAAAGGGTGTTGACTTTTTTCGAAATAGAAGAAAAATCACGTTTTGTTTACAATCACAAAGAACCAGTTCGAAGATGTCCCACCAACGGTCTGAACTACTGACCAGTGACCTGCACGCTCGAGAAGTTACAATGCTCACATAATTTATCCTATCTACCGGAATACCAAATACCAAGTCAACCCTCCAGATCAAACAATCCCTAGATAATAGGACAAAAACGTGTAATAACGGTCATTTTTAATTAAGTATTAAGTTCAAAATATGTAGGTTTTATTACGTATATCGCCGACATGCCGGTTTTTCTAACGTCGATGTCTATCATCTATTGTGGGTCATCGATATTTGACAAAATTTACAACGGTCATTTTCATTTGATCACGATTGAGTACTTCAAGCGAATAACTTTTACTTTTTTCTAACTCTAGTTTTTTTTGCGAAATTCTGTATTCTTTCAGACTTTCCTCAAGACGAACCTGCAGTACATATAGATCTTTTACAACTTTACAGCCATAAGATCGATAAATTTTTAATTGAAACAACAGCTTACTGTTTCTCTTAACTTTTACTGTCATTTACTGAAATGTTCATACTTTACAGAGCCAAAATCAAAATGCAGTCATGAGCAAAATAAATGAACCACCCTTAAATTTTAATGAATTTTGGTTTTTTCATATTTTCCATAGCATTTTGGTGATGACAGCCTGTAGCCGTACCTCACACATGAATACTGCTTTTTAAGCATAACTTCTTTCACACTTCCCTCAAAGCAGTACCTGTCGAACCTAGCAAGTAACTTTTTGGCCGCTTACAGCCATGAAGTTAGAAGTTTTGCAATTGGAACAATGGCCTACGGTTCTATCAAATTTTACTATTATTTACTAAAATGTGTTATAATGAGCTAAACTCGTAGATTTCAATTATAGTCTAGATCTTTTTTATTGTGCAAATAGATCACCTACAGGTCCATGGTGTTATTGTCGAGGTTAATAGTGTGCAGATTGAATTCTCCCAGTCAAGGAAATCCCGTAGCCATACACAAGCCACATTGATTGAATACCAAGCTCAATTTATGTACTATAGCAAGTGAGCTGTCACACGGTGACATATCAAGAACTCTTCTGCACGATTGTGAAGATTCCGACAGAAAATAAAAGTTATATGTAATGGGCATCTTTTATTATTAATTTTTTTTTTAATTTGGACATTTTATTTTCCAATTTCAGAAATAGGTTTGGTTAGTAATTTATCTATTTGGTCAGGGTCATCACCAAGTGCGTCTTTGATGTGCGATGGAATAAATGGAAAATGGAATTTCGAACTGGTGTCTATCTCTTTCATATATTTTACAATTTGTCAAAATGTGCTAAAATTTTATCCTTTCCCTACAAACATCACAAAACAGAGTATATTTTGTTGCCATGAGATAACAATGAGAGAGAGCCTCTCAGCATAGAAATGACATTTCTTCATGGGACCACAAAGAAATCCCTGAGGGTTTTTCCAGTCATTTGCCTTTATATTAAAAAAAAAAGTTTTGATTGAGGTCTGAGGTCATGTTCAGGCCTGGGATTTATAAACATTGTTTAAATTATACAATGTTTATCAATCCCAGGCCCTAAAGATGATCTCAATAAGGAACAAAACATTGGTACGATAAAGAAAATGTTTTTCTAACCTACATTACACCAGACCTCATCTCCCGAATCATCATCATTATTATTTTATTATAATTACATAAACTAGAAATGTATGGTTTATCACACTGCAACCTCAAACATTCATACAATGAATACTGGATTGCAGGCATAAAAACAACGTAAATCATATATTTTTCAATATTTTATTTGATTCCAGTTCAGTTTCTTTCACATATATAGTACAGTGTAACACATTCCTTTTATGTGGTACATAAAATAATAAGATAACTATAGGAAATATTAATATCATTCTACATTAATTATTAAGTAAACACCAGTTTTTGTAATATCGTATTCATGTTTGTTTGTTTTTTTTTTGTTTTTTCTGGATGCATAGTTATCTTAATTTTAATCTTAAAAATGGTCTATCTACAGTTCACAAATTAATCAGATGAGATCATGAATAAAGAATATTCATTATTATTCACATTAAAATTTTATTTTGGTGCAACGAAGTGCCAAAATGCTGCATTAACATATCATTGATATCCTATTGAATATTATCTATAATATATTATCTAATAAAATTTCATTTGCTAAAACTAAATTGTAGAAATGTTAATATTAAACTTGGACTTATCCATAACAGTAACAAAATATAGTTTACAAAAATATTTTTATTTTCTAATATACAAACAATTTAATTATAATTAATTCGTAAGAGAGTTGGTGGAAAAAACGCAACACAACAAAAATTACTCGTGTAATGCAGTGCTTAGGCATTCGGTATACTCTCATCTATATTTTGATAAAGCCCTCCTCCTAAAAAAGAAATTATGAAACATAAAGAAAAGTCAAATTTTTAGAGAAAACAGGAGTATTTCTTAATATATACATTTTTTACTGCAGGTAATGTTATTATTGCATATATAAAACAAGTTTGGTTATACATATATTCTGTGTTAACTGTTTCAGAGAATGTATTTATAAGCATGAATGTGTGTGTAGTACAGGAGATAATAATGGTGTAATATCAAGTACCCCCATCGACCTCAATTATAATAGTTAGTGTTTATAGATGGAGGAAAATCGAGAACTTCATAATCCTATATGAGTGAACGCTAGTAAATAAAAAATTTCAAAGAGAGTGTGTTTAAGTGCATGGGGGGGGGCTGTATGACGCTATTGTCAATAGGAAGCCCAATTTCAACAATGGTATGGATAAGGCCAAAGTCTTATGCCAGAAAACCATTTTTAAAAATATCAGTTTATTGAATTTTTTTAACTTTCCAGTCTTCTTCAATGTTTTATTCAGGTCTTCCATTATGGAAATCATTGCAACAGTCTTGAAAAAATGAAGATATATCCTTCAGAAGAGTTAAAAAATTTGTTACAGTTGAAAAACAATTTAAAAATTTTAAGCAAACTGTAAACCAATTTTTTTTTTTTAATTCTCTTCTTAGAGCTGTATTTGAAGGTTAACGATGTTAACTGTTAAAAATTACATGACTATTAATTTCAGTGATACAAGCATTCTAAAAAAAATTAAAGAAGACATATTTTTAACAGTAACCAAGATAAAGAAAAGTAAAAAGTTGAGTGTCTCCCTATACTTAAAAACATAAAAAAACTAATACTAACTATTTTGGCGCAATCGCAATAAAAATTCCAACTAAAAACACATAAAAAAAAGAAATTGTAGTTCTCACTACAGCGCTAAATGAACAGATTCTGTTAAATTTTAAATTATATTTGTTCCATTCTGTAATTAAAAGGATAATTCTTACCAGATTTTTATTTAATAAAAAGTAACAGGTTTTATCAGTTATCATGAAATACTAACCAATGAGTCCATCGGAATAGGTGTCTTGCCGTGCTTTAGCTTCTTTGTTAAGTACAATATGAGAAACAACTCTTATTACCATGTTGAGTATACCACTAATTTTTGCCACAACTAAAATAAAAACAATCATGCTAATAACATTCAAACTATAAAATTTAAATTAAATAATTTAATTAAAATAGTATGTTAAAATTAATGGTAGTGTATTGATGTTTAAAGATCAAGTCAATGAAAAGTCACCAAAAGTGATATAATTTTAAAAACAGGGATGACATTTAGTAATTTACAAAACTGAAATTTCTTTTTCTTAGAAAATTTGAAATAAGTGGAGGTAGTGTTGTTGAGTTATAATCCATGAAATGCTTTGACTATTTCATCAAATGTTTTTAATTATTTTTCATTGAAAAGTGGATCAAGTAAACTAAATATAGTTTGATGAGATTTTTATTTATATTTTTTATGGCCTGTACTTTGGTCGTTTCTTTATCTATTTATTTATTCAAATTTCCAGTCCCAAAAGGCAGCCCCACATCGGGGCAGTGAATATAGCACATAAATAATATAGCAGGTAAAAGCACAACTGAACATTGCTTATGAAAATTTAATCATTAATCAAACAAAATAGCAATTTGTCTCACAGTTTTCCCCAGTACCAGAATTGCCTTTCTAATTGATCTTTAAAGGTGGCAGGTCTGTCCTGTTACTGAACTGATTGAAAAGTTTAGCTATTCAGTGGGTTGCAGCTGACTGACTACATATTTCTACGATAGACAATAAGAAATAAGATTTGACCTCTGAAATTTCAATTACGCAAAGTAATAAAAAATGGAAGAAAGGATATCGGAAGCATTCATGGTATGAAAAATTTTCCAACAAAAACTAGACTGGCTAAGATTCAACTGTATTCTAATCAGTCGAGGCCTGATAGACCTAGAACTATAACCTTAGAAAGTACTCGTAATGAAGCCTAGATTTCTTTATGCAACTTTGATTGTGTTGGAGTTAGTCACACCCAGATCCGACCAGGTGGAGAGGTCTAATAGGTAGGTTACCATTTATGCAGTATTTAAAAGCTAGAACAATTGGAAATCTCTTTGAAAATTTTGAGACTTTGTATTAATTATTGGCCAATTGGCACCATGCTGAGAAGGGTATCTACATATTTTTGTAAAGCAATACAATCACTTAAATGTACATATTTGTTTGTACATTTTAAGGTCGTCAGCTAACAGACAGTACTTGTACTCAATATATTATGTTCGTTGTTAAAGAATATGGGAAAGAAAATTGGTCCAAAGATTGTACCCTAAGGAACACCAGAACAGGTGTTAACTGTGTGGACTCTGCACTGTCAAATTTCACTACATCAGATCTCAGTAAGAAGAAGGATTCTTATAATTTTGATCTGCCTATCCTCGTTGTTTTTTTTCTACCTCATCAATACTACCCTGTTCTATATAAACTCAGTCTTTAATAAATTATAAAGTTTTGGAAGAAATCAACAATCAATTGAAACGGAGACAATATTTTCAATATGTGGTCCCAGCCATTTACTCATATTATCAAACCAATTGAAAAAAATAATACAAAGTATTATTAAACATATAAAGTGAACTGAAACTTCATAAAAAAAAACTTATTGCACCATAAATAATATACATGACATTCTTATGATTAAATATATTTACCTTTAGGTGGAGGGTAAGAAACTAGCAATACTAAATCAAGAATTCCTGAAATTACATTTATAACCAATGCCTGAAACAAAAACAAAAATTACATAAAAGAGTATACATGTAAAACCAAGGGCTTAAAAATAAATTTATTTTTGATTGCCTTTTAACACAATAGAAAAACATATCCAACATACCCAAACATGGATTTTAAATAGAACATTTAAAGAACCCATTATGTTTAGTCGTCTGATTGACCAAATTACTTCTTTCAATTAATTATTCTTTGTATGTAAGGTCTTGGTTGAAATGAAAAAGTTGAAAAATGGCAAAAAAGGAGGAAAAATTCTAAAGGTCAGGTTGAGATGGGGAGTTGGTGTCCGAGTGGATCAAAGTCACGATAGCTCATAGCTCAAGAGGTTAGAGTAGGGGCGTATTGAGCCGAAGGTTATGGGTTCGAATCCCGCTCGTGACACTAACTTTTTCATTTCAACCAAGGCCTTACATACAAAAAATAATTATTTAAGAGAACTTTAAATTTATAATTTGTTGCCTTTCTCTATTTAGTAATGAATTATCCAAAAAATGATGTCCATAAATACATATATTTTTTTAAATAATATAAAATTGAATTCAGAATATCCAATTCATGCCTAAAAAAGTTGATTATAGTCAACAATGAATTAATTAAAAAAGCTATTAACCACGATGTCTTGAAACAGAATCTGTTAATAAATAAAAATATATTTTACAATTAATCTAGTTTAAAAAATCATATATTATGTAATAGCATTACATCACAATACAATACAATATTTTTAAAAAGTCAGCAACTAAAATTTGATGATAATGATTTTAAACTAAATTTATAAATAATCAATATATATCAAATATAATAAATTAAAAAATTTACCATTTCTAAAGGCTCATGTTTGTCATGTAACAGTATTCCACTTCCGAACATATATATATAAACCAAATTATATAACATGTATGAACCCATACTACCAGCGGCCACACATGATGAGCCTAGCAATGTACTGAAATAAAATCATACATATCAACATCAAATGGTTAAATTGATGAGAAAAAACTTTTTTCAGTGCAATTATATTAAGAAATTTGTAAGAAAAATATGTTACATGCCACAAAATATTAAAAGTTTGATTCAAATAAATGATAAATACAATAATTACTGTAGTTATAGACATTACAACATCAATAAAGAAGTATTTATATTTGTAATAAATAACATAATCAATTATAATAGAAAGAAAATCTTTCATTGTTTTGGGAAAGGTCTTCCTGCAGTTTTTAATATATTATACAATAAATGTACATGCAATTACATAAAATAAAAATGTAATTACATATAAGATTTTATCAACCATTCACTTAACAATTACAATTAATAACAACTTGGAAGGAAAAACTTACCAAGAAATGAGTACTAGGTGTGTATAGAATAGTGTCTGAAAAAAATAATAAAAACAACATTAAAAAATGTTTCCTTTTAATTTAACTTTTCAAATAAATATTTGAATTACAAATTTCTATATTGGCCATTTAACAAAAATTTGACAGTTTAAGAGTTAAATTGACTAAAGTAGGTATTAATTTAAAATAAATTTGAGAAAAAATAGCCGGTCACGGGTACGAACCAAACCCGCCTTTAGAATACTAAAAGTATTTATTGTTATAATTTTCAAAAAGAATGTAAGACACTCCACCAAGGCACAAAACTCGTATGAATGTTTGTTACATAAGAACAAGCCAATATTTTCTCTAATATTCAAAATTATTTAATGCCGAACATGCTATGACATCGATGGTATCAAAAGTTACATAACTGAGTCAAAAATTCAATATTTTTAAAACATAATTAACTTGGTATTTAGTTTTTAAACAAAGTTTTTGCAGTTCAGTCAACCTTTACTAATTTTAAACGGTAGCAAGTATTTGGGTCCCCAGTTATGATTTTTAGAAGAAACAGGGCTTTTTTTTTTATTGTATACAGTAAGTAAAAGTTATCTTGTTTTGTGTTCTGTTCTTTGTACATACAAAATGAATATATTTATTAGTGTAAATGTTTAGTGTGGCCAATGGCGGATATTGAGTAACCCGTATTACCCTCAATTAGAATAGCTAGGTATAAATAGTATGTGTAAAGAGTGATGGAGGAATATCGAGTACTCCACTACACTGATTGAGTGAGTTAACATTAGAGGATGAAAACACCTAGCTGTTTACAGCCCCTGGTGCCTTCAGTGACAGAACGGATAAGGCTGAAGTTGGCCTCGGCCTGCCAAACCCGAGGCAGGTTATTTTTGCAGCCTGCCAGTAAATTATTGTAAATTACACAAAACCGGATAATGCTGACATGAGAAGTCTGGTGTATAAATCAGTTATCAGTGTTAATATTTTGTAAATGGAATTTGTCCATTATTGGTCTAGTTTAAACATTGAATTGAAATGCCTGTTATATAATACACTAAACATATAAATAGGTGTCTTTCAACACACTAATTTGCATAAGATGTAATATGCATCCTTCTCCCATTTATACTTTTTACACTCTCCCACCAATTCTCCTACTACACAATACCATTTGAAATTCCTCCCTGAAAAGAGCTGCTTCAGAAAGAATAAAAAGAAGAAATAAAATATCACTGGCTAATCGCTACCATTTTTTTTTTTTTTTTTTTTTTTTTTTTTTAAACTGGATTATTATTATTATTGGAGTGATTATTCTATGAAAAACACATACTTTTCTTTTCAGTGTATTATTTCAATTAATTACCGATTTTGTGCAAATACGTAAAAAATCAATCAGAAAAAAAAAAAAAAAGGAAAAATTGCTGTAATATAATCAGAAATAAACGACCTTTCTTCAACTTCACACCCAAATAGAACAAACGTTCTGCATGGTGCTTACTTCATTTACAACTCTTGCATATATGGTTTTTATCACTTTGGGATACATAAAAAAATTAAAAAATCATTTACATTATTTTTAAGTACCAGAAAGATATTTTGCATATCTATATATTTTCCAGTCGATAAAGAGCTTAGAGATTTTTAAAGCTTATTAAAGAGCTTAGCTCCGCCTAACGTTTTTTATCGACGTATTTTGGGGAGACCACTATCCTTGGTAATCCTTATTAAAAAAATGACTTATTTACTATTGAAATTTTTAGTATAAACTAGTTTTATGTTAATTATAGAAAAAAAAACTTGTCTTAGTTCAACTTAACCAACCTCATGTACTTCGAGACCTCGTGGTCGATGTGTCGAGTTTTTTTTCGTAATTCTGCAATGTTAATATGAGAAATAGGATGCTGCCCTGATGTTGGTCTTATAAAGGCCGAAAGCTTGGCAAGTGATCAGAGTCTACTTCTTCTCTACCTAACCAGAAACCAGATCCCAAACACACTAAAATCAATCTTCAAATACATGCCATTTCTACTCAGTTTCTATATGGAATGAAGAGATGATGCCAAGTAAACATTATCTACATGGCAGTCTGGGTTAAGGCCTGTCTTTTCTGTCCTGTCCTGGCTATGTCAAACATATACAGCCTATTTTGAATCTTGTGAGAACTCTTCTCTAACTCAGTTCTTCCAAGATTAGCCCTACTGAGAAGTACTAAGAGCGTCTCTGTCTACTCAGCCAAGCTACATTGACATCAACTTTCTTTTTATTCTTTTGAGGGAAAAGTTGGCCTGATTGGGGGATCATGACCAAAACAAAGAGTATTATTATTTTCTTTACTATTCTATCAGGTTTTTCCTTGGTTGGTTTTATTAATGATTATGTGGTAGATATAAATGATCAAGTTGAACGATTTTGTATAAAAGCAATTTATTCGTAACATTTTCAAAACTCATCCTCAACAAATTTTCATTCAGAGTGCTAATTGAAAACTCCACATGAAAATTCACAGAGGATGAGACGAGTGTGCCTTAAAAATGTTACAAATAAATTGCTTTTATAAAAAAAACGTGGTTATTCAAGTACAAAATGCTACCTACCAAGGTAAATTAAGTATCTTATAAGTATATTTTTTATCTACACTGCATGAAAATTTTTTGCAGGAATAAAACTTTGTTTCAAAATAAATTACATGAACTCATGTTAAAAAAAAATGGTTTTGTAGTGATCTGAATTTAAGCATTAAACGCTCATCATCAGACTAAGCGAAATATCTACATGTACAATACACACAAATTTACTGACTATTGTAAACAAATTTGTAGATTATTTGCATAGTCTGGTTATGAATAATCAGGATCAGCTATGGTCTTGCTTAAAAAGGATATTCAATGTTACTGCCAAGCTTTCAACCTATTTTATGGCCATTATCAGGGCAAAACAATTTTAAATATGTCTGTAAATTGACATAATTAAGATTTTCATAGATTTCAAATTTATTTGAAGAACGATATGTCCCAACATTGCCAAGGGCAGTAGCCATCTAAAAATTTGAAATCGTCTATTAAAAACTTAATTATATTAATTTATAGATCCATTTAAGATTGTTTTGCCCTGATGATGACCTTGAATGGTCGAAAGTTGGCATGAACAATTAGTTTTTTCTTCAAGACCATACCTGATCCAGATTATCCATCAGTAAAAAAGTGGTTGATACATCTAACACTTAAAAACGTGTGATGATGAGCATTTAATGCTCAAAATTTGAATTGTTGCAAAACCTGTTTTTACGTGCTTTAAATAGGCTTCACTTCTCAGCAGCCTTTCTATCACGTAATGCCGAGCAATTTGGGTTTAAAATTTTCAAAAAATTAATTTACAAAAAAGGGTAACCAAAAGACGAGCAATACTGTTTAAAATTAATCCATATATGTATTTAGTAGTCATAACTGACTGTATTAATTGTTTTAATCAATTATACTTTTAATCAAAAGTATTGGTTGAGTTGAAAATATGGCAAAAAGAGGGAAAAATTCTAAAGGTTGTGGGTTGAGATAAGGAGTTGGTCCGAGGGAATCGAAGTGCCCATAGCTCAAACGGTTGGAGTAGGAGCATATTGAGCAGAAGGTTGTGGGGTCGAATCCCACTTGTGACACTTGCTTTTTCATCTCAACCAAGACCTTAGATTAAAAGTAAAATTAATTTAAAATGTTTAAAATGGCCATCTTTACTGTAATTTTGCCCCTTGTATGTACCAATAACTAAAAGTGAAAAATTCCCTTCAACATGTATTGATTATGATGGACAATAAACTCCAGTATTTTAAAAGTAAATAAAATGACATCAAGAGAGTTTAGAAGTTTTTATTCAACATAATTATTTTACACTTGTACAAAAATAATTATTAATCACTGTTCAACCGTCCTATCGGACTGTTCAATCCGCTCTTTCAAACTGATTGTATTACTTTTATTGCTAATTACAATGTACTAATTTTAACTATACCAAATATTTTTTTACCTCGTTTAGAGAAAAAAAGATAGATTAATGTATCGACAAGCTTCTAATAGAAATTTGAAAATAATCACCAATTCGTAATAAATTAAAGAACGTAGTATGACCTAAACCCGGAAAAATTGATTAAAAAATATTTAATTTATCTTAATTTAACCAGAAACTAATCATTTATATATTTTAATAATAAATTTATGATTTACTTTAAGTCAGTTGGACAAAATTATTTCTATATTTTGACCATATAGTCAGACAATAAGGTTATATTTTCAACAAGTCACAATAATTTGAACAAAAACATGGTTTATTAAATATAAATTCAGGCTTACTTTTAAGTTGAGTATTTCGTTTCTCAAGTCCATGTTACGTAATTGACTAAGTTACGACTAGACTAATAAAATAAGACGTAATATAATTGACTTTTTTATTTTGAATTATGAATCAATCATCTGACTCACGAATGTTTTAATAAAACAGTTTAAAGTATAAGCGCAATTATCAGACTTTCCTTCTAAAAACCGAACGATAAACGGATAACAGTGTCGACTTCGATCCTGGGGCTGGTCGTTTACAGCCTTCAAATTGTTTATTTTAACAGAACATGTCGAATACGCATTTTCTTTTCTTTATTTAATGGGCAAACAAATTTTACATTATGATAAATAAACGTAGACGATTAATTTTACTTAGGGTGCGTTGCATTTCGAAGAAAATTTGAATGCTTTTAACAGTAATAAACCACCCGCGCGAATTGAAGAAATAAAAGCAAAAACGCACATAAATATGTTTAACATAAATAGGTAAAATCAAGCTTTTTAGATGTTCTTTTTGATCTGGTGTGCCACAAGGCTCCAATCTTGGTCCTTTTCTCTTTCTCTTCTTCATTAAAAAATTCAGCAAAAAGGAAATATACTAAATATAGATTTATTTAATGCGTATTGCATTTAAAAAAAAAATTAAATGTTTACAAAGTTTTATAATATTGTAAATTAATTTATCCGTTTATATATTTTATGTAATATTATGTTTATATATTTTATAACATCTATTTTTTATTCTTGATTGTCCAGGTTAAATAGTTTGTTCCAGTTAATTCCCTTTTTCCTCTCCTTCGGGTTCACAATACTTTGTGTTAAATTAGCCAGATAATAAACATAAAAATATATTTTATATGCTTCTGATATTTTAATTATTTGATGTTATTGAATTTTATAGTTCATCTATATGTATTTAATTAAATTAGGCTATTAGCCTGTATTTTCAAATTAATTAATTAATAAATAATCCATTTATGTTAGTGGTCTAAATGACCAAATTACTTCTTGCAATTAATTATTCTTTTTACGTAAGGTCTTGGTTAAATTAACAATTAAATTAACAATGTTTTAAATTTTATTTTTCTAGCAGTTAAAAAATCTTTGAAATGTAAATGCGTTAATACATTTATATATTATCAACCTAAGTTATGACACATCAAAAATGATGATAGATGATGCAATATGATAGATGTTTGACCAAAGATGATATATCGCAAAATTGTACAAAACTATTAGCTCTTTAAAAATAAATAAATATATATATATATTTCTACTTATAAAATTGACCTTTGTTGATATTTTAATTTATTAAACAATTTATTCAATCAATACTTATTGCATATTAAATAAAAAAAATTATGTTTCCGAAGTTCCGTTCCATACTTATTTGTTCTTTGTATTGAAGCGGTAAATTTGGTGAAAAGTTTTAGCTGTACTTTTGTTTTTAAACAGAATAAGTTGATTTCCTCTCAGGTAGTTTAGTGATTAATGGAAAAATGCAGAGCATTTATATTTTAAAAGCTACTTGAAATAAAAATAAAGTATAAATGATGATTAAGTCATCGACGAAGTAGGTCAACGTGTGTTCACCTTCCTTCTAACCTTTTTAGATCGCCCATTTTGTGATCCACGCGTTTCTATCAGTTCGTGCGGACTTTTGTTTTTTTTTACCATGGCACCTGTGAGTATCTTGTTTTAAGCGGAATATTTTCCATATATTTATCGCTTTCATTCCCCGATTGCTAAATTTAAACCTTAAAAGTTAGAAATAGAAGAAATTCTGTTGAGAAAACATAATTTCCGAACCCTTCTAAAAACCCTGCTCGTTTCATTGTCTTGAGGTTTTCTTTACTTTTCGCTTTATTTAGAACTAATATTCTAATTTTCTAAGTTTTTAATTAATTATGATTTATGTTTGTAAAGATAAACGACATTCGGTTGAGGTTATGAGTGTTAAAGCACGTGTTTTGTTGCAGGCAAAGAAACCTGGTGCCGCTGCAAAAAAGACACCGACGACAACAGTCACTTCTGCGAAAGTAGGAAAGACGGCTGCCAAACCAACGGGAGGTGCGACGGCAGCGAAATCGGCCCCTGCCCCGGCTGCCAAACCTGCCCCTGCGAAACAGGCGACGGCGAAGCCTGCACAGCAGAAGCAGACGACGAAGCAGCCTCAGGCAGCGACCAAAGCCGCCGCTCCTGCTGCGAAGCAGGTGACGGCGCAGTCTAAAGCTGCACCTGCACCGAAGGCGCCTGCGGCAGCCAGTAAACCCGCTGCTCAGACAAAGCCGGCTCCGGCTGCACAAAAACCCACGACAGCTCCGGCTGCTAAGAAACCAGCGGCAGCCCCAGCACAGAGTGGCGCTTTGAAAAAAGCCGTTCAGCCTAAAAAGGCACTAGGTGCTTCGAAAAAACCACACCAAGGTGTGAAGAAACAAACTCTTAAAGGGAAAGGACAAAAGAAAAAGAAGGTCTCTTTAAAGTTTGTTATCGATTGTACACATCCGTATGAAGATAAAATCATTGATGTTGCTAACTTTGTAAGTATATTTCAAAACAAGATTAAACTATTTTCGTTCTTGTGAGAAACAAAACCAAAACTGCAAAGAAACAACTTTTTTTTCTTCTGTTTCTACTGAATTTAAGAAATAACTTATGGTTAGAGTTCTTTCCTCCACTGTGACCTAAACAGGTCTATTGTGGAACCGCTATAGCTTATAGTCATACCGTGGAAAGGGCGCTATTGCTTATGAAACAGCACTTTCCATGGTGCTTCTTCGTGGATCTCCTTGGGTATGACGTCCCACAGATTTGGCTGTACTGAAAACGGCTAACGCATTACATTTGCAAAGGAAACCGCTGATGTCTCTGGTTCCTCTTGATAGAGCCAGCATGTTTCCGTCTCAGCCTTGCTCATCTTCTTAAGGTGATAGTTAAGAGGGCAGTGTCCGATGTAGAAGCCTATTATTTTTCTCAAATCCTGCCTAATAGGAGAGGAATTCTTTCACCTTCTGTTTTGAGATGTTTATAAATCTCTTAGCTAGTCTCATACCAGGAGTATTTGTCCAGTGTGCGTTTTTCTTTCTCGATCTTTTTTTCCAGTTCCAGCTTAAGCACACACACTCTGGAGTACTTAGTTGTGGTTCTGGTTCATGAGTGAGAGGATTTCCCTTTTTTTTGGCTAGTTGGTCATCCTGTTCATTTCCTTCTATGACTTCATGTTCGGGAACCCACTGTAAGGTATCTTGTTTTGCTTTCCAAGAGTCATTAGGCAGTTCAGGCACTCCCAGACAAGTTGTTTAGTCATGAGATGATTTTACTCATTTCCATTATTTTACTTTTGTAGAAGATTTTGGTACGGCTTGCAGCTTACTTTCCACCGTCAAATGAATTCTTTGTTTGGTACAATTCAGACTGATTTACTTCCATGTATACATATTTGGGAACAATTTCCAAATACTCTATCAAACAATAATAATGAATTACAACATGTAAGATAAAGGTCCCGGGTTCGAATCCATTGGCCATGCATTCCAACCAGACATACTTACAAATGTTTTTTTTTCTCCCCCTCAAAAAAAAAAAATCGGCACCCTGAGGGTTCAGGTTGAAATACCTTGTTAAAAAAAAATTACTTAATCTCAGCAGCACTGAATTAGAGACGTAAAGACTTAAAATGACCACAAATTAATAGTAAAAGATACACTTGGTAAATTGAAAACAATTTGGAAGAATGCTTACAAGGTCAATAAAAATATCAACTTGAGTTTGGATATTTCTGATCATTTTGGTTTCCCTGTCATATCTGTAAGACGTGTTGTGGCTTCTCGCCATCTTTAGTAGTGTGCTTATGGTTACCTAAGGGTTTTCAATAGTCTGTAACTGGATTAGGTGATTATCGTGTCTTTTCTTAGACCATTCAGGATGGTAAATGCTCTGTGCTTCCCAAGTGAGAAACTGATATCGTGCTCTTCTCTCTTCACTTTTAGCTTTAAGTTCATAGAAGTAGTGTGCTGTTATTAAAAGTTATTATTTTTAGCTCAGAGAGGGTGGAAATTTAGAGAAAAAACGCATTTTTTACTCTTTTAAGCACACTGCTTCTTTGAACTTCATTCATAAAGCAAAAAGACTAAATCACGATATCACACTTGCATGCTTTCAGTATCCCTCTGGGGGAAACAAGAGCACGATATGACACTCGTGCTCTTCTCTCTTCACTTTTAGCTTTAAGTTCATAGAAGTAGTGTGCTGTTATTAAAAGTTATTATTTTTAGCTCAGAGAGGGTGGAAATTTAGAGAAAAAACGCATTTTTTACTCTTTTAAGCACACTGCTTCTTTGAACTTCATTCATAAAGCAAAAAGACTAAATCACGATATCACACTTGCATGCTTTCAGTATCCCTCTGGGGGAAACAAGAGCACGATATGACACTCGTGCTCTTCTCTCTTCACTTTTAGCTTTAAGTTCATAGAAGTAGTGTGCTGTTATTAAAAGTTATTATTTTTAGCTCAGAGAGGGTGGAAATTTAGAGAAAAAACGCATTTTTTACTCTTTTAAGCACACTGCTTCTTTGAACTTCATTCATAAAGCAAAAAGACTAAATCACGATATCACACTTGCATGCTTTCAGTATCCCTCTGGGGGAAACAAGAGCACGATATGACACTCGTGCTCTTCTCTCTTCACTTTTAGCTTTAAGTTCATAGAAGTAGTGTGCTGTTATTAAAAGTTATTATTTTTAGCTCAGAGAGGGTGGAAATTTAGAGAAAAAACGCATTTTTTACTCTTTTAAGCACACTGCTTCTTTGAACTTCATTCATAAAGCAAAAAGACTAAATCACGATATCACACTTGCATGCTTTCAGTATCCCTCTGGGGGAAACAAGAGCACGATATGACACTCGTGCTCTTCTCTCTTCACTTTTAGCTTTAAGTTCATAGAAGTAGTGTGCTGTTATTAAAAGTTATTATTTTTAGCTCAGAGAGGGTGGAAATTTAGAGAAAAAACGCATTTTTTACTCTTTTAAGCACACTGCTTCTTTGAACTTCATTCATAAAGCAAAAAGACTAAATCACGATATCACACTTGCATGCTTTCAGTATCCCTCTGGGGGAAACAAGAGCACGATATGACACTCGCTTCTTGAAATAGTTCTATTCTAGTTCCAATAATGAATAGCTAATAGCCATTACTCATTATGTTCAATTTAAAATGACAGTAAAACGTTTTTCTCCTGTCTATTTTATATTTTATTTATTTAATTTTAGGAAAAGTATCTTCAGGAAAGAATAAAAGTGAATGGAAAAACCAACAATTTTGGAAACAACCTTCAGCTAGAGAGAAATAAGATGAAAATTATTGTAACATCAGATATTCACATGTCTAAAAGGTAAATATAATTAATTTATTGTTGTTAGAACTTTGCTTTTATTTGTTTAATTTTCAGTGTGAATGCCTAGGATATTTAAATTAACTGTGGTTGTAAAACGTCATGACATTTTATTCCACTTTTCACTTAATAAAAGTTGTTTACAAGATGTAAATTGGTAGGCCAAAAACATTTTGAGCTATTATTAGTACAGTACACTCTCAATAACTTGAACCTTAATATTTTTTCAAATCCCTTTCATTTTCCTAGTGTTTGCTCACATTTATACCTTACCTCTAAAAGTTGAACATATCAAAATGAAGACGTTGATTAGACTTTATTTATTTATTTTTACATTTCTTTACCTGATGGGCTCTCCAATCTCTTCTCTTCCTCTCTTTTAACAGGCCTACACCAAACAGAGTCAACATTTCACGCTTATCAGGGGTTTTTTTTCATTAAGTTTTAAGTTTGTTTTTGTTTATGAGTTTGTTAATTTATATATAAAAATAAATGCCTGTGAAATGTCATTGTAAGATGTTAAGCATAGAGGAGAAACGCAAAATTATTAAGGCAGGAGATGAAGGCATTAAGAAAAAATGGCGACATTGCCAAAATATTCAGCATGCCACCAAACTCTTTATCCGCAATTTAAAAAAAAAGTAGGCATAAGTATGATATAGCGAGTGGATTACCTCAAACCTCGATTAGTTGAAAACCTAGATAACTCAATTTTTTTAAATTTACTTCCTCCTGAGATTCTAGTTATCGAGAGTCAACTATAAGTAGTATAAATATTTCATGCAATTTTGCTGTTAGTGGTAATTTTGGTAAGCCTACCCTTCTGAATTGATCAAACACATTTTGGCATTACCCCTTACCAAATTGCTGTTTCTGTTTGTTTACAATTTCTCATTGTACATGCATTGTTTTGTTTTCAGATATTTGAAGTATCTCACGAAAAAGTATCTGAAAAAAAATAACCTCCGAGATTGGCTTAGAGTTGTTGCAAGTTCTAAAGACACCTATGAACTTAGGTACTTCCAGGTAAGTCGAATGTCTTATTTCAACATACATTGAATTTAGTTAAATGATTTTTTCCCTTCATTATTTATTTGCCATGTCACTTAAATAATGTTTTCAAGTTTAAATAATTTTTCCTCGTAAATGAATTAGTACTCTTTTGAGCATGTTTAGGTGTGTATGAACTCTTACGTTTCAGTATATTATAGCCATTTTTATTTGTTACCCCTTATTATCATCTTTGGTTGTAAATCATTTTGAATAAAATTTAATTACCACTTTTAATTTAAAAAAATTACTCCAATTCAAAAAGTTCAGACTCAATTTCTTTTTTCTTTTGTATTTTTGTTTTTTACAATTAATACATTATTTAAAACGCAGAAATATATTTTAAAAAATGCATGAATTTGGCACAAATGTTGCACAAAAAGAAAAGGAAAATTAAAGTAATTACTTTTATTGTAAATTAATTAAATAATTTTTGTGTAGATCATATGATTGGATTGGTTTTTATGTATGAAATTAATCGTACCTTCTAAATGAGCAAAAAAAAAAAATATTTAACAGAACTCCACATTTAGAAATTAAAAAAAAAGAAAAGGAAAATTTACCAATAATTGTACAGTCAACTCCCTAGTAAGTCGAAATTCAAGGCTCTGGGCGGTAGTTTGACTTATTATTATTACTTAATAAATTTTATATTGAAGTTGATGTTTAACATATAACATTAAAAAAGGGATATAAGTAATCATAATGAACATGTCACAAATTACACTGAGAGGCAAAATATTGCATCTCTGACACAGGGACTCGTATTTTAAAAGTTTAAAAAATTGTTAATTTTGGTATTGCTCCAGTTTAACTTATGATTTTTCCTTCTCGAAGGTGGGATAATAGGTCATCTCAATGACCTATGATGAGATGACCTATTATCCAACCTTCGAGAAGGAAAAATCATAAGTTAAACTGTTGAGGTTGAAATATAAGAAAACATCGTTACTGTTCCAGTGTTAAGTAGATAAAAAAAACTTAAAATTCAACTTAAAATGAAGCTCTAGACTTAAAAGGAATAGAGGTATTCCAGGGATCCAAAACTATTCCCAAGTTAAAAGCTTTACTACTAACTCAAGGCAGCAGAATTGAATTATAAATTAATTTGCTTCAATGGATCTGACCATTAGCATATTTCTTCAAAGGAACTGTTTCAACTTTCATCCTGGTTGAATGAACTGTATTGATTTATGCAGTTGTCCCTTGTAAACCCACCTTACTGGAAAATCTTAATGAAATAGATGAGACAATTTGTATTTCATAGAAAGAAACGAACAAAACAACAAACCCAACTCATCCTTAGTTAGACGTATTGAATATAGTGATTTGGTTTTTAAACATATTTGCTTGTAAAAATGTTGCTCATCTGTGTTTATTCATTTTTGTTACAGTTCAACAGCCAAGAAGATGAAGATGATGAGGATAATGATTGAAATCATTGCTTTTAAAATATGATATTTTGTAAATTCTTTGTAACCAAAAGTTTACAAAACAGTTGTAACAGTTTTTATTTTATTTCCCATTCCATTTTAGTTTAGTTTTTTTCTAAGCACATTCAGGTCTAGAAATTATACAATCATGTGAGATAAATATAATTTTATTTTGATAAGTCTTAGCCCTTTTAAGTTATGAGTTAGAAGAGAGATATGTTTGTATCATAGTCTACTTGGTTCACATGATTAGGTCTAAAAAATCGGTTTAGGCCACTATTAAATTGTATAATTAATACAATTTAATATTTATTAAGTTTTTAATAATAGTTAATAAATATTAAATTGTAAGCTTCTTCAGACAAAGTGGAAAAGTTCAGCTTTTCCCTTAGAGAAGTTGAAAGTCAAGCGTGATTGAATAATAATTTTTCCACCGTCATATTATGGATAAACATTTTCTTTATCGTGGCACGATAAAGAAAATATTTTTCTGAAACCTACATCACACAGACCGCATCTCACGATTTCTGAATAATCATCTACTAACGGTCACTAATCACCACACATTATGAATAAACTTGATTCTGAACAGTTCACTGTGGTTTCGTTAATGATATTTATTTTTTTAAATTAATTTATTTTTTGAGATAATTAAGAGCTTGGTACCACCTTGTGAAACAACTAACTCATCCAGAGAGAACGTTTTAATAGTTTTTAGAAAAAGTAAGTGAAGGCAATAAATCTAAAATATAACAATATTGCAACATTTTAAAATTGTCTTGGACTTACTCCACTTCAACGTGTGAACCAGAGAATTTCTGCACCTTCTGAGTAAAATGGGATAAATCAAATTTTGACCAAAGGAGATAATTATGTTTTAAGAATACACCAGTATGTCTAGGTCTGAATGACTGTTTAAGTAGAACTTACTTTTGAATGTAAAGGTCCATTTTTACACACTGAAACATTTTAATACCAGTACCAAAGGGTCTAAAGTTTAAAATTGTAAAATCCTTGGAAGGTTTTCTTATTGTATTATCCAGTTTTTCCCCAAGGTACCATCATATTGTGATACACAACGAATAAAAAAAGATTCATATACAGTTATCTTGAAAATTACATCAAAAAAGCCCTCTTATGAAAAACTGGACTACGAGTGCCCCAAAATTTTAGGGCGAGATGCTTGAATTTGTACAATGGGAGTTTCTCTTTGAAGTGTAGACTTATCTGAATCTGTATCAGCAGCTTGGGCTGGTACAGGGGTATTCTCTTGGATATTGATGTCGATGAAACAAATTTGGGATTTGCACCATCATCATAGAAGAAATGTCAGTTCAACTAGAACGACATGAAATACTAGTTGGAATCTGATTTCTGATTATAATATTGCTGCATAAATTCACAGTACAGCCCCTCTTACAATTGCAGGAATAAAGAAATAATATTTTTTATTAATCGTTACTTGTCCCCCTTACAATTAAATATTAGTTTCTATGTATAGATCAGTGCTCATTGCTGTTTCTATGCGTACTTTGCTCTGTTGGTTTGTTTACCGCCATTGTGCTACTACCTTCTCTGCATAGTTTATGTAGTAAATGATCGTTACAAGCTTGTACTTTTTTATTCCAATTGATTAACTGTAGGTATATTATAGTTTCTTTGTGCTTATCTTCTATCGTATCCAAGGTCCTTTCCTCTTGGTTTAGTTTCCTCTATTGTATACTTTCTTTTCTGTATTAATTTATTTACAAATAGTTTTTTAAAAGTTTGTGCTTTTTTATTCTAGTTAACTAACGTTTAGTTGTTAAACTATTATTTTATTTAGTTTCTTTGTATAGATCTGTGATCATTGCATTTACAAGGTGTGCTTTGGTATGTTGGTTTGTCGAGGTGTGTTTTCCTCTCTACATTAGTTTATATAATAAAATATCTTTACTAACTTGTGCTTTTTTTATTCTGGTTAATTGCCATTTAGTTGTTATATTATATTGAGTTTCTTTGGGCAGATCTGTGATAATTTCATTTTAGAGGTGTGCTTTGGTCGGTCGGTTGTAGTGAACATTCTTTCATTTTAGAGGTATGTTTTGGTCGGTCGGTTGTAGTGAACATTCTTATCTGGGTTGGTTTATGTACAAAAAGGTTGCTAGAAGCTTGTGCTTTTTATTCACTTTTGTTGTTTATTTCAAACTATGTTTATTTTTTATCATTATATTAATATTACAACAAACTTATTTTAATGTAGCCTAAATTAAACTAGATCAGTAATTCATGAGTTTTAATAAAAATTATTTAATTATAATGATTTGAAAGAAAATTTGCAAAAAAACAACCAGAAAATAATTTAGTGACCAATTATTAACTATTTATTGTATCACTAAATGATTTTCCTGTTTTGTAGAATTTTCTTTCACACATCATAATTAAAAAATTTATTAAAACATGAATTTCTAATCTTGTTTATTTTGGTTTACAATGTTGTTATTAACATTGAGATAAAAATACATACAGTTTGAAATACACAAGTACTAATGGCTAGGTTTTTTTTATAATTAATTTTTATTTTTTATTTAATTATTTTTTGTCTTTGAGTATATTTAGTTTCTTTGTACAGATCGGTGACCATTGAATTTGCGAGGTATGCTTTATCCTGTTGGTTTGTTTGCCTCATTGTACTACTTTCTTCTCTGAGTTAGTATTTATTCTAAACTTTTTAGTAGCTTGTGCTTTTTTATTACAGTTATTTGCCACATTAATAGTTACTTAATATTTAGTTTCTTTGTGTGGCTAATGATAATTGGGTTTTTGGTCTTGAAGAATTGAACAAACAGATAAGTAATAACACTAAAATTGCACAAAGAACCAATATTATAAGATGAGGTCAATCATCTCAGAACTGTCAGCTTGGTACTGGACAAAGGCAATCTACTGCAATCGAATAAAAAAATAAAACTTGAAATGATGTGGTTTGAAATGAATTTATTTAAATCAAGTAATTTATGAGGGAACAGTGTAACAGATCCGACTGGTTTTTTCACATTGCTGCAATTTGGATTTGGTTTCATATAGGCTTAAATCCGCTCATGTACGTGTGCCATTATGGAGATGTACCAAGTTGAGACTATTCGCTTCTCATAGTCCACTGCAATTCTAGCATTTGTTATTTGCAGTAAATTGCCCGCAAGGTCACTCCACCTGGGTGTTGGCGATCTGGGGGCAGACCTCAGTCTTATCTGTCAGTTCAAGCCACCAAATTTGGGTTCCGGGGAGGAGGTGGTGCTGCCAACATCTATGTCAATTCAGCGCCCAACGCTTGCAATTCCAAACCAATTTGTTCATTCTTAAATACACTAATTTCGTGGTCCGCTTGACCAATTAATACATTAAATTAATTAAGTTTTTTTTAGTTGAGATGAAACTCTCGTGCCATTAACTTTTTTTCATCTTAACTAAAAAACCTTAATTAATTTAATTCTTAAATACATTCACTCCTATTTACATAGCAATTATTCAATTATGGTTATGGAGTACTCAATATTCCTAGATCACCCTTTAGACATTATAACTGACTTAATTGATAGTCAATGGGCCTGCCATGGACCCTTTCACATTCACGTTAATAAATACATTCACTCTCAATACACAACTATTATTATGAATGATAGAACAACCCGTTTCCTCCAAGAATAGGAACAGGGGACCACTCCTATTTTAACAATCAAATGAAGTAAACTTTAGTTAGATTTTAAAACACTGTGTGGTTTTGGGGGTAAAGGCGCCACAGCATTGAAGAAATAATTAACGTGTTTTGAAAGTTGATTTTGTGTGTGAATGACGTGTATGAAACGTGTATTAATTGTTAATTTATTATCAACATTCGTAATTCATATTTAATAAATTTTAATTGTTTATTTCAATATCGGTTTGAGATCAGATGCGCCCTCGAATTCTGTTTGTCCCCCACTTTTCTCTCTTCTACTTCCAATTCTCACGTAACTACGTAGACGTCGGTCGAACTCTACAGACGCCCTGTTCTTTATACAGCTGATTTTGTTATTCTTTGAATTGCGTATTATTAAGAGCTAGGTTTTTAACTTGCACAAGGGAAATTTGTTTTGTTTCTGTTGTTTTAAGGGTCGTTTTCATAAAGAGCAATGAAATTCCAATACAAGGAAGGACATTCGTTCGAGAAGAGGAAAGCTGAAGGTGAAAAAATAAGAAAGAAATACGCTGACAGAGTTCCTGTAAGTATTCAAATCTGTAACATTTCATTGACACACTTAATTCAAATACGGGTTTTTCTTATTAACAAAACGATATTTTGTCGTTAAAATAATTTGCAATGCAGGTCGATTTTTATAATGGATTACAAGGCTGTTTCCGTTATTTCTTATTGTTCCTTTGTTCCAAGCATATGTAAAAACTTGGTATTATATTCTAGGTGATCGTCGAAAAAGCGCCTAAGGCCAGAATCGGTGATTTGGACAAAAAGAAATACCTCGTACCCTCCGATTTGACCGTGGGCCAATTTTATTTTCTGATCAGAAAAAGGGTACAACTCCGACCAGACGATGCACTTTTCTTTTTTGTGAACAACGTCATTCCACCAACAAGCGCGACAATGGGATCGCTTTACCAAGTAAGATATCTTTATTTTTAATTATTAGAAGGTTTATGTTTGATGCCAAGTCATCGCTGTATTTTCAATTCTGACTTATGTAGAAAAGGCTAAAAATAAAATCCCTTTTTCATGTCACTTTATGATGCAATCAATTAGTACAATACAGTGCATTTTTGTTGTCAAAAAAGCAGTGTATATTGATTTTGTTTTGTTTATAAAGAACATTATTGTTTATCCAATATAATCTAGACAGACCAATTTTTAAAAAGTTTTGCCAAAGGCTGAAGTGTCTTAGCGATTTTAATTCAAGTCATGGTGGTATTCAAAAGCTAGTTAATACATAAAACTAAAGAACTTTAATTATAGAATTATTTTATTTTTTCCTACATTTACAGACATAAGGTTTCTGTCATCATATTGAATAATTTCGTATAAAACTTGTATTTATGTATTCAATTATATTACATGAAATACATCATTACTGTCATTTTTAATTAATGTTTGAATATCTTTTTGAGCGAATCATGAAATAAAAATTTAATTTCATTAAATCAATTATGTATAGTAGTCTGATTGACCAAATTACTTCTTTCAATTAATTATTCTTTTTACGTAAGGTCTTGGTTGAAATGAAACTTGCTCGTGAAACTTTTCATTTAAACAAGGCCTTACATAAAAAGAATAATTAATTTAAATTGATGTATCTATTCAATTTTTTCGTATATTTACAGATGACTTGACATAAGGCTTTTATGTCATCATATTGAATGGTTTCATATAAAATTTGTATTCATGAATTCAGTTGTGTTATATTGACATACATTATTGCTGTTCTTCTTAATAATATTGAATATATTATTAAACGAATCTGGACAGAAACGTTTATATTGAATAATCCATATGTGTATTTTTTAGTAATCATAATTGACCATATTAATTATTTTAATTAATTGTACTTTTTATCTATGGTCTTGGTCAATATGAAAACTATAATTAATTAAAATTTAAATTGATGTTGGAATCTATTACATGTAGGCAACTTTACACAAGGTTTTTATATCATATTGAATGGTTTAATATAAAACTTGTATTTATGTATTCAGTTATATTACATAAAATACATTATTACTGTTCTTTTTAATACTATTGAATATAAATTAATCTGGACAGAAACATTTAAATTGATTAATCCATTTGGTATTTAGTAGTCGTTAATTATTTTAATTAATTATACTTTTTTATCTTAGGTCTTGGTTGGATGAAAAAGCTAGTGTCACAAGCGGGTCACTAGTTTTTCATATCAACCAAGACCTAAGATAAAAAGTATAATTAATTAAAACTTAAATTTGTTACAATTAATTAAGGTTTTTAGTTGAGATGAAAAAAAGTCAATGGCACGAGAGGGATTCGAACCCATGACCTTCGGCTAGATACGCCGCTGCTCTACCACCTGAGCTATCGTGACCTCAATCCGCTCGGACATCAACCCCACCTTATGAGTTTTCCCTCCTTTTGCCATTTTTCAAATGTCGTGTTATCGGTTTGGATTCTCGACGACAATTGAAATGGCGACGGAGAACTTTAGTGAAGTCTACTTCATTTTAATTCATTATATTCACTAATTTCGTGGCCCGCTTGACCAATTAAATCATTACAATTAATTAAGGTTTTTAGTTGAGATGAAAAAAAGTCAAAAATGGCAAAAGGAGGGAAAACTCATAAGGTGGGGTTGAGATGGGGAGTTGATGTCCGAGCGGATCGAGGTCACGATAGCTCAGGTGGTAGAGCAGCGGCGTATCTAGCCGAAGGTCGTGGGTTCGAATCCCTCTCGTGCCATTGACTTTTTTTCATCTCAACTAAAAACCTTAATTAATTGTAATGATTTAATTGGTCAAGCGGACCGCGAAATTAGTGAATATAATGAACTTAAATTTATGTTGAATTAAATTATATTACATAAAGTACATTATTACTGTTGTTTTTAATAATATTTGGGTATATTATTAAACGAATTTTGAAATGTATTATTTATTTACATTATTTAAAATATAGAATCTAATCAATTTATCTTTATGTTTCAGGAACACCATGAGGAAGATTTCTTTCTCTATATTGCATACAGTGATGAAAATGTCTACGGGTCTTATTAACCACTTTCAAAATGAAAAATATATGAAATATAAAAGGAACAAGTATTCAATTCAAGGCCATTTTTTTTCTGTTTCTTTTTTTTACGATAATGTGGTGATTTAAATATGTTTCAATTCGGATAAATACTGTCGAGACTTTTTTTAAATAGATTCTTGCGTATACTACTCATAATTCCCCTTTTTAGTCATCAATAAATTTTTGTTGTAATTATAAAAGGTATTTTAACATTTTTCTTTCTTAACTACTCTACAATGTTATATTAGATAATAAATTTATATTGATTTTTTCTTTTCTTTATTAATATGTAAAATGTTTCTCATTTCTTTTTCGACACTCATATAGGCAAGCAAGGTTAAATTGTAACTGAAATGCTGATTGTTAAAGTCTAGGTATAAGTTTGAGTACAGTGTATTCAGGCATTAGAGGTTTAATTTTTAATCATTTTAATTACATTAGATCTTTTTTTCTTTGAAGCATCACTATATAAAGTGAATTAGAGAATGATTGAGTTTATTGATAAAACGAGGGAAAAAAGATGCTCATTTTGTTGTTTTTCTTTCTCTCAATTGCTTAGCATCTATATATCTTAGCATCTATTTAAAAACAAATTAACTACTCAAAAAATATTTGCGAATAATGGTGAACTTAAAATCAATAATGTACATTTACATTTGTTTCGGTGATAATTGAAAATTAACATCTAGTAATTCTAAAAAAAAAAATAAATAAATAAATGTACATGCTAAACTAAAGATTTCACAAAGTATATGATAATATAAAAGTTAGGTGAACATATTGTATTATATGAATTCAATTTATATCACCAGAATAAATTACTTTTGAAATTGGGTATGTAAGAAGTATAAAAATAAAGTTTATAATGATTCTGTTACTTCTGTATTTATATATTATATGCTTTTGTTCTATAAGTTTAATATCTTAGAAATTTGATTACCATTTTTTTTCTTTTATATATGTATATCTTAGCATATAGATTTTTGGTTGCGTGATATAATAAGTTTCATTTTATTGGTAAATTAATAAAAAGCACATTTTGTTCTTAATGATATATTGTAGTTACATTGTATAGTTACAATAAATTTCTTTAACACCTTTATTTCTATTGACTTCAATCATTAATTTTCTTCATGACTGCATAAATTACTTCTTTTGTATATTGATCTAATTTTTCACATTTCTTATTTGTATTGACATCTTTCGTCGAGCCCCAAATGACTACTCCTGATGATCCAACTTTTTTTGGTATAAGAATACTGTTGCTCATGTCAGCCTAAAATCAATTGTTTATGTTTTACCCAGTTGGTTGTTGCAACCCCCCCCCAAAAAAAAAGTCAAAATGGCACAAAGAAAAATTTAGCCTGTTAAATTATATGTTCTCTGATAAGTTAAGAGTCAACAACTTATCAGAATAGTTGGAAAACTTTGACTAATAAGACCAAAATTCTTCTCCACTGTCAACACTAAAATAACATTATGTAAATCAACTGCAACCACTTTGGAAATGTGGGGTTCTACCAAGTCATCCAACATCCACTTCTAATCAACATTTGTCAGACAAATCGTCAAAGCTCTTACTGTCTCAATAGCCTCACTATCCACAATGATCTCAATTTCCTTTTGTCACTGTTTCAAAAGTTTGGCACCAACCTCTCAATCCATCCTAACCCTTCTTTTCAAACCCTCTGTACACATTCCACAACCCAAGAACCCTCCCCATAAACTACGATGGCCTTGAGACCTTATTATTCCTTAATCCTTCGTAATGAGTGCCAGCATTGGCCGGTTTCTCAAGGCCTGTGTACTTCGGGTACAGTGCTGGCCTTAGTGTGGGCAAATGTATTGTGGTTGCATATGTAATATGTGCTATATAGGTATGTGTGTATAGGCTATAAAAAATATTTTAAAAAGTTGTGAATTACCCATATTACTGGTACTTGAATATGAAATAAATGCAATTTGTATAATATTGGTACTTGACACGTTCATTATAGGTAAATATTTTTAATTCTGCTCTCAAATTAGTTTAAAGTCCATGCATGGCAAGGAGATTTATACCATTATGGGAAGAAACCCTTAACGGAAGTGAATCTGAACCATTGGCATTAAAAATTAAAATAATACCTTTTCTAAGAAGTTAAAAGTATCTTGGTATTTGAAACTGATATATGGTAGGACTATAACATTTTTCCCTTTTAATGATATTCTTATTGCTTCCTCAGTTCGCCCTTGGATGAGTTTTGCTCTCTTATCTACACTTAGCTTATTTTGTTGCAAGTATAAAGAAGGGTACAAAACCTGGCTTATTCGATACATCCATTGTGACCTAAAAACGAGATGATTATAAATATTTGTACTGTCGATGAAGCCTCGTATATTAATTATACCTGTCGTTATCTTTCTGTACTTCACGATTGCACTTCATCTGAGGGTTTTTTGGTGTAAAATTGAAACAGTACGGAAAGGCATAATAGCCCCACTTTCCCCTTGGCCGTTCATTTATGACCAAGTTCAAACTCTTTGTTATAAATGAATTTGCAAATTTTTCAAAACTAGCACGAGCCTAGAAAAAAAGTTTTATTTTTTATTCAATATTATTTTTGGATCAAGGTATGGGTCTTGAAGAAAAAAGCAAATTCAGTTGTTACTGCCAACCTTTCGACCTATTTTAAGGTCATCATCGAGGCCAAATAATCTTAATATTTCTACAGATTAACATTTTTAGTTTTTTACAAGCAATATCAAATTTCCTCGAATACCATTTTAGTCCTAACATTTCCAAAGACTGTAACAATATTGATTACATTGATTATATTTATAAGGAAATTTGAGATTGCATGCAAAATACTTAAATAGTCAATCTGTAGACAAATTTAAGATTGTTTTGCCCTGATGATGACCTTAAAATATGTTGAAAGCTTGGCAATAACAACTGAATTTGCTTTTTTCTTCAAGTCCCTGCCTTGATCCAGTGCTTGTGAGTGAAAAAGTGGTCAATACTTCTAACATTGAAAATATTATTTTTTATACAACCTTTTTTTCAATTTCTCCATTGGTCAAAAAGGGATGTTTCTTTCTTTCATTTTCTATTGATCTTCTTCTGTAGATGTCGAGAGATGACCAATTTTCCTTCCAGATTGGTCTCCAGTGTTCAAAGTCAATAATTCCAATACCTTAAAATTTTGTGCGGTTTTGTTTATTTTCCGTACTGCTTTTCAATAAAAACAACTACTACATTACCATTGAATTTTTTATCTGGTACAAACTTATCTAAATCGCTTTTTAACTTTTTGAGATGGAGTTCGATATCGCCGTTTTGCGGAATTCCACCGTTTCTATCATTGCCGTTGATAATTGCTGGAAATAAGCCAGGATCATACAAAATCACTATTTTATCTCCTTTAAACAAATCGCCTGTGTTCTGCACAATTCCAATTTCATTTAAGTGTGAAAAATTGAAGCCACGTTTGTGACATGATTCTGTAGGAACATTCCAATAAACATTATAACGTCCTCCCAACCTGTAAACATTTTTGAACATCATTTAAATTTATTGGCCAACAAGAAATTGATCAGACTATAGGTGAATATGATTTTCTATAGAATGTTTTTATTAATATATTTTTCATGCAAAAAGTGAAATTGTTTATAGACTGCTGATAATTTATTCTCTAAACTAAATTAAAATCATACAAGAGGGCTTCATGTCCTATTACTCATTGGGTGGCATGGACGAGGAGTCAAACCACTTTACAGTATATTTTTTTGTATATGATCAATTAAAAACCCATGGGCTTTGCTGGGATTCAAACCCACAACTGCTAGCTTGGCAAATACAAGTCTGATCCCCTAATTGCTTGGCCAACTCACTAATTATTCTCTAAACAATTAAACAAAATATTTTGTATATTGTAGCAGTAAAGTTTATGGTGGATGTTGGTCTGTGAATATAAGTCAAACTGGCACTGGATCCATCTACACTCGCCGGTTTCTATGACAATTCTTCAAGTTCTTCACTGAAAATGGCACAAAGCTGATATGCATTTGCATACATCAAAACCTGCAAGTGTAGACAAATCTCGTAAGGGACCCATTTCCTTTCCAACATTGTTCTACTAACTTTTTTTCTGTTGTCTAATTTATGGTACAAACAATGTAAAATAATTTGCTTGATTACAATGTTAAAATTATTTAAAAATTATAAATAAAAATCAATTTAATTTGCAAACGAGATACTACCAATAATTTCGACCATTTAAAAACAAAAGTAAAATATACTTTTTTAATTAATTAATTTTATTTTTAATATTTTTTTAGATATAACGGTGGTATAATACGACATTTTACAACATACCCTTTGTCTACATTTATAAAGCAAAGCACACTGAAAAGGTAAACTGATGAAAACAACATCTCTACTATTTATGTATATTGTGTTATTTTTTTGACATGCAACAAATTAGGCTGTTCAGTATGCATGGATATTCAATTATCTGTTTTAATTGTTTCAAATTCTGTTTACAAGATACTATTGTTGTAGGTAAAAAAAGAGATATAGCTTAATGTTTTTTGTATCTGCACGCTGATATATGACATGGCTTTGAAAAATTAAAACAAACAACAAATCTAAAAATGTACGACGAGTAAAGAGTTATCAATTTCTTTTTCCTTTTTTCCCCATTGTTCATGTTCTACACTGTTCACCCAGACATGTGTGATTGTCATTAAAGATAGTATAAAACATGACAAAGAGCATCAGATACAATGTAAAAAGACAGCGTACTTCATTAATTATCAACTCTACCAAATGATAATTTAAAATTGTATCAATTTTCTGCCTGGCAAGGCACAGTGAGAGCTGATGGAAAAAATGCGGTGGGTCAAGTGACCTAATAGAGGTTGAAACAATAAATCTTGACTCAAGACTTTGTTCTTATTATCTATGTCAGTATTTACATGGAGCAAACAGAAAAGTATTGTTCAATTCGGCAGAAATAATAATATAAATGATAATAACAAATAATATAATACAATTACAATATTGATATCTTACTGATAATTAATCCCCCTATTAAATTTTGAAAATTTGAGTTTGTTTGTATGCAATATACACCACTCACAAATTATATTATTATTATTTTTAAATTAAAATTAATTATTTAATAAATGGAAATTCAAATCTTGATTTTTAATCATTATATTAGTTATATAGTTTTGTTTTTAATAAATATTTTGTTGATACTAGAATAATTGAAATTTATATAATAATTTTCTTTTTGGTTTAAATTGATTTCATTTACACAACCTTAAGGTACATATTAAAGTGTGTGGTGTTTAGTGACTATTGATCGTGACTCACGATCTCCAAATAATCAGTACATACTAAAGATAAAATAAATATAAAAATGTGTTTAAAAACAACAAAAATAATGTAAAATTAAAATAGTAACCAGAAATAAACTGCATTGAAAGATTCTGAAACATCACAATAAAATAGTAAAGGTAATTCTTTTATTACTTTCACTATTTTCATGGTCCGCTTGACTAGAGCAGCGGCGTAACTAGCCGAAGGTCGTGGGTTCGAATCCCTCTCATGCCATTAACTTTTTTTCATCTCAACTAAAAACATTAATTAATTGTCTTTTATTACTTACAAAAATGGCTAAAAATAATGAAGAAATAAAACAAGTACAGAGAATAATTTCAGAACATTTTGTTTGTCAGGTGTATTTTGGTTTCTCTCCATCTTTAGTATACAGTCTTTTTGTTGTTTTGGGAAAGTAGAACAGAAGAAGAAGAAAAGAACTCTGAAGAATGGAGAATTGCCAAAAGATGTCTGCCAGCACCAAAATGACTACACTATTGGTTCTTCACATTAGTTTTGCTTCCGACATGACAAAAGTTTGACAGACACACTAAAGATGACTGAAAAACCGAAATGTGACAGACTGTCCAATCTAGCAAAAAAAGGCAGACCGAAATAATTGTTGCCAACCAAATAATGGGTTTATAAAAAATAAATAGCACATTACTTATATTCATGTGTTTCTATTTTAAAGTAACAAACTTAAGAGACTGATGAGGCCTGCCAGCACTGAAGGTTAAGACAATGCCCATATTGAAAGGAAGTTATATGAAATAAACTATTAAAAAACTAGAAGCAGCACAAGAATAATTGGGCCATAAAATAATAAAGTTGGTGGAAGATGTACTGCTTAAAAACTTTGGATTCAAAAAGCTAAAAAGTGTCATCTTGAAAACAAATTGTGGAGAAACTTCAGTACCAGAAATTAAATTTTCAGTTTTAAATTTGTTCCAATAAAATCAGAAGATATCGAACCTGTATTCCCAGGCCTTTCTCACAAAAGCGTTTACAGTTTTTAAAGTTTACAGAGCTGAGGGCTTGTCAAATCTCTGACAATTAACGGACCGGTGAGAGAGCTACTTCCCAGTAGAGCCAGCGAAGTTCGGCCAGCACAGGGCATTCAAAAAGGAAATGATGAAGGCCCTGGCATTCAAATTGCACATAGAACATCTTTCCCTGAGAGGATCCTACCTCGACCAGGGTAAATAATTGAAAATATTAATTTTCTTCTCATCTTGAACAACCACTCAATTGACAAAGATTCAGTCCAGAGTCGCTCCACCCAAAAACTTTGACTCCATGCCTGACTCCAAAAGGGTTCTATACAAGAATATAGTAGTAAAGCGCTCAGACTGGATAGCCGCCCTTATAGACCCCTCTCAATAAACTATTCCAATCTTCATAGAAATGGTGAATGATGGAGAGAGTGTGGGGTTCAATCCTTTTTGAAATTAATATTATTATATTGAACACCGCACTCACTCCATCATTCACCATTTCTATTAATTTGCTAGTCAAAGCAATAATGGGTTATAACTGTGAGTAGGAACTAACTTTAAAAAAAAAAGATTCCAATCTTCTGTAAATGTAAGGAAAGCTGTCTTCCACTGAGGTATATCATCTATGGGAAGATCAAACTCACACGAATAATTGTGAGCCAAGATAGCCCAGGAACTTTATATACAATTGAATTTAATACTCATGTAATTAATTTGTTGTTCGTTTGTTTTCTTAGTTTAGTTTTATATATCATATATGTTATATTTTATGTATTTATATTTAACCATTTTTTTTTGTATATTAAATTTTTCTCAGTATAATAAATAAATTCAGTTAATTAAGGTTTTAAGTTGAGATAAAAAAGTCAGTTCCACGAGTGGGATTCGAACCCACGACCTTCGGCTTGATACGCAGCTACTTTACCATACTTTTATATAATAAATAAAATTCAAATTCCGCTCGGTACACTTTTTTGTCTCAACAAGACCTTACATAAAAATAATAAATAAATAATATAATTACGTTAGTAAAACAAGATGTTTTTGTTGGTATTATATCTTATTTTTGTAATGTATCATAGTAATAATAATTATTATCCTATTACAATAGAAATAATTCTGTTTAGTATGCATAGCAGAAAATTTGAAAAAGAGAGGGGTTAGGTGGTGTGTGACGTAGTTGGCGTGATTGAGGGTGAACGTTAACGTTACGGTGTTGGAGGGAAACGCGTCCGAGCGCCGACTGTTGAGCGTCCGAGACATTACGGCATGTCGCCATTTTGGGTGTACATACAATACAATTCCTCTCATTCGGGGTTTTTTTTTTCTGTTGTTGCTCTCATTTCCCCGATTCTTGTACAAATTATATTTTAACTGGTGCCCGTGTCTTTATAATGTTAACGAGACGGACCCGATCACGTTTGATGCTGTGAACCGAGACTTTTCACGTAAGACATTTTTATATATAAGAATCCTTCCTCTCATTGTAATATAAAACCTTGTCAACAGAGTTTGTTTGACCGAAAAACCGCCAAAGGTAGTAACACGTTAACTCGATGCTTTTCTGTCTCCCTTTACTACTAAACCCGACAGTAAAGCCTATTTCAATAACTTCGTTTACCTTAGTAGCCGATTAAAGAAAATTATATATGGACATTCACATTGTTTACCTTTGAGGTTATTTCCGTTATACCAAAGATTCCTATTAATATTCCTATTCAAATGTCTCACTAATAATAAATTAATGTTTCTTTTCCTTTTAATTAAATTTAATCATTATTAAGTTATTTTATTTTTATTTTCAGCTTTTCCTTACGATATAATTTGAAAAAGAGGGCATAACAATGTTTTATGCTCATTTTGTTTTGGCCAAGAAAGGGCCATTGGCAAGGATATGGCTCGCTGCCCATTGGGATAAAAAATTGACAAAAGCTCATGTCTTTGAGACAAACATTGAAAAGTCTGTTGATGGAATTTTACAACCTAAGGTAAGCCGGTGTAGCTTTTCAAGAAAAAATAAATTAAAATCAGATATATTGGATTACTTTGTGTTTTTACCAGCTGCGATTCTCATTGTCATTTTTGATGTGTGGTTTGGTATCAAACGATCATTTTGACCTGCCTATTCGCGCTGTTCTGTTCCATAAAGAAGGTTTCTCGCTATTTTATGCCTACAATGAATAGACGCTAAGAAAAAGTAACGTTTTTGATGGGTTGAATCGGCTAGGCTAGGTATACTAATATGATGGTAAACAACGGAGCCACAGGTTAAATCATGTAGATGGCTAAATACGCCTTGACTCTGCACCCATTGGATGGAGCCGTCGCTAAAGCATATTTGACACTCACTTATGATTTTGATTTGTAAACTTTCCAGCATACACGTTAAATGACAAAAAAATTTTATTATTACTATTTAATTTCCATTTTTTCTTATCCTTCGTGTACCATTATAGTTATATTTACCTTATTTTTTACCAGTTGTGATTCAGTGTTATTTTCAATGTGTAGTTTGTTACCATAAACGATTATTTTTATCTGTCTATTCGCACTGTTTTGCTCTGTAAAGAAGGCTTCTTGCTATTTTAAGTCTTGTCTTGATAGATGACAAGAAGAAGAAATGTGTTTGACAGACCAAAACGACTTGGATAGGTATTCTAAAATGATTGTAAACAACCAAGCTACAGGTTAAATCACTTAGATGGTTGTATACGCTTTGACCCTGTGCCCATTGGATGAACATTAGTCAAAGCATAGTTGACACTCACCTTGATTTTAATGTGTGGTGATTAGTGACCGTTAATCAATAATTATTCAGAAATCGTGACATGCGGTCTGGTGTGATTTAGGTTTCAGAAAAACATTTTCTTTATCGTGCCAACATTTCGATCTTTATTGAGCCCTGGAGATGATCTCAATAAAGATCAAAACGTTGGCACGATAAAGAAAATGTTTTTCTGAAACCTACATCACACCAGGCGGCATCTCACGATTTCTGAATAATTAATTCTTGATTTTAATTTTTAAACTTTCTAGCATACACATTTAATGTTGTATAAAAAAACAATTAATTATATATTTTAATTACTAATTCATTAACATTTTTCTTATCATTTTAGTGTACCATTATGGTTAGATTTATCTTTTTTTTTTTGTACCAGTTTGGTTCACAGTGTTAGTTTTGATAAGTAGTTCTATATCATAAACGATCATTTTTACCTGCCAATTCCTGTTGGTTTGGCCCATCAAGATGGTGTCTCACTTTTTTAGTTTTGCTTCGAACAGAGGAAAAAGAGAAATACGTTTAACAGACCACAACAGCTTGGGTATACAAATCACATAAATGGTTGATTATGCTGACTCACCCTTAGATGGAGTAGTAATTGAGGTATATTTGACACCTACTTGTGAGGATTTGGTTTTAAAACTTTCCAGGGTACACATTGCTGTCTACATTGCTACTTGATCCTTTGCTGAATTGATAATATTTTCTAATTACTATCTTATTTTATTTATCTTTTTCATATCCTACTTGTGAACTATTACGTGTACAATTATGGTCGTTTTATTCATTAGATTTCTAGTTTTTTTTTTTTCCATTAGATTTTGGTCTGATGGACCAAATAACATCTTTCAATTAATTAATCTTTATGTAAGGTATTGGTTGAGATAAAAAAGTCAATGTCATGAGCGGGATTTGAACCCATGATATTCGGCTAAATACGCTGCTGCTCTACCACTAGTGACTTCGATCCATTCGGACACCAACTTCCCATCTCAACCCAGCCTTTCGAATTTTAATGAAGTATATCTTCATTAAAGCTCCATAGCCATTTCATTTGTTGCCAAGAATCAAATAAATCACACGACATTTGAAAAATGGCAAAAATGAGGGAAAATTCGAAAGGTTGGGTTGAGATGGGAAGTTGGTGTCCGAGTGGACCGAAGTCATGATAGCTCAAGTGGTAGAGCAGCAACATATTTAGCCAAAGGTCGTGGGTTCGAATCCCGCTCATGGCATTGACTTTTTAATCTCAATCAATACCTTACATAAAGATTGTTAAGTTTTATGCTCATTAAGCCAAAATAGGTGCAGCTTTCCTTTCATTTTTAGCGTTGTTTTGTGCCTTTATACTATATTTATTTCTGTTTATATAATTATTGATGTTAGTTTATTATGAATAAAAATATTTTGCCCATCTTAGCTCCTGGAGAATAGATAAGCAAATGGTTTTTCACGTGGCCCTTTTTAAAGCTACTTTTATACTGGGGTCCACTGCCCTGCTGCTCGTAAATTTATATACATTTTATTAGATATTTGATCTCCCTTTCTGTACATGAATAACTCCTATTATTAATTTTCACCTTTATATGATGTGATTTAACAGTTGTTACTCGCGTCGTTCCAGAATGATATTTCCCTCCCTCCCAAAATCATATATTTAGGGAATGTTTTCAAATCATAACTGTAAAGGATGTGCTAATGTGAATTATAACATGGTCTTATATGATAGGATTGTTTTTGTTGAAAAAACCCCTCTCCCTTTCCTTAATTATGGGCTTCTTAATTTTTTTTACTCCTTTTTTGATCTAACTAAAAATTATTTGACGGTGCAAAATTTTTGAAAAGTTCCAATCCTCTCGATTAGTTTTTGTTGTTATTTACTATTATACTACTGTTCTAAATTTTAAAAAAAATAGAGATGGATCCATTTTGGATTTACATATTGTATTTCTCCTTTTGTATTAGGAGGTGTGTAAGCATGGGATTTTATTGTTATACAGGTTAAAGGAATTCAGGATCTTTTAAAAATCAATTTGATTTTGGATTTTGTCTTTTACAATAAGGAGCTGTAATGGTAGACAGTTTAAAAAATAAATTGTTATTAATTTTAAATCTTTACAAATTTGGTTTTTGAAGATCAATTGACTTGATCAATTGAAATCTGATATATTTATTATAAAAAGTCTCAAATATAAAGTGATTCTTTTATGTATTAGCATTTTGTTGTGCCATTTCTTGTATTTTATATCATCATTATCATTTTGATTTATTTTTTTATAGGTCAAAATGGCGCTACGAACTTCCGGTCACCTGCTTTTAGGTGTTGTGAGGATTTATTCTAGAAAAGCCAAATATCTTCTTGCTGATTGTAATGAAGCTTTTGTCAAAATTAAAATGGCGTTTAGACCAGGCATGGTCGACCTTCCAGAGGACAACCGGGAAGCTGCCATTAATGCCATTACGCTTCCAGAAGTATTTCACGACTTTGACACGGCTATGCCTGAATTGAAGTAAGTATTTAACTGATAAATTGTTTTTTTTTTCTTTTCTTTTGTAATATATTTTTTCAAAACCTACATGGTATGTATAATTTTTATTTATCATTTATAAACAGTGTTTGTATTTAATGAACATGCCTTAAATAATAAATCACAGTTTGTATCATTTCTGCAGCGATGTTGATATAGAAGCCCAATTTAGCTTGAATCAGTCAAGAGCTGAGGAAATTACGATGAGGGAAGATTATGGAAACATGTCTTCTCTCGTTGAACAAGAGGAGGGTTTTGGTGATATGGGATTTGGCGCCGAGGGACCTGACATTTTGCGGCATGCCTCTAGACTAGAACAATCACTTGATCAGGTGAATTGTTGCAAAAAAATTTAATACATACAATATTTAATATTTAAAGTCAAAAGATTAATTAATATCTTTTTTCTTTAATAATAAATTATTGCAGTCTTAAACAATTAAACGTTTATTTTTTTAATGGTATAATTTGGCATTTTTAGAATCTTCTGTTCAGTGAGGGGGTTGACCATCTGGAAAAAGATAAAGAGCCACAGCCTTCAACTTCAGCAAACCCTCTCGAACGTCCATCATTGGAACTTGATGCGCCAATTAGAGATGATGGTTTTGGTGGAAATTTGGGCTCTGACATAATGGGTGAGCATTTAAAAGAATGTAATGTCTGAACTGACTCCAAATGCAATTTTTCCGTTATCATTTGTTCTCTTGTGAAGTCCTAAATATCCTTCAATGTTCACCTATTCAAATATGAATATCTCTTCCATAGGCAAAAGTATTACAATTTAATTTCATTAGGTGCAGGTGGACTGTTTGAAGGAGGGCTTTTTGATGATGCTCCCATGCAAGTTTCCGTAGTCGAACAGAGTGTCGCTGGATCTCAAGATGGAGGGTTGCCTATTCCGTCAGTTGCACCGTTGGGAACTGAGAGGAGTGATGATGAAGATGATGATGGTGAAAGATTTGGAGGAGCACCAAGTCCAGCCCCACCTAGGTAAATAAAATCTATGAAATGTAAACAAATAAGTATTAAACTATTTTATGAATAACCAGCTATTATTAGCTTACAACTTTTATATTGTCAATTATTTTTATGTAATGAATTCTATGCAAGAAGGACATAGTGTTGAGCAAGATTACATTAAAAACTGAGAAAAACCTATGCTTTTATTTATTTTTTTATTAACTAATAGCATTTCCTTTTTAGACAGCAACAAATTCAATAGATCAAATGTTTCTTAACAAAGAATGTAAATAACTATAAAATTGTCTCAATAAATGATCTCATAAATTAAGTAATAAAAACTAAATTTAATCTATTACTTTTATAGTTCTGATGATGGATCTCGACCGTGCAGTCCACTTAATGGAATTCTTGAAAATGCTGCTGATGTGCCAATGTCAGTAGCACCGCCAGAGTCAATTTTTCCTGAGCCACCATCTTTAGCACCTCAACCTGAGGTGGCACCACCAGAACCTCAAATGCCTAATCATGAACAAACAGTACTTCTACACAATGAAGAAGAATCTTTTGCCCTTGGCCCCGTGGATGCTTCTGCTCTGAGAGGTTCAACAAAAACAAAACGAAAGAGGAAACTGATAGTCGACGAGGTGAAAAATATTTCTGGCGAAGAAATGAAATCCCAGCTAAGCGATACGAGTGATATAGTCACAACGCTGGATCTCGCCCCACCAACCAAAAGGCTCATGCATTGGAAAGAAACCGGTGGAGTCGAAAAGCTATTCGCACTTCCCGGCAGAACAATCCCTGCCAGAGTATTATTCAAGAATTATCAAAGACATTTAACGAGTCGGGCGGTACCCAATGAAGAAGGAGTGCCAGAGACAGATAAAGATGCAATGCATTTAGACCAAGTTCCTGAAGAACCAGTGCCAGTTCCTGGCAAAAGAGGGAGGAAAAGAAAGATCTTCGAACCTGAAGAACCTGTAAGTATTTTATTTTAATTTTTGCTTATTTTTTTTAAATTTGTAAAATTGTAATTTCAATATTTATTTGCCTTTTAAGGTTATTGAAGAAGAAGAAGTAAGGCGAGGAGGTCTTACACCTATGAGAAGAGCAATTGAAACTGATCATGAAGTCCCACCTTTGACAGTAGGTCCAATGTCGGCAGATCCAATGGCAGTAGCGCCAATGGAAACCGGCGTCGATGGTCTTCCTATTCCATCGCTCGCGGGTTCCGCCCTTAATGTACCACCATTAGACGATCAAATGAATGTTCCGCCTCAAACACCTGGCACACCCCTCCAAGCACCAAATATGACACCTTTTAGTATTGCAGATTCGTCATTGCCACATCTCCCTCCTGAACAAGTAATTAATTTATTTTTCGTTAACAGTGTAACTGTTTTCATTTGTCAGATTTATAAAATTGATGCACTTATTTAATTATCATTGTATGATTTGCTTTGTCATAATAATTTGATAGACTTGGGTTATTAATTTAATTATTACCAATGTTGTTTAATTTATTTTTAGATTAGTTTGCTGGAGCAATCTTTAGCACCTGGTCAAACACCACTCCACAATATGGGTTTCGATGGAACTCAGGACCAAGGGGATCTAATGGCCAATATGGGCTATGATGAGCACGCTCCACCTCCTACAACACCAGGGGCTATTTCTGAAAAAGGACAAGCCACGCCGTGGCAAGATGATTACGATTTACCTGTATCTGTAGGACCTGTAAGTACAAAAAAAATCCACAATTATATTAGTAAAAATATTTTTAGCTTTTACAATAAAAAAGCATTTATTTTTGTCAAATAGTAACAAAAATTGACAAACGATATTTCTTGAACATTTTTAACTACCGGTTGATATTTATAATGTAGAATTTTACAAACAATAGTTATTGATTAGTATTAACTCGTGGAAAAGCACAATTTTTCTTCATGTTGCTATACGTATGCTATAAGTTAACATACAAACTTTAGAAAATTCTGATTATACGTAATTAATACTATATTGTAAAAAAAATATGTAAAAAATATATAAAAATATATGTATATATACATATACATATAGTAAGTTTTAATATTTAACATTTACTGAGAAAATTTAGTACACATTAGTAACTCCAATAATGTTTTTCAGCCTGATGAGCAAGCAATGGACGAAACATTTGAACAGTTTGAAGAAAGGGTCTTGAACAAGAGAGCTGCCCATATGTACAATTTAGTCAGATCAAAATTCACTTTTGACACCAAAGTGGTATTTTCATCATTGGTTTCTAGAAACAATAGAAAACAGGTTAGTGGAAAATTAATTTTTAAATATTGGAAATACAGATAGTCCCTAAAATCTGAATACCATTAATTTATCTTATCAAGTTTTGATTGGCTAACAGAAAATATTTTAAATTGTGAGATTTCTCAATGTTGTATGAGAGGTGGTGAACTTAAAATTTGGTCATACGGTCATTTTGGTCTGCCTATCCTCTTTGGGTTGGTCTTTCCAGACGCATTTAGGTATTTCACAAATTTTGAATGATGGGTCAGAAACAATCAGACTCATCACCTCCACAAGAAATCAAATAATAAAAGAGCAACCGACATTTTGACAAGCTAAGTACTACAACAGAGGAATCTGTATTCAAGACTTTAAAGACAAGACCTTAAAGTAAGACTTGGAAAATTTGAGTATTATGACTGTAAAAACTAAATTTTTAAAAAGTTTTACCAGACCACTGAACCGTATGGAACTGAGGTTCCATGAAGACATCCAATATCCAGGGCAATGCAGTCCTATGATTCAAATTTCAGACCTCCATATGTTTGGTGGTTAACACAACTGTCCACAATTCCTCACTATTGAAAATTGCCGAAATGTGTTTGCCGGTTCAGTATGAATAAAAGAGCTATCGACATTTTGTCAAGCTAATACTACGACAGTCGAATCCCTATTCAAGATTTAAGAAACTATCGTTATACAAAGCCTTATTTGGACAACTGTGGAAATACTGGAACTGTGATCAAAATTCATACCCCCAGATGTTTGGTGGTTCCTGAACATTTTGATCTGCCTATCCTTGCTGTTCAGGTCTGACAAGTTTTAGCTTCTCACCATCTTCAGGGGCAGGGTTTAATCAAAATTATTAAAAAGACAGCAAAGTTAGGCAGGCTGAAATTATCACCCTTGTCCAGCTTTTTCCAAATTTCCAGAATGTTTTTCAACGTATATGTGTACATATCACCTAATGTGGTGTATTAACACATTCATCTCCAGGTCCTCGTTTCATTCAATTGATTTATTGAATATAGTTGTGCACGTGATTTATTGCACTAATTGAAGCAGTTTTTTATGTTTATTCTTGGCTATGCATTTTGGAACTACCAGCCTTCTCTCTAGATCTTTTTGGAGTTCAAACCTTACTCTTATAAAAAATCATTTGGGTGGAGTAGTTCAATAAATCCACCTAGGTATACATTCATTTCTTATTGAACCAGATCTATTTATCGCTTGCTTCTGCATCATTGTGGTTTTTTGGCGAATCAAAGAGGGCTCTGTCTCAATAGTTTGCACTAGCGAGACCCTACTGTAAGTGTATCATATCAAAATGTATTTTAAATACAGTCTGCATTTGTATGTAATTGTGTATTCTTTTTGCTAACACTTACAACGATGGTGATCAGATATTTATCCAAATCATACCTTCATGGATAAAACTTCATTCTGCATATTTGAAGACTATCACAAATTTGAAATATTTTTTGTTACTTAAAAAAATAAAACTAAGAACATGAAAGGAAAAAGACAAGAGCCTACAATTTTATTCAGCTATCAGTTAACATTCCTGGCCAGTAATCAACATCTTATTTGAAGCCCTCATTATTAAAACTTCTGGGTGCAGTTTTATATCCCTTTCCTGAAAAAAATTATTTTTCTTAAGTAAGTCGGGTTAGTCAGTGTTCATATTTGCAACTTAGTAAACCTTAAAAAATACAAGAAAAAGGGAACTTCTTATTAAGTCCCAACTTCTAAAATAGTAGGCTGGATTTTTCCTTTCAACGCAAAACAAAAATCCCCGGCGATGCAGAAGTTATATTACAAAAGAAATTTAAAAAAAAATCCTTGACTAATATACTGGGTTGACTGACAGGGGTAAATTAATTAAATATTAAATGGACACAAATTGTTATAAATGGAATTGTTGATCCATTTTGATATTCATCCTGCATAGTTTAATATTTTTAGTACAAGTTATATGGTATATTAAAGGTTTTTAGTGCATATAATATTTTATATTTGAGGTTTTTTAATACATTTTGTATGACATATTTGAGAATTTTTATTGCTTATTGCTTATAAATCTGGGTTCTAATTATAAATCTTGTGCTGGTTATAAACCAAAATTTTAGGCATGGATGTAACTAGAAAGAATAGTACACTATTTTTAGGGGGGGAGACTAAAAAATAGCTTAAATTGTTAAATTTTACACTCATGTAACAATTGAGGTAATAGTAATAATTTATTTAACTTTCCAGGCTGCCCAGAAATTTTATTCTCTACTTATGTTGAAGAAATTTCAAGTTGTCGAACTTGAACAAGAAGCATCTTATGCAGAAATTGAAATTGAAAGGGGTCCAAACTTTGACAACCCTACTCTTTAAAGGTATCTTTCATGTACATATAAAAAAATGCAAAATTTAATAGATTGAATAATGCTAAACAAATAAATATATTTTTAATTTAAAGAGTTAAAAAAAAAAAATAATGTGAGCAGTACTGAAATAATGACAACTTATTTTGTACAGGACATAGTGTAAGTTATATGTTTAAAAAACTATCATTTGCATAAATGTGAAGTTGATAAACTGCAATAGTTATGTAATTTATTTTTGTTGACAAAAAAAACAATTTCAGTTCTAAGTCATTTTGTTTATTCAAATGCATTGGCATAACAAAATTGTTTCGTTTTTCTTAAGTCCAATTTATAATTATTAATTTACATATAATCTTTATTTTTATTCTTTAATTATTTATTTGTTCTTCTTTTTTTATAATCTTTTAATAAATACAAATTTTTATGTCAAATAAAAACATCTTGTTTTGTTAAGCCAATGCGTTTCTGTTTGTAACATCCCAACTTATGTTTATTTATATATTTTTATCTTTTTGGCTTGTAATCCTAAACAAACCAAAAACATATTAATATAATAAAACTGTCCAAATGTGGAAATCAAAGCAAACTTAATTTATTTAAAATTTCAAAACCAATACAAATAATGTTTTTGATTGTATATAGATTAAATGTAAAAAACAAAAAAACATGTTTCATTAGATGTTTGTACATATCTTAAATGTTTTTATATGTATGTATGACAGCAAATATAGTAGTGTCAGTTGATTATTACTTTTTTCTTTATAGCTTACAGTAATTTATTTTATTTTATTTTTTTTAAACATTATGGTGTTTAATACCTGGAATATTGATTTTACTATATACATATTTACACTTTTTAAATGGATATTATACTCTTTTTTTTCTTATTGAAAATAAATTACCATTTATTTACTTTTTTAAAATTACTTTTAACTATTATTATAATTAGTTTATATGCACACCCATATAAACATTTTTGTTAAACATTTCTGTGAATGTTCAATTAAATATTATCTGATGATTGTTTTTTACCCTTACATCTTTCACCCCAAAAAACATTACAAATTTATAGACAGTATCAAGTTATGAGCACTCGCGAAGATGTTTGGGTATTCTTTGGTGACCGTGGTAGCTGAGTGATTAAGATGAGAGACTCTCGACTAGTAAATCCCACAGTCGTGGGATCACTTCCCACCGTCACCTCTAGATTTTTTTTCTGGCATATTTGGGGAGGAGAGGCTGCGATGAAGTTGACGCTCATCAATGGAAGGTCTGGGGCGGGGTCAAATCTCAGCTACACTGAATTCTTCGAAAATTAGTTTCACTTCGATAAAAGAACTAGCACATTGAGGACTCACTTCGCATACGGGTCCATACTCCCAAAATGGAGCCAGGAAGGAGTACAATAAGCTGTTTAGCTGCAGCACTCGGGGGTCTACTCCAGTTCCTGGTATCCACAATAAAATTAGTAAAAAAATTAGTATTCATCACTTAGGTTAAATTTTATCTTATGCATCAGAAAAAAAAAGGTGTAGTTGTTCAAAACTAAAATTTATTCTACAAATTTATACTTCCAAAATACACTATCTAAACCACAATTTTTTATTGTAATTGATAACTGAGATTTTTCAATTTTGTTTTAAACAAATTAGGTGTTGACTATAACAATAAGCAATCTGTAATTATCAGGAGAATATTTAGATAAAACCCCTATCATTCTGGATATTATTTTGCTGGTTTTGTTTACCAGAAGACATGTTTCTGCACGTTACCATCTTCACAGGCTGATCTGATTTCGGTTGGTTGAACATGTATGAAAGACCAGTGAGAAGATGACCAGGATAATGTCATGATTCGCCTTGCCTATTTCACGAACACATTGTTTCATCGATATGATATGGATAGTTGGATAAAGGAAATTGTGTGTTGAGAAAGATATTTTTTAGCATTGGTGTTACCATGGACCAAATAACATTATATGTTATGTTCTGTAGCTACAGGGAAGCAGTGGGTATGTTGATTTACATCTAAGTTTTTCCAGCAGAGAAAATCTATATGGAAGAGGGTCAGCCTTAAATAATGAGTTTGAGATTTATGAATATTTAGGTATACACCTTAATTAGGGCCGTTTCAGCAAATGTTTGCTCGTCACATGAATAGACAATTTGATTTTCCAAAATACATCCCGTTTTTGCATTATATTTTCTGCCTCAGATTACTTGGCAATTCTTTGAGGCCACTCTTGTCATAACGCTTGCCTATATTTAACTGAACCAATGCCCTTCCCTATTCTTTTATTTTTATTTTACCAATGGATAGCCAATATATTATAAATATTACCAATGGATAGGCAGCCACTTTGGCCCAGAGGTGGTTGCTTTCATTTTTAATAAATTAATAATGAGCCTGTTTGAACCTTTAGTGCCACATGTAGGTAGAGTAGCTAGCAACCTTTGGCCATCTAGTCATGTGGTTAAGTTCACCTCCTGGAGTAGAGAAAGCAACATTCTGCTCTGGCCAATGAACACAACAAAATATCATGTTTACATGTTTTTATACATAATTCAAGAATAAAATTAATTAATTACAAATTTTTAGCGAGTGGTGACCACATGAAATGCGATGGTGAATCAAAAGAAAACTAGAAGGATGAAAATTAATCATCTAAATGATTTTACTGTTACAATTAATGTTAATGATTTATAATTACAAATTACTAATTAATTACTTTATAATTAAATTATTTAATGATTTATATAAGCTCAATCCACACATACAGATTGAACCTATGACTTCTCACAACCCACTGACAAAACCAGCTTTTTTATCATTTATAATAAATTAGTGGCAGGCTATGAGAATCACCTACCTCAGATTATGGCAGTACGGGGTCCACCTCGGTCATTTCTGAACTTAGACTCCAGGGGCTGTCAACAGCTAGGTCATTTTAGCCCCAAACCCAAGCAGTTTTTAAATCTCACTCTCTCATCCACAATTGAATAAATCACACTCTTATTTATGGCAGTCCTCAAGTATGATGTTGTACTCAGTACTCTTCCGTCACCCTTTACATACAACTAATCTAATTCAGGAACTGTGTGGTCCATTCACACTAAAAACCTAAACGCTGCCATTTCACATTAGTATAGATTGACTAAACTGCAAAAACACTTTTTTTAAAATTAAAGGGTAAAATAATTATTTACTTTTTGGAATAATAGTTCTGTAATAGTTGTAGAATTATTCCAAAAAGTGAATTGCCACCTCAAACCATTTCTATAAATTAATTGTTATATAGTCTATAAATTATTATTTTACTACAGTGTGGCTCAATTACTCCAACTTTAGATACCATTAATTTCGTAATCTGTACAGCAATAAATAACATGGAACAACATACATACCTCATTACTTATTACTCTCCAGCCGTTATGTGTCCAGGGATCCAGACAACCAACACCATTTTCCTGATAGTTCAGAGCACAGCAAGGGTCCACAGAGGACCTCTCACAGCTGAAACTGCACTGAGGGAGTTAGTGTAGACGGTGTAAGTTGCAAAAGATAACTTAGATTTTTTTGTTATTTCATTACTTGGTAAAAAAAAAAAAAAGTGGGGGCATATCTAGTTAAAAAATTTGGCAAAATTTTTTGGATGCTTATATTTCCTTTAGGATAAAAAAGTTGAGCCCAAAAAATTGATTAAAGCTAGCATATACAAGCACTAGTATACAAATTCAAACCTAAGGTGTACATACATGATTTTGGACGAAGGTGTAAACTTTAAGTGTTCCCCTGTAATATGGGCATTTTCAACTTGATTAATTCTTCCCTCTAGCTACAGATATAAAGTTAGAACAGGAATAATTTTTTACTTATTATAGTGACTGTATAAACTATCAAATTTCAGCTTCTGTTAACATCACACCTCTAATCACCCATCAGGATAAACAGGATAAGAATGGATTAGCCTTTATGGTCAGGAGCAATCCTTGGCTTCTGGGTCATTTTCTAAAGTTTTAAAGCAATGATTTTTTTTCTGGTAAGTCAACGCTTCCACTTTGAATATTGTAATTTGTAGTAGAATATTTTATTTTGAGAAGGTAGTTTTTTTTTGGGGGGGGGGTTTGTATAATATTTTGTATATACATTTGCTCTAAAGATGTTTTTATTTTAAAACAAAGTGCCTCAGAGGCATGCCACTTACTTAGTGGTTACACATCATTATAAATTATACAGGGTGATTCACTACTCGTACAACTATTTCAAGTGGGAAGTGCTTCTACAACTCAAATGCAACAGAACTTTGTTGAACCATGGTCCAATTATAACCAATCCCCCTTTTCACACCATCACCACTTTTTTCCCTTAAGCATAAAATTTCTGCATTTTGGTTAGATCTAATTTAAAAAAAAAAAGGTATACCACTAGTAACCTTACTAAACGAAAATGTATTTTTTTACATCAAACCAAATTTTAAATTTCGCATTTTTGAAAGATTTAGTTTTTTTTTCAAAAATTAAATTGAAAGGTTCCCCTTTCTAAGAAGGGTGCATTCTTTAGAAGAATGGCACTCTCAACATGACAGTCAAGAATGACACATCTACACAGAAAACAAACTTGGAGCCCTGAAGATGATCTTAGTAAAGATCAAAACGCTGGCATGAAAAAGAAAATGTTTTTCTAAAACCTACGTCATACCAGACCACATCTCACGATCTCTGAATAATCGTTAAAAAAAAAAAGTTGAATATCTGTGAAAGGGTTAATAATTAGACAAACTTATTTGTAGCATTTTTGGTGTAGAAGCAGTTGAAGAACTTTATCATATGAGTAGTGAATCACCCTGTATAACAAATTTAAAAAAAAAAAAAAAAATGGTATGAGGCTTCATAAATCAAGTGATCCGTCCATATAGATTTCAAGAATGTAGATATATCCAAATTTTATTTTATTATATTTTTTTAAATTATTTATTACATTATAATAAGAAAATGTAGAGTTCTCAACTCATAAATGTAGGTATTTACATTACAACTAATGATGAATGCGCTTGTGTTTATTACCATGGATGAATTATTTGCATAACTTGCAAATAATTTTTAGCTTGCTTTTGGATTTGTATGTTTAAAAAACGACATAATGCGTACAAAAATACAAGACCAGCCACTAAAAATGTTTGTTAATAACAAAACTATGGGTTCATCAACATATTAAGAAATGTAAACTCACTGCACACATTTAAACAATATTGGGAAAGTTGAACTTTGGTAAGAGACACTAAACTTCCTTGCTGGAGTGGTGTATTACGTATAAATATACCTACTTCGAATATGTAATGCTCATCAAAACTTAATATAAAATAAGGATCAACCTGCAAGACTGAACAATAAGTAGCAAATGGTTAATATTTCTAATAATGCCCAGGTTGGATGGTAAATTTGGCAAACCGCTGTTAATCTGCAAGTCATATTACAAATTCCACTTAAAATTTAGATTGGCTAAAGTTCTTTCGGCACCAATGGCATAACCACTCTGCCACCGCGGTCCCAGTTTCTGAATAATATACTCTACCATGAATAGTTGAAATTTCCTGATATTTTAAGCGATTGAACCGCTTAAAATTTAATAATTTTGAATATTGCTCCAGGAAAATTGAGTGGACCAACTAGTGGAAATGAATGAAGCATATTTTGTTTTGATTTTATTTGGTATTTAAAATTGCATTAAATTATCCTTACAATTATCTACTACTACAACCTTATAAAAATGCACCTCCACATACCAAATGTATACAGAAAGTCAGGGAGAGCCTTTAAGACATAATAAATAATATTTCACATTTCATTTCAGTCTGGACATAAACATTATATATTAAATAGGAACAGAGTGTACTGAAAATAAGTTCAAATCAGAGATAAATTAAAACAATCAAGATTATTAGTTCGAAGAATTAAATGATATGAAACCCCAGAAGAGGGGGCAATAGCGATTAACTGACTGAACTTGAACACAACACTGAATAAAAAATAACTATCTTATCACACTTTCATTTTATTTTTAAAATCCATATAGATTAAATTAAAATTTAAAAATCGGTACAGTATTTTATTAGCGTGGCCCCTTTAAGATTCTGTGTTTATTGCTTCTCTTGCATGATGGGTTTTAATATGCTTGTTATGGTTGGATTTGGTTGATGATGTTTTATTACATATATGACATGAAAATGGTTTTATTCCTGTATGAATTCGCAAATGATCGACTAGGTAATAATTCCGATGAAATGTTTTACCACATTCATCACAAGTATATCTTTTTTCTGAACTGTGCTCTTTTTCATGTCGGAGCCAATTATGTTTTCTATTAAACTGCATTCCGCAATGATTACAAGTGAAAGGCTTATTGCCGTAATGTGCTCTTATATGAGCTTGAAAGTCACTTTGTCTTATGAAAGCACCTTTACACATCGTACACTTGAAAGGTTTTGATATCCTTGAAGCGTGTGTCCATTTATGTAAATGTAAATTCCATTTTGTCAAAAATTTTTTCCCACAAACTATGCAACCGAATTGTTTTACATTACCATGTTGTTTCATATGAGCCCGGAGAGAAGATTCTATAAAAATCTGACTGCATATGGGACAACTAACGTTTTTCTTTTTAATATCTTCACCTTCAGGTAAATACTCCCTATTGTGAGCTTTTCTTATATGACGAGTTAAACTCGCATTATGAATATATCTCTCACTGCAGTACATACACTGTTTCGGTTTTTCTTCGTGAGTCTCCCTGTGCCAATCCAATTTCTTTTTTGAAATAAAAGTTTCACCGCATTCGCAAAAGTATTCTTTTACTTTCTTTTTAATCTGAAAATGAGCGCTGTCCTTGTGCTGTTTGAGATTGGAATATCTTTTGAATCTTCTATCACAAAGATTACATTGTATCGGAGCGTAACCGGTATGTCCATTCATGTGCTCCTTCAATTTCTGATTTGAAATGAACGATTTAGGACACAGCGAACAAGCGTGAGGCTTTAGATCCAGATGAATTTTTGCATGAGTGTGCAGGCTCGACTTACTGTGAAAGGTCTTTCCACAAGTCCTACATTCCAATGGATGTATTTTTATTATATGTTCAACGAAGAGCTCCTGAGTTGGAAAAACTTGCATACAAACACCACATTGCCTGGAAATTTTTTTATGCTCCGTTCTAGTGTGCACCTGTAACAAAATAACTATTATTTAACTTTAATAGTTTTACAGTAAAGATATTGTATGCTAATGGGAAAAAAACAAAAACAAATTTAAGATCATTTCAATGATAAAGTTGAATATGACTACACAACTTTTATGATTATTAATAAATAATCAAGTTTCTAAATGGTTACCAAATGTTGGTAATTTTTGTATAAAAGTTTGGTGTTTTTAAATGTAGAGAGGTGCATGAAATTGCCTTATTAGGAAGAGATTATGAATTTACGTTTGCTCAAATCTGCACTTGCATACATAAACGTGTGTACAGAATTGTGCCATTCACTTCTTGCAGACCATGGGCAATTTTTGATTTTTGGTATCCTTTTTTAAAAAAGGATTGAACACCGCACTCACTCCATCACTCACCATTTCTATTTGAATGAGTCTATTTGTAATAAATTCAAGTTCAAAATTCACTAGATCATAGAACATCAAGTTCCTACAATTGTGGAAATATTTGTAAAACACCATTTACAACTGTAAGAATTAATTTTTAAGTCCTAATATAATAATTATTATATAAATTGGATGACTATGGATATTATTAGTACAGTGAAACTTCCCTTACCGAGCACTGGTAGAACTATCGAATTCTGATCCCCCGATGTTTTCCCATTAGTTTCTTCACATTAAAATCTTCTATGAAGCAAAAACTCCCAATAGCGGACGTGGACGGTTTTTTAAAGAATATTCTGACTCTAAAACTCTCCCAAAAGCGGACAGTAGCCTCCCGAAAATGAACATTTTCTGAGAAACACTCCGTAAGTGTTTTGTTCACCTTCCAATATTGTTCTTTGTCTAGAATTGCTAGATTTTAATTGTGCCCCTTTGCAAACATGTTTATGTACTTCTCGTCTTCTTAAGATTGACTTAGAATTTCAACATGAAAATATTAAATATGTCTCCCAGTGTGTGTGTTAGATACTGATGAAAAAAATTAATATAATTAAAGTGAGTGAAAGTGAAAAACTAAGATTGCTGGACTTTGTCGTACAGTGTTTCAAAGGTATCAATATTTTATAAACCGCATTGTGGCCCATCTTGCAATAGAATTTTTTTTTTTTTACTCTTACCCCAAAAGTAGATGCAGTCATCTCTGTATAACATACCATATTTCATTTCCCAACAGATCATTCTGCTAAAGAGAAGTTTTACTGTATATGAAGGGTTTTAGGTTAAGGTATGAATACAATTAATATCAAATGGTTGAATTGATACGTTATACATTCTTTAACATAAATAAAAATATGTTAAATGTGACTATCAGAACTGATTATAATAAAGATATTGTTGACAAGAGAAATATCACAATTTCAGTTTATGTTCTAGCCTTGAAAAAGAAAAAATGTATCTTCAAAATGTCAGCTTGAAATCAATTAATTGTACATAGATACTTCACCTTGGCTGAAAAACAATCCACAAACTGATTATAATTACAAGTAAATATGAATATAAATAAAATTTTAAATTTAATTTCATTATGGATGACAATTTAAAGATATAGGGACACTTTTTCCTGTAGTTGTTTAGATATATTGAAATTTATTTATAAATATAATTATAATTATATTTAAAAAAATTAAAAGGTTCTTACTTTCAATTCCTTTTGAGTACTTAAATGCAGTCCACATTTTGTGCACATAATAGTTTTCTTAATCCCTTGCTTTGAGTCCTGATTGCAATGCAAGGTTGCTACATGAACACGTCTTTCTTTTGGACAATTAAATTCCTGTTCGCAGTACAAGCACATGTATTTCTTCTTCGTATCCTTGGATTCATCCCACAAAGGTCCTGGAACACCTATGAATTGGCTCTGTAATTCCTGAAATAAGAGATCAAAATGAAAATAATTAAAATGAAAGCGGATGAATAAAATTATCCTGGCCTATCTATGTTTGCGACAGATCAAAACAGTGAGGATATGGCGACTAAGATGGTGGTAAGAAATGTGGTAAACTTTATCAACCCCACAGACCTCAAGAAGAAATTTCACAAATAATTTTCTTCTTTTCCAGATTTGTAATGTATTTATTTTTTTGCAGACTAGCAGCTAGGACTATTGCCAGCTCATCTTGTTTTGTCTATCTTGCTTTTTTTATAAATTAAGTCAATTAAAATAGATATTTACACTATTTAAAATGTTTGGCGGGTATCAAAGTTCTCTATATACTGCTGAGACCCACCAAAATTACCCCCCACCCAATTAAAATTTAACGTACAGCCAGAACCTATGTTTGGGGAACCCAGCAAGGCGATTTTCAACTTGACACCTTCCCTTCATTCACACCAATAAATACATTCTCATTTCACACACAGTAAAACTCATGCAATCACTAAGTTAACCTAATTGGTTCAAAAGGTCTGTGGTTACTCGTTATTCCACACAGATTGTGTCCATACACACTTAACCACAAATAAACACATTCACACAATTGGGTAGTAACCAATGACTATCCGCTACTGTTTGTTGAACAGTTGAACTTACCCAAATGGACAATTCTAATAACTGGACATCCCTCATGACAATTTTATCCCCCCCCCCCCCGATGATATACTATTTATAACAAGCAAGAAAAGTATTTCTAATAACCGGACATTCTAATAAACAGATAATTTAATTAAAATGTCTGTCTCTTAAGCAGACATCAGAAATTATTTATTATCCATTTATTTATATCATAAAATTAGTCAATTAACCAAATTTAGTACATTGTGAAAATACTTTAGATTTTTAATAATAATCTATGTGGTTATAGAATTTAAATTAATCTTAAACATTAGATATAAAAGCGACAGCTGTAACCCTTAACCAGTGATGGATAAATTATATAAGTTGTTGAAGTCGTGAGGAGCAGTCAAGAATGAGGTAGTTTAGAAAAACACCTTTTTGCCAATGTTTGACCTTTTTCGGGCCAACTCCAGAGCCTGGGTAAATTACAAAACATATGCTGATTGGAAAAAATAAAATTTAAGATGTAAATATAAATTTTGAACCAAGTATTTCATACTCAAAATACAATTATGGTGTCATACTGATTTTGGGTGAAAATGTTGTGAAACGTGAATTTGCATTCTGCTGTTTTTATATGATTGTGACAGGGTAGGGGACATAGTAAATGTGGTAAATTTTCTTTGATCACAGGCGGTTTTATTTCTCAAAGGAAGTCGAAAATGGGGATTTTCTGAATTGGATTTGTGATTTGGCATTCAACATTGGAAAGAAATTCACTAGTTTTCGTGATCCGCTTGACCAATTGGAAAGGAAGTTAATTTTTAAGGACAATAATGAAGGAAAGTAAAAGACTGTCGCTGGGTGTAATTACAACTAGAGTTGTACGTACATCTCTTATCCAAATGTTTTCTGGTCCGGTATCTCCCAGGCTCCCATGTCCAGAAAGTTCTCCTCTCGGTGGCATACATTCTTCGGCTTGTATGTTAAGTCCTGAACTGCTCCTATCTAATTCGACTTCGAGTATTTGTTTATGTTCGCCTTTCTTCGATTTTTCACCGCCAACATATTCTGTTGTCAAATATAAATGTGTTTCAGTTTGAGAGAGTATCTGAAGGTATAAAATACATGTTGCAATTTTATTACCAGATGAGATATGGATTTATTGGCAATAAATTTGGTGGATTACCATTATGAATATAGCAAAATAACATGAGAATACACAGACTTATAAGATTTCAAAAGACGGTTTAGCCAGATGTTCACAATGGGTGGGTAATTGGACATAAAACTCCTGAATTACAGGAATTACTTTACTTCAACGTATTTCTATTCATACTGCTATAGTTATTTTATAACATTTTATTTGCAAAAATTAATTGAGTTAATATTTTTAAAGCAAAAGTAAAGCGATTCCTGTCATACAGGAGGGGTTAACATCCCTCACCAATTTTGGGTATCCCGGACCACTTTTTAAAATTGTTGTCAATAATTTTAACATGAAATTACAATTGAAATGCCAGGACTGGGCTGATACAAAAATCAAATGCCTAATGACTTGGTCACTGCAAACCAAAACTATATAAATACAGCCCTGGGAAAAATATACGCTCAATAGATTTATGCTTTTTTTATAGGATTGCATTGATAGAAAGCATCCAAAGGTCATTGCTTTACTCAATAATCCAAAAACAACACTTGTAAACAAATCTTGGTTCCATTTTGAATGAATATCATCTCAAGGTATCAATTTTTATATTTACAAAATAATAACATTTCATTTCACCTTTTCATAGCAAAAAGGGAGTGATAAGTGTTTGGTAAAGCAGTTTAAGCTGTTTTAAATTAATGTCACAGGACTCAAACAATTTAAATTGGAGAACAACACATAATCAGCTTAAAAAGAGTTGGAATGGCACACGAGGAAAATTTCTCGTGAGTTAAATCGCTCCAAAGGTGTAGTTATTTTTTAATTATAATTTTATTTATTTATTTTCTAATTCAAGTCTAGAAAATTATAGAAAAAATAAAAGAACTGAAATTTTTTTGAGTATGTGAAATGCACTGTTTTGAGGATATCTCAAAAAGTGGTGCTTCTTCTGCCCAGATTTTGAGAAATTCAACCTGGGATGGCTTAGTACAGAAGTTAGCTCAAAAATCTCTTGTACAACGGTATTTGCAGTTTTTTGAAAAATATATCCAGAAGTGCCAACTTGGCCAAGAGTTCTAGTGATTAAGTTATTTTTGAAAAGTCACACTGGAATGGCAGAGTCTCATGAAATGGCTCAATGAAAAAGGTACATCACAAATCACGCATACTCGGAAAAAAGAAATAAACCAAAAGCTAATTTTCTAACGAGAAAATGCACTGGTACACACAGCACAGTTCATAAAAAGTGTTGGAGGATTTTAGGTTTATCTTTTAAATTGACAAGCAATTATTCCAGTCCTTAATCCCTTAATTGTAAGGGATCATGACTATTGACCTCTGTGACCAAAAGCAAGAAATTCAATATGTCAAGGAACTTAAAGCATAGCACAATCTTGGGAAAACGTAGAAGAGATTTTGACAATTTGTCTTAATTATTGTTAAATAATTTCCAAAATAAAATATTAAAATGTGTTAAAAGGTTCTGTCTTTTCCCCCCATAGAACTCCACTTTTTTCTTTTGAAAATAAAGAGTAGATCAATTAAATCTAGGCTGACAAGCAAATTGTGAACATTTAATTACAATTGGCCATATCATTTATATATGAAAAATATACTTTTTTTCAGTTATTACTGTATTTCTTTTTTGTTTGTATGAATCATTTGAATGCTCTTATTTTTAGGCTTTTTTTAAGGTGGCTACAGAAATTTTCAAATGTAAGTGAATTGGCATGGAGCCACTTTTGCAGTTCTTTAAATAATTTTTTTTGCAATTGCTTTTGTATTGTACAATTAAAGAAATAAACAAAGTATTTGAAAATGTACAGGGTGTGGAAACATTGCTTACTTGAAAATAATTGAAAATCACCTTCACAAAAGGCCTAAAAATAGGAAAGAAAAATCAAGTGATGTTTGGAGATTATCTATAGTTTTCATAAGTATGCTGTGAAGTAGTAAACGAATGCAGTTTTAACAGTTAATATATAAAAACAATAAAAAATTAACCTTTAAAATTTCAAAAAATATAATACCATTGTTACTCATGAGATCTTCACTATGTCTTGCGTCCTCATCTTGAAAATCCCCATCTGATGTAATGTATTCAGGGCATTGCTCCGGGTCTGGTTGATCAGGGTTTGTCAAGTCAGTCCGAACGGATAAAAGTGAATGAACACTAGCTGGCGAAGGAGCTTGGTTTTGAATCTCAATGAAAGATTTGTCATGATCGTCTTCATTCAGTTCAACTTTGTCTACATCATTCTGGCTATGTTGACCTGCTGGATAATCTCTATCGTCGACGTTTATAAGTGCTGTAACGACAGGTTCAGTCGTCTGAGTATTGACCCCGATTATTTCCGTCCTCCCAATTTCCGTCTGACTTATGAATTCATTGTGATTCGAACCTAGGACTTGAGGTTGGGAATATATAGGGTAAGACATCAACGGCGCGTGGATTATGTTTGTGACTTGCTGCCTTCCTAACAAGATGTGTTCTTCGGATACGACTTGAAACGGGTTGATGAGGGGTGTCGATGAGACGTTCGAAGCCAATTGCTGTAGGTTCAACGGCTGTTCTTGGGTATAAAGCCTCACAAGCGCTTCTATCACTTGATCCTTGGGATGAGTGTTCAAATGGGCATGCATCGACATCCCTTCCCTCAGGTACAGGGTGCATACGGGGCAAGCTACCAGTTGCCCCTCCATTTTTCACCTTTCTATAGAATCAAAACATGCATAAATGAGTAACAAGGGCCAAACCTAATATCGTAATTAAAAAAACAATAAAACGGTGACAATCGTCAAGCCAAGCCAACTGACCTTCTTTACAAGGGTTTAAGCCGAAGACTACGCGCTGCTAGTCTTTAGCCAATAATCCACCGCACAACAATTATGCCCAATTTTTATGTATTCAAGAAGAAAGGGAAATCTATACCAAGAAAATTCGATAACGTAGGGCGAAGTCCTACGGGAAATTGTTTGAACTAAAATCTCTTTGTTGACCAGCATACCTGCCTTTTTATAGGCGAACTTAAATCGAAAATACCCGATTTCAATGGAAAAGACATTTCCACGATTTTTCCTAGATACATATTGTCAATGAGATCAAAACGTTCCATATGCTTGTACCAACTGTTAGTATAAAAACACAACAAAAGATATCAACAGAAGTGACAACCACGGCTCACTAGAAGTGCACCCCCGTGCTTAAGTCCACTTCTTCTCACCCTCCAGAATTATTTTATGCACACATTATTACAGTTATAATCCCTAATAAATATCATTATTTCTTTTTCCCACGGCACTTCACTCCTAAGCATTCAGGCCTTAGGGCGTGACAAATGAAATAAATCGATGAAACATCATTCGCCTCATTTCATCGATAATAACACCTCGATTCTTACTCTTTCAGACTTCTTCCTACGCATACATGATGCACTTAAAAAAACTCACTCAAGTACAAGGCTTAATTACAACAAATTTATAGTCAAATTAAGGCCTAAAAAATAATTATTTACCTATCTAATAACCCTAACTATAAATAAATAAAAGAAGAGTACAGCAATGTTTAAGATTTCAGAATAAGTTTTAATTTATTACACCACCCCAAAACATTAACTTGTGCGGATCTGAAAGCGGCTTTTGATAGCCGAGGACTCTTTTTGAAACTTAGTAATTTTGGCTTTTTGTCTAATGTGTTAACTTTATAGAAATCGCTTTTCTCTGAGTCATCGAGGGTTTGTGGGGCAGAAGGAATCCGAATATTTTGAAGTTTGTTTTGGAGTTAAGCAAGGTTGCCTGCTAAGTCCGATACTGTTAGCCATGTTTCTTGATGACCTTCCAACCGTTCTCGAGTGTGGTTTCAGATGGGCAACATTGCAATAAAAGTTGGTGTTTCTTGTCTCTTCTCAGAGAATTTATCAGGGTGGTGGCTGTTCATTCTCAAATTCTCCAATCATGTTACAATAAAAATTCTACTATACACAGATGCGTAGTTATGCCAACTTCATGCACGATCTACAAATGAATATTAAGCCATTTGAAGCTTTTTGTGACCAATGAAATCTAGATGTAGGTACGTTAGTCAGGGTGTGTATTACCCTTTAAGAGCTATTGGATTCCCCATTCTGTACTTAAACTTTAAAGCACAGCAGTAAATCCTAGTTCATCAAAGAACTAGATTAGTAGGTTCGGTTTCAGTCATTGAACTCTACAGTTAGGTTGTATGCCCCAAACACTTTCTCCTGCAGGCAAGTGTAGCACCTCTGTAGTAGGTGTGATGGTGTTACCTCTGCTTCTTTGCAGAATCTGCATGTTTTTCCGGTTTCCTTTAATACATTATGTTACCTCTTTCCTTCCAAAGTTTTAGGAGGTTCTTGGCTTGTTTGTGTCCAATGGGCGAGTCCTGTTGTTCCCTCATTTTCTTTTTATCCTTCTGTCTGAGGTGTTTGTTGACTTCTACTCCAACACGTCCTGGGACCCAGCAGAGGCTGACTTTGTTTTGCATACCTAATTATTTTAGTTTGGTTTTGCAATTCAGCACCATCTTTGAGCTAATGGTGTTTGAACTTAGCACTTTGATGGCTCCTTGGCTATATGTCATGATAGCGATATTCTTGTTTTCATACCCTTTTCATAATTAAACCTATCGACCTCAGCTTGGAAGATACAGGTGTATTTTCCATTGGGTACTGAGTATTTGGTTCCAAGACCAAACACTCCTGCTCCATATTTTCTTGCACTCTAGTGTCATCTGTGTACCAGTAGATGGTTCCACTCTTAAAGGTGTTTTTCTCTTTTCCATCCCTTTTTGGTGCCTAAGTTTATTTTGGCAATTTTGATTGAAATTATCCTATTCATATTGATTCTTGGGGCCATGAGTATCGGATGGTCTTTCATTAGATTGTTGCTATCTCTCCAGTTTAGTTTAATTCCTGTTGGAGGTTTCTCTTTGATAACGTTAATAAGTTTTCTTGTGCTGTCCTCATTGTAGAGAGCGATGGAATCTAACAGTAAACCTGAAAAAGTGCAAGGTTATGGTTTTCAGAAAAATGGTAGACTTAAGCCTTTGAACCGTTGATATTATAAAGTTAAAATAATAAAGAATAAATATATTGGTGTTCTCTTCTCCCCCAGATTGCAGTGAATGAATCGTTTAAAGAAAAAAGTCTCATTAACAAAGTTTGCAATCAACAAGCCGCGATCCTTTTTAATCTCTTAAGAGGTCTTCCCTTTAAAACTTAGGTATCAGGTATTCAACTCTGTGTGCTGTTCAATCCTGTTATGCTTCAGCTATCAACAATTTGATTCAATAAAAAAAGTCCTAAGATATTTTGTTCTGTAAATTATTTGCATTACCAATTCCAACCCCAAATTGTTTGATTTACTTTGAAACATTGTCAGATCTGTTATACATGCTTTAATTCTCATTCATTCGTACAACCTTACTCCTCTCAGATTCCAGGCTAGTAAAAATAAGTGTGAGAAATCATAAGGTTCAACATTTCCTGTTGTGCACAATGGTTATATCTGTACCATAAGTTCTCCCTAACCACCCCAACCCTTGATAAATCCCCTCTTTTCAGCTTTGTTATTTGCAATGAAAGAGCAACATAGAACCGGATGCTTATGCTGTATTCAATCCTCAGTAAATTTCTTGTTGTTGCAAAGTTCTCCATTTAAACTCTTGCTCACTGGATTAGAGGGAGGGATGGGATCCGTTCTGTTAGCAACTTGTGATCGATTGAAACAGTTCTTCACTTCTTAGCTGAATGTTCGATTTTAGGAAAGATTCGTCCATTACACCTAGGGTCCTTCACTCTCTCAAGAGTCCAAATTGTTGAGATGTTGAATGGTTCAGATCCTTAGGCACTTATACAGTATGCTCACCATGCTTGGAAATATGGAGTTCATTTATTCCAGGAATTTAATTTTTAATTTCGTACACATCTTTCCTTCGTTAAATAGCCCAATCGTAAAAATATCTAATGATCTGGAAGACAAAACTCATTATTTCTCTATATTCTTTTTTGATCTACAATTAAGGCATGTATATCCATAGTTCTAGATTTAATTTTGAATTTCGAATCGTGTAACAATTTACAATCTCCGACGACAGATGGATTTAATTCCACTGTGTTATACTTTTATAAATATGCTGTATGTAAAATAAAGTTTTTTTTATCTAACTAACCATATGTAAATAATAGGAAAGTTCAGCAATATTTAAGATTCCAGAATAAATTTATTTGGTTTTTATTAAAAATTACTTAACATGTTGGACATATTGAATAAATGAATGAAGAAATAACTTTAATTAAAAAAAAGAAAATTCAAGACAATAGTAAATAAAAAGTTCTCTCAACAGATGGCCACTGCCATTGTCATTCATGCTTTGTAAACTATATATCATGTAAATGTTATTTATTTTCCAGTAAAGATTAATAATCTCAATTAATAATCTTAAATCCTTTTTAAAAAAGGTTTGAACACCGTACTCCATCATTCATCATTTCTATAAAGCATCTTATTCATTATTCATAAAAAGTTCTTAATACAGCATTGATTGTAAAACTGTCTGCTGAAAGTGGTGGCCAGGGCTACTTGAAAACATAAGATATATGCATACAAAAATTTAAAATAAAAGAGATAAAAAAAATAGTGAAATTGAAATCTTGGTGACTGCAATACATATATCAGAAGACAACATTCATATGGCTCCATTGTTACAATTTGAGCCGTTATATTATCTAGAATTTATTTGGGTACTTAGTAATAATCATTATTTTTTTATTTATAAAATATATAAATAAAGTATACAAATCTTTCTCAGTTTTGCCAATAAACTTTATGGATAACAATTATTCAGGGTGTGTACAAAAAAGAAAAAACGCAAGAAAGACAAATATACTGAAAACCTCAATGTTTATTTTACCTTACAAATGAAAAAAAAAAAGTTTTTTTGTTGAAATAGATAGTTTCAATTGGCTTATTAATCCATTAATCCATCCTAGTTTTCAATTTTTTATGAGTAACTTTGTCCTTTTCACTAAAAATACAAAACAATAAATTAATAATGAATAATAATTTTACAAATACAAATAAATATGGACCTTTTACTGTGTACAGTACTGTGTTGTTGCTTGTGTGAGTGGATGAATATTTTACTGTTTACAGATTTCTGATTTATATAAGCTCAAATCTGCACATATACATATATACATGTGTGTACAAATTGGAGAGGACTTCTCTAAGTCCACGGGCAATTCCAGCTTTTGTAATTTAAAATAAATTACCAACGGGCCTTGAGAATCACTCAACCCAAGTGATGGCTGTCCGGGGTCAGACCTGGCTCCAAGAGCTATCAATGCTAAGTCAAGTCATTTGCGCCTCAGATTTTTTTAAAAGAGCCAATCGTGGAATATTAACTACCCTACTGAACTTCTTTTTTTTAATGAGAGTTTGCAAGAGCCGAGGTCATATCACCCTGAGGTTGTAGGTGTTTAAAAAAAAAAGCTGCTTCCAAATGTGGGACTTTACCTTACAGTAATGAGTGCCGTGTCAACGCCATAACTGTTGAGCCAATGACGCCACTGTTATTTGTATTATTAATGTAAATAATAGTACAAAGATAAATATGGAAATATGACCTTGTGATTTTTTTTGTAAAAAAAAAAAAAATAAATAAATAAAACTACTTACATAATATAGACACTCGCACCCCAACCAGAAAGAGCATCACGATCGAAAGCATTAACAAGTGCTTGGGAAATTGTTTCAAAAAGGTCTTGTGGGCCTAAGTTTGGCTCCCAGAGAGCTTCACACATTCCATAAAGTTGTTCTGAGCAGGTACCAGCAACGACAAAATCTTCAGGTTTATTCGGACAGCCAATCAAGTCAGTAGCACAAATGAACGGTTCATACGTTTTTGGCATCAGCCCGGCAACAACTGGTTCCACAAAAAAAGGGCCAAACCTAAAAACACAATTTTATGTTATTATGCTTTATGATAATATTTGTTAAACTTGAATTAATATCATGTAACAAAATTAAAAAATTACCTCCTTTCGTAAAGTAAATTTGAGAGCATAGAAACAAATACTTCAGGACTCATCTTTCTGTCTTCTTTCAGTTCATACAAATTTAGCCTGAAATTAAGCTTATTTTTAACGGTAAACGTGTCCGTTACAAGTCCAGGAAGACCACAATATAAGTGTGGTCCAAATTCAAATATTTTCTGAAAATAAATCATAAATAAATATTTAAAATTTCCAACAAGAAACTGATAATTAATGGGTTTTTTTGTGCAAAATAAAGGTTTATTTTGTCACTAGAATCAATTATTTTGTCCATGGCAACAAGACAAAACCAATTAAATTAAGGAAGAGAGCATGGTTTTAAGATTTGTTATTTCAAAAACTTTTATAAATTCTCGAAGAGAAAACATTTGTTTAACATTCTTAATTTAATTTTAAATAAATATAGTACCTCAAAATTTGTAGCTATTGTTTGTCCTTGATTCACACCAAACCTAAGATCTGAAGCTATAGCTACACACTCCTTGCCCTTCATGGCAACAACAGCTCCTCCATTATACGATAGTATGCTCTGAAAAGAAATATATATTATAACATGACATATTCTCTTATGCAAGTTTGAGTAATATAAAGCAAATTGATAAAGGCCCATGTTCTAAAAAATGTAAAAGTGTTATTATAAGTTTGTCGTTTTCAACCATTTTCAATCATCAGATCATTCATCTGCCTATCATATTTCTTTGACTGCCACTTGTTTTTTCCTCGTTCAATTTCAGCCAGGGAGAGGTGAGGCACTGAATCTCATCAATTTTGGACAAATCAACTCATAACAGGTAAAAATTGAGAATGGGTGAACTAAAATGATCAGGTTAACAACCAATTAACCAGAAAATTTCTTGCAGTTTTTCATTTTTTATTATGTTAATACTGTTAATCAAGCGCGCGTGCCAGTGAAATTCCCGGGTTGCACTATAAAGGCCAGCCGGTAACCTTGATACCACTGACCTATTGGTTCAACGGCGATGTGCTTCTATTTTAATAGGAGAATTAGGAGTTTATATCATGTAATTTCAAGAGGATAATGTGCCGGTCCGTAAAGAAATTGGTTTGAATAGTTCATTGCAAATTATAAAATATTTTATCTAACATGACTTCAAAACCCATAATTCTTGTGTGCTGATTGTAGGAATTTTAGTTTGGTACTGGGGTGGCCGAGAGCTCATAAAATTTGCACTGTGTTTGGTGGTGAAACTGTCCAAAAGTGGTTCAAAACGTTTCCTTCTGGAAAGAAGGGATTGAAGATGAACCATCGTCTTGCAGACCTGTCTTGAATGACAACAAATTGAGGGAAGCTATCTGCAAGACCATATATAGACCCAAAACCTATTCTTTGGATAAGAAAAACAATCACAGAACCCTCTATCACTGAATGGATTCAATAAAACAAAAGGAGATGAGGAAGAAACTCCGCTGGCGCTAAAAACAGTAAACAACGCTCAACAAACTTGAACTCACTGCTACAGGTAGAGACTCAACAGGAATGATAGGATTATTCACCTATCACAGGATCTGAGAAAACATCTACACAACATGGGCATATTCCATTACCCATTTGTAGATAATACAATGAGGTGTAAGAAACTGCCAACCATGCTTCAAATGTGAACATCCCAATAGAGATATAGCCTGGGATACAAAAAAAAAAAAAAAAAAAAATACGATAGTCAATAATGTTGTACTCCTTGTACAGGAGGATAGAATCGACATGCTAAACGAAGGAACTTGGAAAGCCAGAAAGCTGCAGAGCATGAGGAACTATTTACAATGTTATTTTAAATATGTTATCATCATAATGATCAGACCCAGCAAAACCTATTACGGATGAAGACACTCATTAATATAAATCAAATGGAAACAAAAAAACTCGAATCTCAATCCGACAAATCGAAACAAGAATTCTTATGTGTACCATATATAATTAATTAATGAAAATAAAGACTTTAAAATAAACAAAATAAAATATCTAATTAATTAAAAAAACGTTTATTATTATAAAATCAGCAGGTACAAGGCTAAATGTAATTTAAAAAATGTAATACAGTATACAAACGAGTTTAATACTTAAAAACATACAAATAACAAATTATGAATGAGGATTACTACCAGTACCATCAAAAACGTTTATCCGATTCAAAAATTACAAAAATAACGAAATTACGATAACTTACCATTTTAAAGTTGTTTTTTTAGTATATTAGTAGTTCAGACTCGTGAGGATATGATACAAACAACTAAGGACAGCAGACTCACGGCTAACCTTAAGTGATTTGCAAAAAACATTTCGAGTTAAATAACCTTAGTGCACGTTAAATATTTTGTGACGATGGGTCCGGTATCTGGTTAACTTGAAAAATAATATTACAAAAAATATCTTCAACTAGACTTAAATGATGTTTTGATTGAAAAGGATATTTGTTCCTGATCCTCAAAACAAATTATGACCGTTATTCATTAAAATATAAAAAAATCTAGTTTCATCACCAAATTAAATTAATTACTAAAATCTTGGTGAAATTTTATAAGTCAATATTACAAAAACTTACATTTGAGCTGATTGAAATGCCAGAAAATAAAAGTGTTGCAAAATCATTCCAAATTTAAAGACATCTTCTTGGACCTCGCCCTCATCTTTATCCTTTTCCTCTTCAACCTGCGCATGCATTCTCATCTTCCTCCTCTTTACTCTCATTTCGGTTAGTTAACTGAAGAAAAACAAACATAGATGAGATGGGCCAGGACACGATCTAGCAAGAAGTGAGATGAAAAAAGGAATAATCTTGCCATTAAGATTAATTAAATTCTATTGCAGGTCAGAAATGAATAGTCATAAAACAATAACAAACTTGGCTTATTAATGCAAATAAGCTGAGAAAAACCAAGAACAAACCATATTTTGTAGAAAATTTATTTAGGGTTTCATATATTCATTTATATCATAATTAGTCTTCTTTAATTTTTATAGAAGTATGCATGTAAATGGTGTTAAAGTAAAAGTAAAATTGTTTCAATATAAAGTTTAAGTTTAGAATAAATGTGTTTAATGAAGGGCTGGATTAGATGAGCTTATATCAAGAGCACAGTCAATAAGTGGTTCTCAGAAGGTCTGACAGAAGAGCCTCACCCAATTAAGGATAGACGAGTTCAACACACAGACACTTAATTTTGGGTGAAAGCCCACACGTGTCTGGCATGTAGAGAAATTTTACTCCAGTTCCCACTTAATTGATGAATTGGCCCTCAGGCTCCATATAGAGAGAATGTAGGAATGCCACTTATGGGCTTGATCATGGCAGCGATTATCTGAGTCCTCTATTTTGAGTTTTCAAGGAAATAGGACTATATAACACATTATAGATGTCTCGTCTTTTGTTTCTTAGTGTATATTGAGAATGAATAAATTTATTAGCGTGAATGTGTAGTGGGTCAATATTCTGCCATGGTCTCTCAATTAGATTAGTTATGTAATGTGTGTAGAGGGTGATGAAGAGGAATATCAAGTACTCCACTACCCTAACTGAAGTGATGAGTTTGATTTGGAGACTGATTTCGTTGGGGGCTGGGATGAGCTAGCTACTGATAGTCCCTGGACCTCAGAGGCTGCACAGATGACTGAGGTCTGACTCCAGACTGCCAACACTGGAGGGGTGATTGATTGTAAACAAGATTTTTATTAAATGTCTTAATGTTTTTAAGTGGCATACTTTTTTTATTCTTCATAATAAAGCATGTGTAAGCATTAAAATAATTATTATCAAAATGATTGGTAATGTCTATATTTCAGGTTCATTCAGGTTTAAATCTGCAAGGCTGGCGCATAATTTTTTAAATTAGTTTAGCAGTTAGAGTACACATAAGGTCAAATATTTAAAACAAAAATTACCAATTTTTGTGTTTATTGATGAATTTCTGTCCATATATCAAACCCTTATGAAATTTATCTCTTAAGATGTTTACAATTTTTCTCTTTCTTTTCTTTATAACTTCAATATTTTCACATCCAACCCTTCATCGACAACAAAAGAAGAAAAAAATGAAATTGACAATTCCTTATATTTGCATAAATTCACTTTTACTAATCAAATCTTATACAACTGCTATTTATTATATTGAGAGTAATAAATTTATTTGAAAAAAAAATACAGTAATTTTACTGTTTTAATTGGTCCTATTGCTGAATCAGAGCAATTATTCAGTGATTTAAACAAAATTATAAATACATTATTTTTATATATATATATTGATATGTATTGAAAATAGTGACTAAACAATATAAAACATTGAACTACTTAAAATGTTACGATATACATACAATACTAACAAACTATTGAAAAGGATTGATCTTTCTTCAAAATATATTTATGTATTTGCACATTATGTTTCACGATACATAATTGATGTTTAAATAAATTAATTGTTATTAATTATTACACTTGGTCACTCTAAAATTTTAGACATTTCAAACATTTTATCCTCGAAAAAATTACGTTACATTTCATTTCACATGTATACAATTAGATTCTGCAGAATCAAATAAATAATTTATTGACAATTGATATAATTATATAAGCAATAGGCTTATGTTTTATCTTAAAATCATGTTCTTAAGAAATTTATAAAATTAAATCTCTCATAAACAAGAAATAATGTAAGGCTATTCTTATTTCGTACATTTTTATTTTTCACAACTCTCTCTCTCTCTCTCTCTCTCTCCCCCCAGATAAGAACATTTTTTAAAGCACACTTAAATAAAATTAAGTATATTAAATTTATGTTACTACCTTGGTATTATTCAACAGATTAAATTTGATTTGTATTACATATTGTTATGTCAACTCAGAATGAAATTTTTGAACAGGCTTTTCTCTTCATATTTTCAAGTATACAACATAATACAGAAAAAATTATACGATTTTTTAAAAATAACATCAAAATTCTACATTTATTTTTTAACCTTTGTAGAAACATTAAACTTTAATATCACATTGTTAATAGCAACAATAGGAAATGGAAACTGTTATGTTCAGTCCCCCAATTTTATTACAAACTGTTATTAGAACAGAAAATATTGTAGTGAGAAAAGCCTGGTGCAAAACCAACGGTTTTCAATAAAATTGTTTAATTTTTAAAAAATTAGACGTTTAATTTAATTTTTGAGGTTCAAATGTTTTTAATTCAAGTAAATATTGAGCTTAGCTATTAAAATGTACAATTGCTCTTAAGCACTTATTAAACAAAACTATATTTTTCCTGACATTAAATATTAACAGCTTTGGTATAATTGATATCAGCCTTTAATATTACAATTTTGTATTACCTCAGGGAAAAGGCCTGAAAAGAAGAACACTCAGTCCATTAGATGAAAGAACTTATCCCAGATTTAAAAAAAAAATACAAATTCATGTTGCATTTTCCCCAGTTTGCAATATAGATTAAGATATTTGAACTTACAAAGAAATCTGTGTTGATATTGTAGTTTTATTGAGATTTCGACCCATCTGGCTGTTAAAGAGGCTGCGCAAATGATGCTCAAAATGTAAAAAACAAAACAAAAAAACAGATTTCTTGGTTTTTTCAAATGCACTTCATCTAAAACATATAAAAGCTTTGTTTTAAAATATCTTTAAAAGAATTAAATATTGGCATACATATTTTAAACTGATCCATCAAATGGATGAAAAAATCCAGTTCCAATTAATTCATATTGTACAGTGGGTTTTACCAATTGTCTAAGAAATCAAACCCAGTTTTTGGCATGTCTGATTGAAGCATATCGTTCTCATCTTCGAATGATGGTTTTGACGGAGGCGGTGGAGGTGGATTCTTTGGTTTAAGCACATAAGTGTTCTGCTTATTTTTTTCATCAGATGACATTTTTTGTGTTGGTTTGGTTAGTTCTTTTGTCTTTTCATTACTAACAGAATTTTTTTGAACACTATTAATCACTTCAGAACAAAGTACCTTGCGATTGGGTGTATTGTCGATAAATTTACAAAGATTACACTGACTCGTTGAAAACCATGAAAATGTCGATAGCGATTCATAATGCAATGCACTCTGAAACAGTAATATAATAAAATTATTTTCTGATGGTCGTTGATGTCTGCAGGATGATAACATGAAGTTTTGGTCTGCCAGATGTGTAAATGCTAAGCATGAACGACAGACCGAAGCAGCGATGATAGCAGGGCCAGGATGGTTGTCGATCACTTCATCCTGATACCTATCATTAGCTACCATTAAGTCACTTTGGGATAGACTTCTAATAAATTTAGAGAAGCATCTATGAATGTACTCTAATAATAAAAAAATATGTTAATTGTTGCAAATACAATCTAATAAACCACGGAAGATGATAAAATGCCACGTTTCTGACAAAGGGAGAACAAAAGGATATTCTGCAAAATAGAGAACTAATGTTCACCCATTTTAAAAGAAATGCAGAAACAATCCAAAAGAAATAGTTATGCTTTTCCTAATTGATAATAAATCTACATTACAACAACCACAGGCAGACCAGTATGTTCAGAAATGACATAACTAATTGTTCATCTCACAAAGACTTCAATATGAAATTACATCATAACAATAAAAGCAACATCATTAGAGAGTAAAATAAATAAATAATACAATTTCTTACATTTTGGTATGTGTTTTGATAATGGCTTTCCAAATGGGTATCTATAAGCAATTTATTAATTAGATCGTTCCTTTCCTTATTAGTTAATTTTGGCCAAATTGTCTTATTTTCATTCTTAATTCTTGTTATATCTTCTGCCATCCTTTGAGCCACAGGTGTGATATTTTGTAAGTAATCTTGACACAATTCTTCCATATCTGCAGAAAAGATCGCCCTATTTGGAAACGGAAAATCAACAATTAACAAAAAAATAATTTAATTAATTATTTTTATAATTATATAGATTTTATTTATACCATTAATAAACTCTCTTCCACAAAAGTTGCCTTGTATTTGGCTAAAAATCGAACATAACGGTACGACCCTACGAATTTGTCAAGACAAAGGTAAACAGTACCCGTATCAAACAATGTTAGAAATGTAAATATACGCCCAGTACCGGTCGTGATTACTATCGACAAATTTCGATATTTCGATCCTTTGAATATTTTCCCTTTCAGGGTCGATTAATTTGTAGAGACAGGAATCACATCTAAATTTATTTATTTGTATTCACCAGACCAGAGGCTGAATACAATTAAGTATTAAACTATATGTATATTTAATTAGGAATTAGCTAACCAACTCATCAAACTAGCCCCAGAAATAAATTTAAAAAAAATCAAAATTTACTTTTATGTATACACAAAATTTTGCATTAATAATTTATAGGTTCATTTATATACTTGATGCTGCAAGTATCATGCTTAAAATTAACCTTATTCTCCATGTTAAACTTTACTAAAGTACACTCCCAGCCAAAATTATAGGCCACTCTCTCATTTTGTTAATTATTATTCTTGTAATAAAGTTTTATAATTTATCAGCAACAAATAAACATCGTTGTAAACACAGAAACATTTAAAAATCTTTTTATTATTTTCTAGATGTTTGTGTTTTTCAGATTAGAGAAAAACATCAATATTTATATGCCACCCTCAGTTTTTGTCTTTACTGAATTAATATTTTGTTAAATAAAAAAATATAATATGTAATAAATAAATATATAATAAAATGTGTAAAAAATTATTCCGGTGTGTGAATGAGAAGAGCTGATAACAAGAACATTCGCTTTCACCAAGATGATGTCCGCAGAAAAAAAAAAAAAGTTTCAGTTTTACCTGGCGAGTATGGGGTATGATTACCAGATCTCTACATTACTGATTTGTCGGGAAAACTTTTCGAGCAATTTATCTCCATAGAAGAACGCGAACATTTCATTGTAGAAAAGTCAAGCAATATTTGACAAAATGACAAACTTTGTACATCCTTTACAAAAGTTATGGTGCAAGTGTGAAGAACAACTGGCAAGCAACAGCACTAATAGTAATCGGAAAAATAATAATAATAAAAAAAAGAACTGACCTATATTTTTGTTATGTCAGATTTTCATTGATTTTTTTTTTAAATCAAAAAAGTTCTTTTTCAAAAGCCTTGTTAATTAGAATTAATTATTGTGAAAAAATTCATGTGCCAAAAAATTTGAACAGTATTTAACTTAAAATTGGCCTTATGAACTCACATATTAGCCTGATATGAATTGGCAATTGGCTTGATATATGTTTGGGGTAAGGGTAGCGTGGAAAAAAAAGGAACAGTGGCAACAGTGGACGTTGAACCCACAACAGAGGGGCCAAGAGTCGAGACTCGAGAGACTATCACGTTAACCACTCAGCGACCACAGTCCCCACTGAATAAAGTTATTTAAAAAATAAAATAAAAATCATTAGATGAGGTTCATACATGAGGTTTTCAAAAAAGAACAAAGATCTGCAAAAAAATAATGCTATGATAAAAGGGTTACATTGCAAGGTGTATATTATAAAGAAATGTGATGGGATTTTTAAATTTATTTTTGAAATAATGTATAAATTTGTCTTTGAATAAAATACATTTGGAAGAACATTTGATAAATCACCTAAATATTATATACAAACTATTTAACAACCTGTCTCAGGGGCCTGCTAAAGTATTGTTTTTTATTTCAACATCAACAGTGAACACATTTATAAACAAAACTTTAAAACATTTATTTTTTACAATATTAAAAGTTTTTTCTTTTGTTACTTTATAGGTTCCTGAATGTGGGGCCTTTTAAACTGCTTCATTACTTGCAGTTATTACCCTAATTTAAGTCAGTTCATGATTGTCCATTTTGCAGATCTAAAGGCTTTGCAGCAGTCCAAAACAAGAAAAAAGACATCTAGCGAAATATTCTTCTATCCAGACCTTATCTAGCTTAGCACATTAATTGTAAAATCACTGGATCACATATATTATATTATTTATGTTAAACCTGTCAGAATTTCTGAAAAATTACTCTTTTACATGTTTATGCTATAGTTTCTGGCTAAGCCAGTCTAAGGGGACAATTCACACATTTAACAAAAAGTGGGAAAACAACTGACATGTAATAGATGAAGAGAATAAGAAAGGAGTGAAAGAATAGAGATAGAAGGTTTGATATAGCAATAGAATATACAAGAAAGAATAATATTGATTTTGTAACTTAGAAGAATCTAAAGTTAATCTTCATGAAACATTTAATTAAATTTGAAAGGAAATCTTAAAAAGAGAAAGGATGCGTACCAAAATAATAAAAGCTGACAACTCTTTGTTTTATGTTTTCAGTATATCAGAAAGGTAAAAAAACCTTTATTTCCAAATTTTTATGGTGAAAGTTTGATATTTCAACTCACAGTGTTAAAAAGGTTATTATTTTGAAAAATATTGAGATGTGTAAAATGAAAAAGCACAAATCGGGCATGTAAACAAATACTGGAGACAGATACATGGGGACAATCAAGAAGGTGGACAAACAAGAAACCAACAATTTATTACACAAAAATTCTTCACTGAAGATGGGACAATAATCCATATTTATTTCTCATCAAGAAAAAAATAGGGGAAAATTAACAAAATTGTGATAAATATAAAAAACAAACATCTACAGCAATAAATTTAAAAGTGTACAAATAAATAAAACATGTATGTATATTACAAATTTGAACTTACACTTTGCATATATTCATTTACCAATACCATAACCATGTACTGATCATTATGATTCTCTTGCCTTTTCCAAAGCTGAAATTGCCCTCTGTATATAAAAATCTTTATACATGGCTGGCAGTGTTTTGAAAATCTTTAAAGCTTTATTTATATCAGATAGTGCCTGCAATCAAAGAGCAACAATAAAAATGTTTCAATTAAATTTATTCCTTTCATTCTAAACATCCCTAAAATTCTATAATATTAAGCTTAACATGTAAAATAAATAAGCAATCAAATCAAACATTTTACACATTTATTAACAGAATTCAGTGAAACAATCTTAATAAAATAAAGGTAAGATGTGTATTCTTTTTACTTTAAAACAAGGTAATTTATATATTCAAAATGTTTGATTTTATTAATTGAAACAACTTAACTTCTTAGAATGTAAGTAAATTTTTGGTTTTGAGTCACCTACTTTTGAGAGTTACAAGGGAAATGAGTGTGTTCTTAGTAAAAGATCAAATAGAATGAGTGCCGGAAATGAAGTATTTGTTTTATTAGTAAACCGGAAAATTATCTGGAAATCCCAGAGTTGCTGAATCCTCAATAAAAATCATAAATGATCTGTGTGCACGGATGTATGGGGGCATAAAACAAGAAGCTCTCTAAAACAAGAATTTATCTCTATTTCTAGGATTAAGCAAGCAAGCTCAGTATGGGCGTGATGAATCAAGAATAATTTCATACATTATGAAGAGCTCAAAGGCTTTTTGCCATAAAAATGATTAACGAAATGCCATATAGCATGCTTGGTGACTAACATCACTCCCATTAAGGTTAAACAGCTCACCAAAAATTATGAAATAATCCAAGGGAACAAAATTCTGCACAGCAATGAGGGTGAATATGATTGGCCAGTGCATTATAACATGAACGAAAAAATTCACTCTAGACTAGGACAATTTTGCTCTTATAACCAGGCTGAGGAGCTTGCGATTTTTAAGTCTCATGATTAACACAGGCCAGGTGCTATTTGGCAGGAATAAAAAATGTTATTTATATGGATAAAGAATAAAAAATATAAAAAATCATATCCAATTATGTGAGGACATTAGGGTTCAAGCAAAGTGACTCAGTGATGAAGGAATACAACAAACTAATTGTCTTTGCTTGGAGTAAAAGCTTACAAACACTGAATCAAGGTATGGTCTTGAAGAAGAAAGCAAGTTTAGTGAGTTATTTTAAGATCATCAAGGCAAAACAATCTTAAATATGTCTACAGATTGACATATTTAAGTTTTTATAGGTGATCTTAAATTTCATTGAAAACCAATTTAATTCTTCAAGACCATACCTTGATCCAGAGTGTTCGTAAGTGAAAAAGTGGTTGATATTTCTAATGTTGAAAACAGAAACTTTGAGTAAAAGTGTATGTTGACATCCAAGGTAATAAAGAGGCAGATCTACTGGCTAAGGAGGCTGCCTAAGACATCCAGCTACTGGTAGACTACAGCGCCCAGTTATATCTCATCCGTAATTAGAAAACACCTTCTGATAGACTGTTAAAAATAGAATCTTGCATGAAGCAGGTCAACAGAAGGGAAGAAACAAGACATTTTTCCCCAGCTATTGAAGAATTAGTCAAATTGATCTGTACTCATGAACCTAACATTACATGCAGAGATTTGGACTAGCAATATCGCCAGCTTCCTTATTCAAGATGTGAAGCACTGGAGGCAGCAAGAGGGTTATTTAGCATCTCATCCAGAATTCACCTCGTCAAAAAAGAAAACTTTGGAATGTTTTTTCAATTTATTACAAAATTGAATTTGTTCCCTTAATTATATGTAATGTCCTTAATCTTATTAACAAAATTAATAAATAAATAAAAAATAAAATAAATAGATTTTTGCACCTTTATTACATGCTATACTATTTGTGGAGTATGTAGAGAAATAAAAGTAATTAAATTAATTTTTAAAAACCTACCTTTGCAGCTGGAAGAAGGTCTTTATTGCCATAAACATCAGTTTTATCATAGAGCTCATGTGGCAGGTTTTTCCAAAAAACATTTACCCCTATTCCAAATGTTTTTGCAGTCGTATTGTGGTGCCACAATGCTGGTATGTACAGTACATCACCCGGTTTCATAATGCATTCATACTGAGTCGCTTTTACAAAATTCGGAAACTTTTCCACATTCGGACAGTCAATGTCAAGCACTTCCGATTTATCCCCATTCAGATACATATGCTGGGTGTCATGCGGGCTGAAAAGCACGACCCGCTTCTCTCCAGATATTTGCAATAGTATGTTGTCCATGATGTCATAATGCGTCCAGATCTGAACGCCACAAGACCCAATTCTAAAAACGCTGGAGAAGAAATCTGATTTGTCGAATAGTTCTGGGTACTTTATATCACGCGATATTTGCGGAAATTGTTTTTCCACATTGGCAACATCTTTTCCCCTTCGATCTGAACCGGTTGATCGAAGATAATAGCGTTCGTTTTCACACAGAAACCACTTGGTGTTTTTTTCAGCAGCTGCTCGTCTTATAAATTCATCAAAACGAAGCGTTTTATATGTGAAGTTTTTGTTTATAAAACTCATGTTGCCCACTGGGCTTACATGAACTTTAACTTCATTTTCACCTAGAGCCTCAGCCAGGTAATCTACTGTCCATTTTTTAATGCAATCTCCTATATCTATGTTTTTAATGAGTAAAGGCCTCCGCTCATTTGCGATGAATTGTTGAAAATGATCTTTTGAAACATAATCATATATTTCTACAGGTTTAATTTCAATGGACATGATCGCTTACCGTCATCGTCCAACAAACTCCAGGAAATAATATTATATAGCCTGGCAGTTTCTGAAGAAGAAATAAAACAGCAATTATGATTTAATAGACCAAATAGTAAAATTACAACGTTCTACAAATATTCAGGATTACAGGTAAAACAACCGAGAGGTTTTAGATTATACAATGATAAAACCTATGCCTGAAAAACCAATATGTATACAAAATATCTATCGATTAATAAATATCGAAATTGAAAGACAAAAAACAGGATTCAAATAAAATATTTAAGATGAGAAAAATATAAGTAGTTTAGAAAAAAACACCACCATACATTTATACATATTTAAAAACATAAGAGTACAGGGAATTGCTTGATAATAGCAATTAACATCTTTAAAACTGCTATAACGATGAATCTGCTCTTAATGTGACCTCACACTTTCTTCAATTCACACATGACCACAAAATAATCTGAGAACCATTCTGAATGTGACTACGTTTAATTACAGTCCAAACTAGTTAACCTGGAAAAGGAAAAGGACCTGGAAGGTGCATCATATATATGACAATGAACATTAAGAAATGCAACTCTTTTAGCAGACTTAAATCTACCCTATCCTCCCCTTATGTCATATATATTAAGTAGAGTAAAAATTATCAAAGATCTTGGTATTCACTTTCACCAATCTTATCCTTTAAGCACCATATCATCCTTCTAGCCAGTAGAGCGAACTTCTTCAGTAAGGATGTAGTCGACCAGCATGTTATTTCTAGAAGTGCATCAAGGAAAAGATGGTTCTATTCACAGATTTTCACTCATTTCTACTCATAGAAAAACCAAAAAAATCTGTGAGTAATACCATTTTTTGTAAAAAGGGAATCAACATGCTCACCCTACCATCTCCAAAGTAATTGAAATAAATTAAAAAAAAAAATCCAAATTAATTAAAATTGCTACATCAATCAGGGATGTGGCCCAATAAACAAAATTTTATAAACTTGCTAAGCTTTCAGGTGTAAATATTTCACCTTCCTTAGGCAAAGCATCTTTCGCCTTGTATTTTTTAATTTTTTTATAAATTTGCCCTCAGGAAGGCAAAATAGATAAGCCAAAATCTTGGCAAACTTATAAAAGTTTTGTTTATTGTACCAAATCCCTGATCCACTTTTAGAAACAAATTATTATTATTCATCTCTCAGCACTGTGCCGAATTTTATTTCAATTACTTTGGAGAAACATTTTCTAAATATTTTCACTTTCAGGCCATGCTGAACAATATTTAAAAAACAAAATAAAGAATAATAAAAGTTGCCCCTTATACATATAACGTTTCCACTGTAATATTTTTATAACAAAAATTAATAATAAATTCTTCTTTGTTTAATCTTTTTAAAGCAAAATAGGGGGGGGAACAATAAGATTAAGTACAATTTTAAAAGTCTTTATTTACAAAATATTCTTAAAATTAAATTTTTTGTTTGTAAAATAATTCAACGAGCATCAAAAACAACCACTGTAAAAAAAGGTTAAGGAAACTAAATCTGTCAAAAATGTATTAATTACATGGATTAGTAAAATATGTAATAAAAAGGATACGCCTTGTGGTCCTCTTTTTGTACATTATTCTGTAACCGCATTCTATACATCGAATTGGATCCCTTGGTCCTATAGTGTACTCTCGATGGCATTCTGCAAAACAAAAAGATAATAAATGAATAAAATGAAAGAGAAAATCAATATTTGTAATGATTTAAAAAATTCAGTGCTAAAAGTTTAAGTTACTATATGGATAATCAAGGACATATATAACAATTTTTTAATTGAATACAGACTAGTACAACAAACATGTTTTCTCATTTTTCCTTTGGAACAAAACGGCAGTGCAGTTCTTTTCTTACCAATATACCAAGGATGTAACTCTGATATAGGTCTGATGAGGAGGCAGGCTAAGCTCCAAAATGCATATCCAAAAATGAAAAAAATACTTAAAATAGGAATGGAAAAAAAAAAAAATTAACTTCTTGTAGTGGCAACACAAGTCCTAACAAATGGATCAGTTGTTTAGTTTTCTTCTATAGTTTACGACTGCATGATTTTATGTTGCTGAGCTGCTATTTTCTCATTTAATCCTTTCTTCCATTAATTAGCCTCAGAGTGTCACTTTTTATACACTTAAGCATATTGAATATTATAAACACAACCATATTAGTCAAATTAGTTATTAGTCTATTATTTTTTGTGATACTTTTTACAAGTTTGATTTATTTTTAATCTAATAATTGATTTCTTTGCACAATTTTTCACATTAGGTGTGAAACCCTAAAGCAAAGATTAAATGAAAGCATACCTCCACAAATGTACATCATAGGCGTTTTGGCTGCCTGGTCGCTATTTTTCTGGTCCATTGCCTATCGTAAAAGTTGTTTAACCCTAAAACTTGTAAATATTCCAGCTATTTTCAAATTATCACTGGTTTTGCCGAAATCTCATATTTTGCAGGTTCATGCAAAAAAAGTATACAGACGCCTCACGCCAGTACCTTCCGACTGAACCTTCCGCTAGTGTAACCTGTAGGTACTTACTACTTTCCACTTGGTAGTGGGGTTCTCGCTAGTCGGAAATAGTATCGATTACTTGACTTGTATCGACCATTCGGTACTACGTATTACATAGTATTTTTTAATTTTTCCTCTGTTATTGAAAAAGATAAGAAACTGTAATAATTAAATTGTGAAATTTGTCAGTAGATTAGTTTTATTCCGAGACATAATTTGTAGATAATTGAGTTGATTGTTTTGAAGTTGAGATATGTGGACAAAAGATGCTTCTAAATTTAAAAAATGGGTTAAAAATTTGTCGTTCTAACTTGTAAAATATAGAATTTTATCACTTTCGCTCTTCTAAAATATTTTTTGGAAGGCATACACTTTTTATTTTCATCACGTTATTCTAAAGTAGGCTGCTTTTGAATAATTATAAACTTTTTTAAGGAAGATCAAGTCAACTTTCAGTGCTTTTTTTCATATCTAATTATGTGTAGGCAAGACTAATAGCAATAGCAAACAATTTTCTCTTTTTAATTTGATTCAATTTGATACCTCACCAGAAGTATCGAGTAAAAAGTGCTGGTATCGAATAAAGCTTCGATACTATTTCTGCGTGGTAAACGTTCTCTTGCGTTTCGATATATTTATATTGTTCGGCTTCAACGTTTGTTTTGGTTGAGATTACTGGTTTATATTTCTTTTTAAGGAATGGGTTTAATTTGAGATTTAACAACTTAACAATAAACCTAAGAAGTTTTTTTTCTCAAGTGCTGTTTTGGTAATACAGGAGTACATCATAAATGGTTGCCGGCTGCTTAAGGATGTAACAGTTGATTTTTTCCCATCTATTACTTACTATTCTAGTATTTTAACCATAAAATAATAAAACAACAAAATAAAACAAAAGCCATGGGCAACGATAGGGTGAATGCAAGGAGACGAAGTAGGAGTCGTGAGAGGGACAGAAGAGAAAGGAAGAGATCACGAAGTCGTTCGCGAAGATCAAGAAGTAAAAGTCGAGAGAAGGATAGAGACCGGGATAGATTTAAAAGAGCAAATAAGGATGATGGGAAGTCAAACCAGTAAGTTGTTAATCTTTTCACACTTGTGATTACATTTTATTTCTGTTTGCATAATATTTGAAATCGAGTAATTGTTTTTTGTGTTACACCAAACAGTTAGTTGTTCTGTAACTTGGCATAGCTGAGCCTCTAGTGATGCCAGTATTTTTGCGCCACTGCTCTATGCTGACGAATGCAGTGCTTCTCACTCAATTGGTTATCATTTTCCTTAAAGATCTCCATTGCCATTTTCATTGAAATTTTTGTCAGTTTACCTCAATCTAGAACGGAAAAATAAACTGAACAATTTACTAAACTGTGGCTCAGCTTTAGTCTAGTTTTTCTATTTGTTTTTTTAGTTGCATCAGTTTTCATTATTTTTATTGTTGTGTGAGTGTGTGGTTTGGCAAAAAATTAATTATAAACCAATGAGTGGCTGGATAGGAGCACATCTGTTGATGTAAACTAGCTTTGGATAATCAGTAAAGCTATTAAAAAGCCGAAAATAAATGAGATCCTTAAGTCCAAGCTAAATACTGGACATTTCACTGAATAGAAGTGGTCAATTTTCTGACATAATGCCATATGTGATAAACTGACAGATAAATTGTATTTAGGTCTAGAGAGAAATATGTTACTTAAGGAGAAAATAACGTACAAGTGATTGGTTCTAGGAAAAGTAATATGTAAGGGAATTTGGCTCCTGCCTCATCTGATTAGATTAGATTGAAAAGGAGACTAACTCTTTACACCCAATGTACCGCAACCAGTATGTGTCTATTAGCTTTCTACCAATCTCAAAACTTTTTCAAGAATTCTCGTATGTACCCTTTTCTTTAGAAAAGGCCTGGGTTTTTCCTCTTTCAGTTGTAGGAATCAACCTGCATTATACTTTGTACCAACAGAGAACATGCTCCGCTGTCTTTTTCTTCCTGGAAATATTTGCTCAAGCTTGTTTCTTCCGAGTCTATTTATATTTCTCCAGAGTCTGCATTGTCCAGTCAGCACTCAAACTACTATTCTAGTTCTAGTCCTAACATGCTAGTATTTCGTTTGTTAGTTCCTGCTATGGTCATTTGATGAATTTTTTCGCAGGCCTTTGTGCTGGACTAAATTTACATTGTTTGGATTTATTTGTAAACCATTGTCTGATGGATCCACATTTTTTGGCAGTTTGGTATGCCACAAAAGTGTTCCGGGCCAATAGGACTCATCTAACTTTCCCTTGTCCAGCCTCATTTGATTTGATAATTTTATTAGATTTTTTGTATTTTAATAAACTCTTTGTCTTCTGTGGTCAATGAAAATTAATTAAACTAATCATGCTTAGTGAGGACATGACGATATAGTCTTGGGGCATTTGTGGGATAGCAGATGTTTAACTTTTACAATGTTTGACTCATGTAACAACGTAATATATGTCCCGATCGTAATGTGTACTTTGAAATTGGCATTGTGGATTGCATTTATATATTATTTGTTTAAATGTGTGGTGATTACACAGAAAACTGACACTTTGAGTGAGTAGAAATACTTTGATTGAATATTTAAAAAAAATTTTTTTGCATTGTAAAAATTACCTTTTTTCCACATCCTACATGTATTTGTTAAATATAAACAATGTTTGTAAAAATGTTTGTAAATCCCAGGCCCTGAAGATGATCTCAATAAAGAAAATGTTTTTCTGAAACCTACGTCATGCCAGACCGCATCTCACGATTTCCATTTATTCATTCACGAATTATTTGTTTATTCATATTTTTTTTAAACAAAATTGAGCATGCATTTTTTACTGGCAATGTATTTAAATATTTTTAAACTTTCTAGAAACCATAACAAGATTGACTCTAAGGCAGATTTAAAAAAACAGGAAGAAAACAAGAATGAAGTTCCCACACAAAAAAAAGAGCCATTATCTTTAGAAGAACTCTTGGCGAAGAAGAAAGCCGAAGAAGAAGCAAAAAGCAAGGTTTGCATGTTGTTAAATTTTAAAACTAGATTTTACTTCCATTATTACACTTACAAGCGTTATATTTTATTAAATTAATTCCCAGTAGTAATGTTAAGTCCACAGTGTGACAGACAGTGCATTTCTAATTATGAATATTTAGCTAAAACGGAACCAAGTATTCTGTGGTAGTTATTAAATTATAATAGTAGTTAATAAATCAGCTACCATAGAATACCTGGTTTCTTTGTACCTAAATATTCATCATTAGAAAAGCACATTAAATTAATATGTAAATAGAGAATGTAATATTTAAAGCGTGGGAGTGTGTGATTATGAATTTTTTTACTTTTTCTAGCCTAAATTTCTTACAAAAGAGGAACGTGCGGCTGAGGCAATAAGGAAAAGACAGTTGGAGGTAGAGTTGCAAAGGAAACAATTGGAAGAACAAAAGAAAAAATTTGAGTCTTTCCGAGTGCCAGATGAAAATAGGAGAGAACATGATAATAGGTATTCACTAATTTATCACACACTAATTAATTAAATTCAATTAAATGAGGATATGTCTATTTAAAATTTATAATAAAATGATCCCACATTAATCATATTGATTGACCTTAATGCTTTAAAGCTTTGTCAAATTATTGTAGATCAGCGCTAATGATATATGTTTTATTTATTAGTCTTTTTTTTTTATATATGGGAAGCCTCTTTTTTCCTAAAAACATTAGGTGTCTTTACGTCTGGTATACTAAGACATTTTAAAAAATTACATTAATTTTAAATTTATATAAATTGCAGAAGAGAACGACAGCCAAGAGGGTCTCAACCCGAGATTAGGTCCAACGAGGACAAAGAGTTGATAAAAGACAAGGAAAAAGAAGGTGAAGCCATCAAAGAGAGATATTTAGGTCTAATTAAAAAGAAGAGGAGGGTCAGAAGATTAAATGATAGAAAATTTGTATTTGATTGGGATGCCTCAGAAGACACATCTGTAGATTACAATCCACTGTACAAAGAAAGACATCAGGTATACAAATTTAATTTTAAAATTTTATTTACAAAATTTAATTGATGGATGGTAAATTATTTTTTTAAATAACTAATTGTTTATGTAAAGGTATATAAAAAATAATCATAATTCAGTTTTAATTAATGGATTGAGAAATTTACTCTGCCAATCATATTGCACTTTTTTACTCCCTTTTTTCATACATTTTTAACATAATAGTAATTGCCCTACTTTATTGAAAGATGGAAAAAAAATATTTTTATGACAAATTATGGTTTTTTAAAGGCTGAAAATTTATGGAAAATGTTGCATTTGTTATTAATGCAAGATATATTGTTTTAGGTACAATTTTTTGGCAGGGGAAATGTTGCTGGAATAGACATTAAAGCTCAAAAGAGAGATCAATCGAAATTTTATGGCGATCTTCTAGAAAAGAGAAGAACGGAAGCTGAAAAAGAACAAGAGAAGTATGACTTTTTCTTATTTTATCAAGTTGAAATTTATTATTAAAATATGTTATCTGATGAATCTGGTAAAGAAAAATTTATATGAAAAATTGAGAAATCAGCAATAAAAAAAATCCAACGTTAGGTAGAAAGTTAAAAATAAATAGATTTCATTACAAAATTTGCATTGCTTCATCCTTGTGTAAACTTTCCTTTTTCGAAAAGAAAAAAAAATTGACGAATCAAAATATATATTCACAAAATATCTATTTATTTAACTAGAACTTGGATAATAAATCTATAGTTTGTTCAGATCCAATATTGGTCTGCCTATATTTGTTTTGTCATAATTTCAACATGTTAATTTATAATAAAATTACTAAACTAGTGAACTAATTACACTAAAATTTGGGTTTTAATCTTATTTAAAAAATTTAAGGGTACGTTTGAAAAAGGTTAAAAAGAAGGAAGACAAACAAAAGTGGGATGACCGACACTGGTCAGAAAAGGATCTGCCTGAAATGACTGAAAGGGACTGGCGAATATTTCGAGAGGATTACAATATCACTATTAAAGGCAAGTGACATTATATTATTATGTTAAGCCAGAACAATTGATGACATTTAATTTATTCTACAGGAGGAAGAATCCCAGATCCAATTAGAAGTTGGAAAGAGGTCAATTTCCCACCAGAAATCATGGAGATTATTGATAAAGTTGGTTATAAAGATGCTACACCAATTCAAAGACAGGCTATTCCAATTGGTTTACAAGTAAGACTTAAAAAAACATTTATATCCACTTTTTTCCTACAGTGTTTCTTTTGAAAAGTTTTTCCTATTCTTTTTACATTTTCTACTAATAATATATATATATATAGGCTCTATAGCTGAACTAATTTTAATCAAAAGATAAGTTCTCAGTATTTTTGCGTGTTGGAGGTAGCTTGCATAGGTTTCGAATTTGAGGGCAAAATTGTAGTATTGTCTGCATGGTGGTGATGATGGTATGCAAAGTAGGTCAGCAGTATAAACAATATAAAGGATGGGACCAAGAATGCTCCCTTGTGGTACACCAGTTTGTATCTGTCTAATTTTTGAGAACTGTTGCCCCACCTCACTCTCAAGCAGCTGGTTAGAAAGGATTTGCTACATCTAGGCATTCACCTTTATTCTCTTGAGTAGAAACCTTGTTGGATTTTGGAATGATAAGGATGGAAGCTGAATTAGAAGGAATAATTTCATGATTGTCTAGAATGGGTATGAAGCATTTTAAAAGAAGTTTTTTGTGAATTTTGGACAATGAAGGAAGAATACTGATGGGTCTGTAAGCAGATACGTGGTTGAGAGGTTTGTGAGCTTTAGGAAAGAGAATAACGACGGAATATTTCCATAAGAGAGGAAAGTGAATGGTAGGATGGCATTATATATTGTGGTTAAGAAAAGTACGGACTTTTGTTTGAGATTTTGAAGAATGGTGGAGGTAATTAGATTATGCCCAGGGGATTTTTTACTTCTGGGATCAAAAGATAATTTTTTGCCATTCTTTTGTGCTATAGTCCCAACGTCAACTGTGATTTCACTTACCTTTTCTCCATCATGGTATAGATATTAACTAGTCTTACCTTCTCTTTCCCTCCTTTTTTCTTTTCAACCCTCATCCATCCACTCTAAAACCCTGTAATTTATGAGAATTGCTGCAATAATGATTACATGTATATTATTTGTTTTCAGAATCGTGATATTATTGGAGTTGCTGAAACAGGTTCAGGAAAAACATTGGCATTCCTCATTCCTCTATTAATGTGGATCCAATCGCTGCCTAAGATTGAACGATTAGAAGACGCTGACCAAGGACCATACGCCATAATTTTAGCGCCTACACGTGAATTGGCACAACAAATAGAAGAAGAAACAAACAAATTTGGTACTCCTCTTGGTATCAGGACCGTTGTTGTAGTTGGTGGACTTTCCAGAGAGGAGCAAGGATTTAGATTACGTTTGGGTTGTGAAGTATGTGCATTTGTAATTTTTCTATTGATAAGATTTAATATATATTACCTTTGGTTTTAGATTGTAATAGCGACACCTGGTAGATTAATTGATGTGTTGGAAAATCGTTATTTGGTGCTGAATCAGTGTACATATATCGTTCTTGATGAAGCAGATAGGATGATTGATATGGGTTTTGAACCAGGTAAAAATAATTTAATTTATTAATGCTAATATTATGTGAAAGATAGAAAAATATGCATTGTTCAAATATATCCCAAAACTAATCTTGATTCAAATTAATTTTAGATGTACAGAAAATATTGGATTATATGCCAGTGTCAAATTTGAAACCAGATAATGATGACGCTGAAGATGAAACAAAACTTTTGGCAAATTATTACACTAAAAAAAAATACCGTCAAGTAAGTCTCCCAATACAAAATTATTCTATGAGTATGCTTTTTACACAGTGTAAATATTTTATATTCAGACTGTCATGTTCACCGCAACAATGCCTGCCGCGGTTGAAAGGTTGGCACGTACTTATTTGAGGAGACCTGCTGTTGTCTACATTGGTTCAGCTGGTAAACCAACAGAAAGAACGGAACAAATCGTTTACATGATGACGGAACAAGATAAGAGAAAGAAACTAATGGAATTGTTGAACAGAGGCGTTGAACCACCTGTTATTATTTTTGTAAACCAAAAGAAGGGAGCGGATGTATTAGCTAAAGGGCTAGAAAAACTTGGAGTAAATATTGTTTATTATTTTATCAAAAATGCTATCTACAGATTTAATTTATTTTATAAATTTTTTGTTTAGTACAACGCTTGCACACTTCATGGAGGCAAAGGACAAGAACAGAGAGAATATGCTTTGTCCAGCTTGAAGTCTGGAACTAAAGATATCCTTGTAGCTACTGACGTTGCAGGAAGAGGAATTGACATCAAGGATGTATCTATGGTTATTAACTATGATATGGCAAAAACTATCGAAGGTGAGCTAATTGCTTTTTCAGAACCAATTTTTTTTTTTTTTTTTTTGCAAGTTTATATCACATTTATTGTGTGCAAGCGCATAATTATTATTAATTATTAGAGAGATAATATAAATATAATCATTTAGTCAGTCATAAAAATCGATTAAATATGGTATTTTACATGATATATCCACGCATTAAAGAAGTATATTAATATGTTTTTAATACTTTTAGTATAAACTAATTCTTTTGTTTTAGACTATACTCACAGAATTGGTAGAACTGGTCGAGCTGGAAAGACTGGAGTGGCTGTCACATTCCTTACGAAAGATGATTCCGCACTATTTTACGATTTGAAACAAATAATAATCTCCTCCCCAGTTTCCAGTTGCCCACCTGAACTTTTAAACCATCCAGAAGCTCAACACAAGCCGGGAACGGTGGTAGTTGCGAAAAAAAGGAGAGAAGAAAAAATATTTGCTTAATCCCCCCCCCATTATGTGTGGATTTATTATGTTTATTTGAAAGAAAATAAAACGCAAGTTTTATAACTATTTCATCCTGTGTGTTCTTTCAAGCAATATAGCCTATATCGATATTATATTTAAACTATAATTCAAAATATGTACATACATCTCTAAAGTATATTGATTGGCCACAACCAATCTCTTAAGCTATAAGATTTTAATCAAATTTAATGATGATTTTAACGTTTAAAAATTATTTTGAAGAATAATTAACAGGCCTTTTAACGTATATTTCATACAAAAATTAGTTATTAACAATAATTAATAATTAATATTAAACCAAGAGAGCTCAACATTTTTGCATAATAGCACATTCTAGAATCTAGAACATTAGTTGAGTGCAGGGGTGTTGCAGCAGCGCTAGGGCGCTACAAACAACTTTGCTGTCTTTATGAATTTTATATCATAAAATATTGAGAGTGGAGAAAGTAATTCATCAACCGAATCCTACTCCAAACTCACATTCCTTACTAGGAAGAAATCCGCCAGGCCATTTGTGCTCAAAGGGTTGTTGATAGGTAGTCCCAGGATGAAAGGTGTTGGACTTTGAGGTTGGAATGAGGGCCCAGGGGTTTATTGCGCTTCCGAGGACAAATAAGATACAAAACGGGCAATGATTTTGAACTGGAGTGACTGGATTCTTTGGAGGTTGGGACGCTTGGTTGAACCCTACAGTTCAATTCTGTTTATCTAATTTGGCTAATTAGAATTTCAATCTGTTGACAATTATACTTCTGAGTAGCATATATCATCGCTCTTTCATTTTTTTTTGGGGGGGGGACAAGATTAGAGGAGAGGTGATATAATACAGCAAATGGTTATTTGCTGAATCTCATCCATTTCTCAAACCATTCTTCTGAAGAGGAAAGTTGGTACTATTAGTTTCAGAAGGCCACTACTGGTCTGGCTTTATTGAAACTGTTTTTGTGAGAGTACTGTATTGGAATGCCTGCAGTGTACACTGAAAAGAGAGTGAGACCAAGGATGTTGCCTTTGGTAGTTCGGCAGTATAGTAGTTAGGGAAGAAGGATGTTCTGATTTGTAATTGAAAGTACATACTTATCAGACCAATAGGGTTTTAGGAAGGGGGATTAAGTGATTGAAGGATGGCCTTGAATTTCTAGAGCTGGCCCGGGTGCCAATAGATTGAAAGTTCGCCTCATGTTGATGATAATGATGTCTACCACCTTGTAGCACTGTTGAATGGTAGAGGGATGTCTGAATCAAAATGATGGGATGTAATGGCATTGGAGCTTTTAAGGATGGGATATAAGTATTTCAGCGTTTTTTGTTTTTTTTTAATTGTGCAATAATGCAACAACCTGATAGGATTATATGATGTAGGGAGATGCTAAGGTTTTCAAGGTTCGGGAATGGTTTTTAAGATTGATAATTTCCATTGGATTTAAAAGTAGCAGTTCTAAGAACTGAGTTTTAGGAAGATTTTGAAGGATGTGACAGGATGAAGTGACTGATTAGGAATTTGATCTCTGATTGAGTGAAGGGTTCATGGGGAGGGAGGGCACTGTATACTAGTAAAATTTTATTCCATTATGAAATATTTATTATGAAAAAATTCCAAAAAAAAAAAATATTTTAACTAAATGATCATTTTTTAAAACTAATTTACAAACTTTTAATAAGGCAAAAAGAGGGAAAATTAAAAAGGTTGTAGGTTGTGTGTTCAAGTGGATCAAAGTCATGGTTGCTCAAGTGGTTAGAGCAGCGGTGTATTTTGCCGAAAGCCGTGGGTTCGAATCCCGCTCATGACACTAACTTTTTCAATTCAACCAAGACTTTAAATAAAAAGTATAATTAATTGAATTAATTTTTAAATTTTACCTATCCTCTCTGGTGTGATTGCATCTGTCTGGATTCAGCTTCTCGCCATTTTCAATGCTAAGCCTGTAGGTTTAAAAGCTTAAAAATTTGTAAAATTGATAAAATAACATACAGTATAACAAATGAATACAAAAAGTACCAAAAAACTATTAATGATCAAGAGCCAAAAAGAAAATCAAACCATCTTTGGTTGTAGAATAAGGTGTCAAGATTGATGACAAAATATTGTTAAAATTATATAATATATATTTATAAACAAATAATTCTTTTCATACAATAAATAATTTTTACATAACATTTATTGAAAACTTAAACAATTTTGTTGTTGTCTAATAGTGATCACACAGTGGTGGTACAGATTTGTCACCCTTGCACTTAAAGTATAATAAAGTTTAAAAAATAAATTTATTTTATTTAAAATAAAAACAAACATTTTTAAAAAATGAGTTCACAGTATTGCTGTTCATTTATGAACACCTCCATCAACATTATCATTTGAAATTTTTCTAGCCTGTTGCTGTTGCCCAAGCAGAGACGCGGATGACACTAATATATAAGCTTGTTCTGATGTAGGGCACCCTATTTGCGATTGCTCCTCCTTCGTGTAACCACATGTAGACAACAAATGTTGCATCCTTGCAAAATTCCCTAGCACGTTGTTCTGAAATTATAAATAATACATGAATCCATTTAAAACAATAATCATTAATGTTGAATCGCGTAATAATTACTTTGATAGGACGGTACAGGATGAACTCGGTGTCTCTATTTGCTAAATACAGTTGCATCGTTGACTGTAACCCTGGGAGCTTAGATTTGATGTTTTTTATTGTGCTCTGGATCAGCATAGATAAAACTTGAGGAGACGCCCATTTGGTGTTTTTCAACAGAACTTCTTTATTATCCCAGTTCTCAGCCTTAGAAAAATTTAACGATGTTATTTAAGCATTATATCAAACGGAATATAATGTCTCATCTGTTATTTCTTGAAATTTGGGCAGGTATGATTTAAGACAAATTATAACCTCGTTTGTCTTAAATTTCTTATAGATTTTACATAACTTTACCTTTTCTAATACGCTGATGAAATTTGGCATTAAATGGTGTGTAGCGTGCAAAATAAAAGATTCACATGAGCTTTTTAAGCCTCGGTCTACATCTTTTCTGGAATCCAACCATTGTTCCCTTACTTCTGGAGAACCCTCTAGGAGAAATTCTAATAACGAATTATTAGAACTTAGTGAAAAAAGCCTCGTTCTTTTGTTTATAAGTTGAGCAGCTAAAAATAAAAACCAAAAACTTTTTATTTCTTTAAAAGCACAATTTCTAATCAGTATGAAAAAATCTACAGAATACATAATAAGTAAATAATTAAGATTATTAAGTTACCTGCGGTTTTTGTTTTAGAAAAGTCGAGCGCCATTTCTTTTACAGTAAAATCAACTTGGAATGGTGCAATCTGTTCTCTTAAAATGAGTAGATGCTTTATTTGAAACATTTCACCATCTAAATGCGACTAAAATAGGACACCTTTTTAGTAAACAAAACATCTACATAAGAAATTTTAAAAAATTCTTCAAACCTTGTTAAGAGAAATTTGTTGGCTAGCATCTTTTATACTTTTCATGCACAGCGACAAGGCTTCTTGAGAGATACCCTGAAAAGTCGGCTTTTCAACACACCGATAAAGTCGACTGAGACAAAGCAACGTTCTCCTTACTGGTGGGTACCACATCCCGTGTAAATCCGCCGGACTGCCTTTGTATTATTAATGATTACAATATTGCGATACATTTTATTATTTTTCTAAATACCACTTAATGTTGAGAGGGGATTGTTCAATCTCGTCTCTTGTGATGTAGATGAGCTCCCAGAGGTAAGAGATGATTTTGATTCAGATCTGCTTAATGATAATTCCTGTTCGTGTAATGAGTTAGCAATGCTCTAAAAACAGTGAATATGAATTTTTTAAACTTATATCATACAAACAAGTCTGAGACACCAACCCAGTGAGTATATACAGACCATAAATAATGACTAGTAATGTCTAAATTATAGGTTTATCACAAAGAGAAATCTCACAATATACAATGAACCTTCCCCCCCCCCAAAAAAAAACCAAGAAAGAAGAGTTTGTCCATTATTGAGGGGTGCCCATTCTGCAATAGATTTTTTTTTAATCAAGAAAAATGTGTACAACTTAGGACAATAAACAATTATAGTGTTTTTTAAACTTGGTTAAAGAAATTTCATCTTCAAGATGATTCTTAACTTGTTCACTATGGCAATTAATTTTTCGTCTATTCTTTATAAAATTCAAGCATTCAAAATAGCTTTTAATTTTACGTAAGTCTTATGAAGTGTGGTAATAAAAAATACAATTCGGACACGAGAGCCAAGATGTGCCCATTTTGCCAATAACAGACCCAACAAAAAGGGAGGCAATCCTAATTTTCACCAGTCGAACATGTTAGAACTGAGGGGCAAGAATTTTTGATTTCTCCGCAAAGGAGAAACTTTAAAAAAGAAACAGAACATATAAAGGCAAAGCCGTTTCCAGAAAAAAAAAAAAAAGAAATAAGCCTTAAAATGCCTAAACGCTTTTATTCTCCGTTAAAGAGAAGCTTTAGATAAATGTACCTATGTTATCCCCAAAAATGGACTAACAAAACACATTAAATGGACACAGAACAGATATGTGATTAGGAACGGAACTTCCGCCAGAAAAAGTTTCCTAACAGCTGTGACAAAATACAAAATTTATAATAACAAAACAGTTTTTAATGATCGTAACAAATATGTTTTCAGTTGCACATTTAATATATGTATTTTTGATGTTTAGGTCTGTTCTAGAGGGTGACGACAGTGTTCACAACTGGGGAACCAATATAAAGAGGTTTATAATGTATATAAATCCAATCTTTTTTTGCTGGGGAATGCAAAAATTGTCTGTTAAGAAAAGTGGTCACTATAGAGGAGTGCCTGTTAAAAGGAGGAGTTTCACATTCACTGTTTGATAATTTTTCTGAGACCATTGTCTTTTTAGATGATTTCCAAGAGATTTCCCATTCTTGTTTTGGAAGTTTATATATGAAACTTGGAACAAAAGATTTCTTGACTCTTAAGTTATATGTTATAAAAGTTGGACAACCACCAATTTATTCGGATTACCACAGTTTTTCATTACACGTGTAAAAGTAAAAGTGATTTCTGTCAGGAGTACTTAACGCACTACCAACTGGTTATCACAGATGAGGGGTTAAACCACTTTACAATACTTTTTATGTAGTATTCTTAATTAAAATGGGCTATGCCGGGATTTAAAACAAATACTGCTAGCATAACAAATAAGTCGGATGTCCAGGCCACTTGCCCACCATGATTCATATTTAATTATTATTACAAAGATAAATTATCTATCATAAGAGTTTTGCGGCTGAATTACAAAAGTAAAGATGTTCTTTCAATGTCTTAAAACTTCAGACGAAATTGTTAATGTTGTAGTTTTAGAATATAAGAGTATTACTTTTAAAGTTTCAATAATCTGCAAGCTACAAAAATGGCATGATTACAATTAGAATAAATTGAACAATTTTCACATTATGCAAAGAAGAGAGCTTTTAAAGCTGTCAAGGTCCTCTATGATTACATAAAATTCAGGCTTATGCAATTGACTAAATCAAGCAATTTTCCTTCTCTGTCACTATTATTCAATTTTGAGTTGGTGTTTATTTCTCACTGAACTTCAGAGAACTTTTTTAAAAAGCATCTTTATTATTTTTTTTGGAAGGCGTTTTCAAGCACCTCTGACCTCATCATCAGCCAATCTGGCTTTGTTATCCTATCAATCTTCATAAGCTCAAAGGAACTTCAAAAAGGACTACCCAAAGGAAAAACAAAGAATGCTAAAATGATACTGTAAAGTCCAATGAGAAATATTTCGTAATAAAATTTATTTTAGAGTTTATGGCTATGCTTGAAATGAGTATACATATTTTTTTACCTGCATCATATGTAATTTTTCCGGATATGCCAGGTCACCTGGCGATGGTTTGTATTCGGCAACGTCTGTCCTAAGGTACATGTGAGCTCTAAAAACAAGCCTTTCTTGAACGTCTTGAAGAAGCTGTTCTGCAATATTCCCAAAAGCTTTCAAAGCCTCTTCGTTAGCGTTAACTTGTTCCTGGATCATTTCCAAATGTAAAATTGAACAGAGCTCAGCCAATGACTCCAAATGTTTCATGTGAATAACCAAAGGCCTCGTTTTATCATAAAGACAAACACACAAACTCTCTAAGTATGTTCTAAAAAAATTTGTATGTTTAATTCTTACATCAGTATAATTTGCAAATCAATATTGTTAAAATAAAAAATAAATAAAACTTACGTAAATATGTCTGTTTGTTTAGAGAAAAATTGCTGATAAAGTTGATATTCATCAAGCGACACGTGTATGAGAAAAGCACAAACTGATCTCATTAAGGAACACAAGTCAACTACTCCTCCTTTCATTGTATTTGATGCTACAAGTTCGTCTATTGTTTTTAAGACGCTAGGGCTTATTAATTCTTGCCGTTCGCTAACATAAGCTTCATGACATTGAGATAATGTTGTTTCATACCTAGAATCATGATTATTATTTTTTAAATAAATTAAAAAATACTTATTAAATAAATACTAACAAATTTGAATGAGAAACTCGTTCCTCAAGGAGAGCGATTAAAGGTCTTAGATTAGTCTTTGCTACTTGAAATTTAGCATAATGGCTTGCACTACTTGCAGATGCATGCTGGGCTGCCAATTTAAGACCAGAAATAATAGAATCGCGTATTAGGCCAAGCAATCTCCTTAAACATTGCTCATAACGTGACAAATAACTGTAACTCTCTTTATAAGTCATCTAAAAAGAAGATCACTGTGTTAATATTAAAATATCCACTTAAAATGAAAATAAAGAGCAATGTATGTTTTTTATGAGTTGAGCCTGGATTTATATGTAATAAAAATCCTCAAATATGCCATATCATTTGAACCAACAATTAAAAATATGCAGGATGAATGTCATAGACATTACCTGATTAATAATTTAACTTTTTTTAAACCTATACATATTTTTGTTTAGTCTAGTACATATTCATTTTTAAAGGAGATAGAACAGAAAATTTTTGCAACATAAAAAATTATATATATAATAATATATTAAATAATTAAGCTTAATTAACTTCATGATATGAATTCAAGACAATAATAAAAAAAAAAAATTTGCATGTACTTCAAAAAACTTTTCAACGTCAACAGAGCAACTGGATCATGATGCCCTGTATATCTGAATTGTTTCCATTTAAGATTCATTAATTAATGAAATCTTGCATTTTTTCAAGGATTTTTTTTTTAAAATTTGTTTTGTAATATCGTAAGCATTTCTTTTGTAAAATCCTGCATCACTGTGGATTTAATTAATTTCTGTTTTGTGTTGAAAGGAAAAATTTAGACAGCTATTTTAGAAGAAGTTCCCACTTTTTAACGTTTACTAGGTTGAAAATATACATCAGCAAAAAATATTTTTCACATTTCCACAACCCGACTACTTCAGAAGAATTAATTTTTTAGGAAAGGCAAACAATTGCACCATGCATTTTCATTTCAAGAGAATTCTATTGTGTCAGTTCTTTTAAATTGTGTTCCTGAAAGTTAACTGAACACCGAATCAAATTTTAAGCTCTTGTATATTTCTTTTTGTGGTCTTAGTTGCCTGGTTTATTTTTATTTTTCTAACTAATCAACAATATTTTCAGATTTGTAAAATTTTTCAAATAAGCAAAAATATTCAGAATAAAATTTGAACCACTAGAGGTATATTTCTGCTAAATATCTGATCACCATGGTTGTAAATGTTAGCAAAAAGAATATGCAATTGAATACAAATCCGGGCTCTAATTATGAGACAGTACATCATAAAAATAATATATTTGTTTACGTGTGATTTGTGATACTGGATATGATCATTTATTTCATCAAGAATTGACCTGAGGCTTGAATGGTTTTGTATGATCAGCATAGTATTGTCCAAATATTTAACAATCCTCTCCAGCGATTTGAAATGGTTCAGTCTTGCTTTAACTACATCTCTCACTTCCGTTAATTTCATCTGTAAAAAGAAGAGGGATTAGTAAAAGGTCTAATTAAAAACAAAACAACAAAAATCATACTTGATCTGATATGAGTTCTTCGCTGACCTGATGAAGTGAGTTTGTTTTATTAGATACTAATTCATACTCAACTCCTAATTGTTTCAAATGGTCTAAACACTCATCAACCTATAAAAATGACCAAACTTTTATTAATATCACATGTAACGCTAATTTCCACATTCATATATATGACTGACTGACAAGCAAGCAAGCAAGTAAGATTTTAAATAGCTAATTATTTTTCTATATACAATTTCAATTATTGTCTATATTGATTTCCGGTAGGTTTTTCTATTTTTTAAATTATTTGAAGTGCAACAATACCTGAGAAAGTAATAATGAACATTCTCCTTTTTCTTCCAAAAGGTATTGTACATACTCTTTAAAGTTATCGTCTTCTTTTTCATACCATTCATCCTCCTTTTTCATGTACCACTTTATGAACTGTATTAAAAAATAATACAAATTACATTAAAAATAAGATACTAAAACAACAAAAAAAAACAAAAAAAAACATGAATAGCTACCTCACGGATATTATTAACCATATGAGGATCAGTTTTTTCTTTCCTAATACTATTTTTACACTCCATGTCTTCTTCAACCTTTGCCTGTTTATTCTAACAAAAAGTTATTTAGTTAATAAGCATATTGATATTGATATTTCAGATTCAGATTTTGAATATCCTCTGGGATCTGTGGGATGAGGAACCATGATGAACCTCTTACCAAATAATGCACAAAAACATCACTGAAGATGGCAAGAAGCTGAAACGACTCTGACAACAAAACAACAGACCATAATGATCAGAAACAACCAAACAACAGTATCATTTTGCTCGACAGACTCATTTCAGCATTTTGCCACTTTCAGTGGAGGATTCAGAATACCCCACAACAATGCAGATCAATAGAACTGAAAACATGACATCTTCAATATTTACCTGTATGTAGTTAATAAACATATTTATGTGGTTAGGTTCTGATCATTCTGCCCAGCTTATTATCATTTTGAATTGTGATTCAATTGGTACGGGACCAAATAACACATAAACCCCACCACTGATGATGGCAAGAAGCTGATATGAATGACAGATCAAAATGATCTGGAACAACTAAATCACATCATTGTTTTGTCTGTCACTTGTTTCAGCATTTTGCCATTTTCAGTGGTGGATTTGGTGAGTGCCACCGCAACAATGCACACCAATAAGATCAATGGACAAAATACAGTACTTCCACCCTGAAGACCTCAAGAAGAAATCCCATAAGTGGACATAAATTGTGACAGTAACTTTTATTTGGTTCATTGACAAGGAATGGAACCTATTATTGAAAAAAATTGCCTTTCTTGACAATGATCAATTTTGTTTTGATGTTTGTCCAATATGGTATCACTTGGACTGAAAACATTGCCGAAAGAATGTTTTTCAGGGAAATTTTACTTATCATAAAGCACAGAGATTTTACTGATCTCAACTTGTAACACTGTTTAAAATTTATTATAAACAGTTTTAAAATATTTAACAACTGCAATATACCATGCACTTACATGGGTTAACAGTCCTACTTGTTTAATTTCTTGAGTCATATCCAATATTAAATCTTTTTGTTGTACACTTAAAGGTGCCAGAGGTCTGACGGTATTCTCCCAATCGGCGATCATATTATTGACCAAATCCATATTTATGTTGTTAAAACTAAACCGATAACGACAAGTCTGGAGGTAACGTGTGTACCATGTCTAATTTTACACAGATATCGATACTGGTATTACGCCATTCGATACTGGTACTTTTTATTACGCGATGTTCCGGTGAAGTAACGAAGTGCAGGTCTGGGAGAAGATATGAAATACATTAAAATATTATAGAAAAGGCAATTTTCAATTCTAACAAGAGAAATGACGTGGGATCACCGATTTTAATTAAACATTTTTGTTGTGATACTAGTTGGGTAAATATTAGACACGTGTCCGAGCGTTCTCGCCAGGGCTCTAACAGCTAAGAAAAGACAATTTAATAAATTTAAAATTTTTTCTTAAACATGATTTCCGATTTTTTAAAAATGTTTTTCATATAAATTATTTAACTTGCACTTTTGTACGTGTATGTGTATATAAACACTATATTATTTCTAATTAAAAACTTTATTGAATATAATTAAACTAAGTATGTAAAATACTTTTTTTTTACTTACTTAATCAACATATTTTTATGTATTTATTTTCTCATATTATTTTTATAATATTTTAAAATATTTTATATTAATTTACAATGACAATTTAAAAAAATTACATTAACAATGATAAATGTGATCTTTTTTTAGAACTATTTATATGAAACATTCTTTTAAGCTGTTTTCTTACTTTACACGTTGTTTAATATTTAAGTATTTTTTCCTTTGTTTTCTTAGTTTTGCTTTTATATTGTTATATTTTATATGATATATATTTCTACAAGCTTATGATATATCAGTCGGTTTGTTATTTTACCTAATAGGAAAATAATAAGCTGAATCGTATGAGATCAAATACCTACATGAAAAGTTACAAAAACTTTTCCAGAAAAGTAGACCAAAGACTTTTTTAAATTAAAAAAAAAATCAGATTCATTTTAAGCACTGTTTAAAATCCTTAAATAAGAATTTGGGGCGTCAGTGGCCGCAAGGGCTTTCTGTCGTAGCTAAAACTTCGTACTTGAATACCCTCTTTAAAAAAAACTCTATGTACGTTGTTTCACTTTAAAATACATAACTCCTTTTTTGGCTGAACCGGCATTGGATTTCACTCTCGGGTTTGTTGAACTACCCAAACGCGTTTCGATATTTTGCCATCTTCAGTGAAGAATTCAGAAACTCAAAGACCAGGAGTGGAAAAGGACCACATAAGTAACCCAATGCCGGTTAGCATGAGTTCACTCACACTCCAATTCTCCAATTCCAAATTGATCGTTTATACAACCATTGGAAAGCGAACTTGCCTCTTTTTTCAGGCACAGTCAAAAAGTTCATACATTATGTCATTAAAAGTGAGAAGAGTTTGGATAAAATCAACAAAACCATTCCAAAAGTTTTATTTATATTGTATCTCTGATTCTAATTTATTTACGGAAACAAAGTTAACGCCATTACGTGAAGTGGTATAGTGTTGTTATATGGATCTAAACATCTGTAAAGTTTCCTGTGGATTGGTTGAGTTGTTTCAAAGTTACAATTTTTACAATTTGTGACTTTCGAAAAAAGTTAGTTATAAAAGTTTACGTTTAAAGTGTTTTTCTTGAATTCATCAGTATATTTTCATTTATCTCTATATCTAAAACAGTTCTGAGACTGACTGGCAGCAACACACATACAAAACCGCTGGATCTAAAGGGCTGAAATTTCGACAGTGCATTCCTATAAGGACATGGATAGCCGCTAAAAAAGGATTTTTGAAATTCTATTCCTAAGGAGATCATATGGACAATTTTTTTACCATGTATAGACCGAAGTGAACTGAAGAAGACAAGAATTTGAGAAATACCATACTAGCACTCTGCATCGCATTGGAAAGGTACATTAAAACAGTCCCGCGTGGACGAAGTCGTAAAAGCTAGTTACGAAATAAAATCTAACCGTTATTGACATAACTTTCTAAAAAGGAAAACTTTTTAAATTTTTCCACACTCACCCCATCCTTTATAATTTCTGTTATTGACATGGGCTGAAAGTAGCATAATCGTAACTTTGAATTAGGATAAAATACAGAGGGGCTATGAAATGACAACACCCATGAAAAACAAAACTGCCCCAGGCTAATCCAGCTCAAAAATGTCTACTTTTTGTAATAAAAATTCGTATTTAAGAGCTTTAAAGGGTGCTTAAAATAAATCAAATTTTTTTTCTTTTTGCCTAAGTACTTTATTGGATGTGACTTTTCGTTTTTGGAACTTCTCGTATAGGTACCTAATCTCATTTATTACAATTTTGTATGTTATTTTCTTCTCCTGGACAAAAACAAATCAAATGATATATAATAACATTGAAATATATGAACAACCAAAACTGCAACAAATAAAAAACCTATGTAAATCAATTACAACATTTTTTTCTCCTTCTAGGACCTAGTGGCAAGAACGCTCGTACACGTGTTTAATATCTTTCGATCTCGGCCATGTTCCTTAAAAAGTTTGATTCAAATCGGTGCTTTGCAAAGTCTTGTTTTCTCTGTTTTCTCCCTAATCAGAAACTGATTTTCTGTTGTCCATATCCATAAAAAGGAAGGTCACTGCATTCAACTTCGGATGATTGTAGATATTGGCAAAAGAGGTTTGAATTTATTTATAGGTATAAACCTATAAATAAATTCGAACATCTTTTTACATTTCTTCCTCCTCAACACTATAAAAAGAATAGTTTCATAACAGTTCTGTCAAGGCGTCGACTTGGCCTTATCCTGAGCAGTATCAGGATCGTCTTCATACCCTTGCGAAATTCTTTATATAGTGGTGTTCGGACTTCCCAATCTTTGAATTAATTAACTTTATGCAAGTATTTATGCAGAGTTCGAGCTAATTCTCCATACATATCTTTGATCTTCAGCGTCTTGATGGTCTGTAACCAAAGGGAAATTTTTATAACGCTAATAAATGTGCCAATAACTAATATCCTATATAAGTACACTGAAACTCATTAGCTGTAACACACTATCCTTATTTCCTCCCAATCATCAAAATTCGAGATCTTTCTTATATACCATGACCTTTTAATAGTTATTACTATTATACAGCAAACAGTTTAACAGAAGAATGAAAAAGTGAATAGAAATAAAATTAAACTAAGGATTATTGACATAGAAAGTTGCATTTTATCCGAACTTAAATTCCTTACTTTCCAACAAATCTGGCACCCCTGTGGTTTATCTTTAAATTTGTTATTAAGATTTAACCTAATATTACGTTCAATGACAATATATTTGGTACTTAAAATGCTAAGATAATGTAAGTTTTTGTAGAAATAAATTATAATTAAAGAGTGAAATAAGTGAATAAATTCACACGATTGAACAAACAAGAAAATTATAATTTTTGAATGTTATTATTTCCGTAGGTTTATATGTAAAAAAAAAGAAAATTTGAATGATACAATTACTCGATAATTTAAACTTCTTCGACGTTGTCTTCATCCTCGTCAAATTCGCCGGCTTCTTCTGCAGTTGCGTCTTGGTATTGCTGATATTCTGACACTAAGTCATTCATATTTGATTCAGCTTCTGTGAACTCCATTTCGTCCATTCCCTCTCCGGTGTACCAATGTAAGAAGGCCTTCCTCCGGAACATGGAAGTGAACTGTTCGGATACTCGTTTGAAAAGCTCTTGGATTGCGGTCGTATTTCCAATGAAGGTGGATGCCATTTTCAAACCTCGTGGCGGGATGTCGCAGACGGCCGTTTTGCAGTTATTGGGGATCCATTCGACGAAATAAGACGAATTCTTATTTTGGACGTTCAACATCTGCTCGTCCACTTCTTTCATGGACATTCTCCCTCTGAAGATAGCTGCTACTGTGAGGTACCGTCCGTGTCGAGGATCGCATGCTGCCATCATGTTTTTCGCATCGAACATCTGCTGGACCAGTTCTGGTACTGTAAGTGCTCGATACTGCTGCGAGCCTCGCGACGTCAAAGGAGCGAACCCGGGCATGAAAAAGTGCAATCTGGGAAAAGGGACCATGTTGACTGCCAGTTTCCTCAGATCTGAATTGAGTTGGCCAGGAAATCTTAGGCACGTAGTGACTCCGGACATTGTGGCAGAAACCAGATGGTTCAGGTCACCATAAGTTGGAGTCGTGAGTTTCAAAGTTCTGAAGCAAATATCGTATAATGCCTCGTTGTCTATACAAAAAGTTTCGTCAGTATTCTCGACTAGCTGATGGACGGAAAGTGTCGCGTTGTACGGTTCCACTACCGTATCGGACACTTTTGGCGATGGCACGATGCTGAACGTATTCATTATTCTGTCTGGATATTCTTCCCTAATCTTCGAGATTATTAACGTTCCCATTCCAGACCCAGTGCCCCCGCCTAAAGAATGTGTAAGTTGGAATCCCTGCAAGCAATCGCAACTTTCCGCTTCTTTTCTCACGACATCCAATACAGAATCCACTAATTCGGCGCCTTCGGTATAATGCCCTTTCGCCCAGTTGTTCCCAGCACCAGACTGCCCAAAGACAAAATTGTCTGGTCGGAAAATTTGACCGAAAGGACCTGATCTAGTCGAATCCATCGTACCGGGTTCGAGATCTACAAGTACGGCTCTTGGTACATACTTACCCCCAGTTGCTTCGTTATAATACACATTAATCCTCTCCAATTGTAAGTCGCTATCACCGTGATAGGTCCCCGTCGGATCAATTCCATGTTCGTCAGAAATCACCTCCCAAAATTTAGATCCGACTTGATTGCCACATTGGCCGGCTTGGATATGACATATTTCTCTCATTATGACACAACTTTGGAACTTTAAGATTCGAGTTGCATAAATCCAATTGTCTAACCGAAACCAACAAACTATATTTCGTTGTTATTTATGATTCGTATCATATGGTAATTAATTAACTAACATAATACAATTTTTTTCTATTTTTTGTTATTGTATGTTTTGTATTGTACTTTTTGCACATTTTTAAAGACACATTTTGTGGTTGTTTTAAATATTTTTTTAAAAGAATCATGTTTATTTCCCACGTTTTATGCAAAAATTATAAAATAATTTTTTTAAAGTTATATACGAAAATCCACTGTGTAATAGTGTATAATGTATAATGCATTACAGTAGCGTTATATCATCTTGATCGTCTGTTCAGATTTCTCGTCATCGTTAGTGGTGTGTTCTTTGGGTTTTTGTCAATAATGGCCTTTATAAGTTTGCAAAGTATATGCTATGTCTCAGAATTGGATCTTTCTTAATAATTTTGGGTCTGCCTATCCTCGCTTTTTGGCCTGTCAGATGCGTTTCAGCATTTTACTATCTTCATTGGTTGTCTGTGTGTCTCGTTTTCATTGATTTTATTAATTTTAATAACTAGTGCATATATCTTCTAAATAAACGAACATAAAAAATTAACTTGTATTCTTGGTCATTAATGATCATTTTTGTATTTATGCCTTGCTGTTTTAGTACAAACCCACCACTGATGATGGCTAGAAGTCGAACTTCCTGACAAATCAAGAAACCCTATAATAAGCAGAAATAATTAGAAATGATCAAATTATTGGTTTCCTGCAGATCTAAAGAAGAAATATCACAAGATCGTTATTAATGTGCTTCTCTTAAAGACACATTTACATTTTGATTGTTTAAATTATGCAAAAGAATGTACACGAAAATTAATAATTGTAATAGCTTCTTCATGCCTGTTTTAAATTAGTTCGGTCGTTTCAGATCATTTTGATCTACATGTCATCGCTTTTTATGTGTTAGACTCGTTAGATTTCCAATAATCTTAAATGAGGTGACTGCGTGTTTCGGTTCCTCGTCAGCCTCAGTAGTGTGTCTGTTTGTTATTTTTTCAAGGGTGTCCTTTTATAGGTTTTTAAAGGATATGAATGGTCGTCCACAATTATCCTGGTCTGCCTATCCGTGCGTTTTTGTCTGTTAGACGCGTTTCGGTTCCTCGTTATCCTCAGTGGCGTATCTGTGTAATTTTGTCGATTCAGGCCATTTATAAGTGGGTAAAGGATATGAATCGTCGTCTACGATCATTCTGGTCTGTCTATCCTCGCTTTTTGGTCCATCAGTTTCAATGTCATCTTCAGTGGTGTGTCTATATTGTAAGGATTATTAAAAATAAATAGAATTTGATATAAAGTAATTTAATTAAAGTCGCTAGAATACAAAACGCCGTTGTCCCAAACAACCACAACTGCGCAGTTCTCCGTGCGTACTACCGTTAGTCCCGTTTCTTTGTTCTTCCCTCTCGTCAACACCAACCCCTCAGCGTTGCCAACCGTCCCAGTGTTGCCGCCGGTTCTCTTCTAATGTTTCGGAGGGGCGCCTCTTTTCCCTCCTCTTGTCCTCTTCCATAACAATATTATTTAGTCAATCGTGTCCTTTTGTAAGTTTTTAAATAACTCCACGATCATCCTGGTTGCGTATCTCACTTTTTGATCTGTCAGACCGATTTCGGCATTTTGCCATCTTCACTAGTTAACGCATAGATTTCATTAATTGTAATAAAGAGTAGATAAACGTTTTAAATAAAAAAATTAACCTGTAGCTTAGTCGTTAACGAACGTCTGACTTTCTGCTATAGTAGTAGTATTAACCTACTACTGATGATGGCGAGAAGCCAAAACCCGCCAGACAAATCAAAAAAAGCTATGCTAGGCTGGCCTAAAATTTCATAAACGAGATATAAGACCCCCCCTTTACACATCTGACAAAGAAAAATTTCTATACTACGTTAGATACATAATAAACTTCTTACTTAAGTCCTACAAGTAGGCAGAAGTCTCAATTTACTCTTTTGTAATAAATAAATGTGATTTTTATTGAAGAAATCCTTTTGGGTGTAATAAAAAATAAATAGAAATGATTATAGCACAAGTGCTATGTAAGCTTGATACTACTTTCTAAGCAAGCTAATGTTATGATAAAACAATCAAGTACATTATAAAAACAACTATACAAAAATAATTAAATTAAATATAGTAGCTATTTAGTATAATGCACTGTCCACAAAATTAAATTAATTCTCAAAAGCAGTACAATCTATTATTAAAAAAGGTACAAGAAGTGTTAAGTATTGAGGCAAAGGTTTCAGAATTTCAATGGATCTGGTTTTCATTCCTCCTGTACATATGTTGCCCTGTACATTCATGACACGTACATAGTATCAATTTTTTTATTGTTATTATTACTTTTTTATTGAACTATGAAGTTATATAAACCCTTGGGATGCCTGTGTTTTTGAAAAAAAGCCCTCTTTACTTTACCTTAATGGTCTTAATTATCCGTCTGGATAAATCACTTAACCTTTGCAGTCATGGTATCACTTGAAACCCAATATTGAACTGAAGATGTCCATTTTTCTGTTTTTGAATGTAAAAGAGGACAAATGAGGACTTGTCTGTTTTATTATTATTTTATGGGAGATCACAACATCGGAGTTAATATCAACTCTTGGGGTGCTGGTGTTTCTTTAAAAAAAGCCCATAAACTTATTGGTAAGTATGTAGAGTTCGAATGCAGGGCCGCTGGATTTGAACCTGGGATCTTTATCTTGCAGTGATAAGCACCGTATCAATGCCTAAACCGTTGCGGCTACCCCTCCCCCATCTGTATTGCTGAGGGTGATTCTGTGTGAATGAATCACACAGCTGGAGTTTACATCACTGCCTTCAAATGATTGTCCTTTCATTTTAAATAAATTTTGGACCAGTTTGTCTAAAGGTTTTTCCTCCTTCACTAGTTTGTTATTATATGGTTAGGGCTTGTGGTTTAATCTTGCCAGTATTTTCTCTTATTAAAACGAAAATTTAAAAAATTAAATGTTTATTACAAGCAGAGAACAATCTATACACATACACACATGCGCATTACAGAACATTTATCAGTCTCAAGGATATTATAATTTAGCAGTAAACAATAAAGCAACAACCTTCAAAAGTAATTTTAACCTTGATTTTTTTTCTTTTTATAAATGTAAGCTATATTTAATTAAAGAATAACCATTTATGAAAATATTTCCACAGCCACGTTGGCAATTTCATTATATCAATTTTTTGTAATGTTAAGCATGACAATTCTTCTTTTTTATATTTTTAATAAATTACATTTTATTAAAATAACAACAATTCATGCAACGTTCTCAACAGCCAGGTTGTTGGAGATTTCATTGAATAGGAGAGCAACTGAAACAAAAATTATATGTAAATTTATTTCCAAGTATTTGATTTGCACAATAAAAAAAAATAAAAGAACAAAAAAACATACAATTTTCATTGCCAGAATATTTTGCAAAATGTAACGTGGCGGAAAAGTTTTCAATAGTAGTCAAATAGTCCTTCTCGAATTGTTTGATGGTTTCATACATGGGCAAATGTTTTCCTTCTGTATACCACATACGATGAAGTCTGTGACACAATCTGAATATCTAAAAATAGGTAATAATTTAGTAATCATAAAACAACTCAATTGTTTTTTAAATTAAATATAAGTATGTCATAGAAACTAAATTTAGATAATATAATTCACAAATAAAATTTTACCTTCTGCACTGGTTCTTTACAAACATCTTTAGAAGTTAAAAAGCAGTGTCTTTTATAGCTAATAATAAATTCAGTATGTGCTAAAAAAACAATTAATCATATTAGCAGCAATAAAACATATAAATTAGGTGTAAAATAACAGACCAGCTTGAATTGTGTGTAGGTCTCTTGCTTCTTTACAAGCTGTCAAAATTTTCCCTTCAAACTCTGCTTCATTAACATTGCAAAAATGATGGTTCAAGGTGGTCATTGTATGCAGGAGCCACATTCTCAGAGAAAAAAGCGATTGGACTATTAAATAATTGTTTTTGTCTTCTTGTAGATCTTGAAATTGAAAACATGAAAAGTTTGTTAGAAATTAATAATCAATATATTTTATAAATGTTTGATGTCACTTTGAAAGGAAATCATCAAAAAGAAAATGGCAGAATTGGTGGGCCAGATTGGCAGAGAAGCTGTCACATATCAACAGCACTGTTGATAGGAGGACCTCATAAAAGAAGTCATTCTCACCCGATTAAGGATAGCCAAGCTAAGTTGACAGACGAACTTTTGGGTCAAAGCACGTCTTTTTATGTGTCTGGCATGAAAAGAAAGGTTGGTCAATGTGTTGTACCAAATTGAAGGGTGCAATTTCTTGGCACCACATGGAGACTGTATAGGATTACACTGATATTAGAATAGTGCTTGAGCATGGCAGCGAGTATTGGGTCCCCAGTTCCGATTCTTGTAGGATGTTTTATTGTACTGATAGCTTTTGTCCATAGCATGTGTTGAAAGTAAATGTATTTATTGATATGAATGTGTAATGTGAGAAGGCGGATGGTAGAATATTGAGGACCCCCATCAACCCTCAATCAGGTTAGTTATAAATGAGGAATATCAAGTACTCTACCACCTTAAGAATGAATGGTATGTAAATATAAAAGAATGTATTTGAGAATGAATGGGTTTATAATTAGGAACAGATGCATTGGGAACTGAAATGATGGACTGACCTCAACGGTTGGATGGATAAACTTTGGTTCAACCTTGGATTGCCAACATCGGTGGGTAATTATTGAAAGAAGTGATATGCTCAACTTTGTACATGTGTAATCATGTGTACATTCAAGTGAAGATTTGAGCTTATATAAATAAATAATCAGCAAATCAATCATATTTTTGTAAAAGGAGATGAAACACTCACAATTAATAATTAAATTAGTGAATAATTTTGCTTCAGTTTCTATAATTATGTTAGATGGGCTGCTTATCTCAAGAATACAACATTTATTATTAAAAGGAAACTGAATATTAGCGTAGCCCCTATATGACTTGTGTCACACAATTCAAATGACAAAGATAGATGTTATGCATACCATTAAAACGGAGAGAAAGGATTAAAATGTAAGCGAATCTGAGTTGTAAAAGAAATCTGAATAGGTCGTTATACTCCTCAAGGATTTTTTCAGTAATAACTAACCGGAGCTCGGAGTCTACCTGGAAAATAAAGCAAATGACATTTCCAATTAATGAAATGGGCACTCACTGGAGAAAATATGATTTGGTTTCACCCTATATTAAGTTTATTGAAAGATAAGATATTTGCAGTCAAAACCTAAAAGTGGGAATGAGCTCGCATAACATGGCACATTAGTACATTTTTCATGAAGATTTTTTTTTTCAACTTACTTGGTAATTTAAGGTAACTAAGCTTAGAAGTTCTAAAATATTATCAGACTCGATCAAGGCTATCTTTTGTCCTATCAAAAAGCTGAACTTTTGAGCTATAGCCATTGGATAATTTTTGTTTATACATATTCTAAGTTCTTCTGTCCAGTTATAAGTCCATTGTTTTTCCTCACGCATCTGTAAATATAAATTGTTAAAAACATGTAACAATTAACAATGGAAAAAAATATGTGTACCAGTTGATACAATGTATCTGTGAATGGATGTATAAGTTGAAGGAAGTAAACATTTCTCAGAGAGCGAAAATGCTCTAATAATTTGTAATCGTTCAGTAAAATAGAACAGATGAATCCAGCGGGTTCCATGTAAAGTTGTATTGTTTTCACTGCTACTTCTTGGATCGTGACATCAGTGAGGTGGGATTGAAGTTTCATTTCTACGAGTCTCTCTGTAAGACTAATGAAACAGTGAATTTAACTTTAATACTTAATACAATTTAGACAGCAATGATAAAACTTACTTCTCTAAGTCAGTCTTTTTAAATATGGGCTTAATTGGTTTTCTATAGCATTCAAATACTTCATCGAAAATGTCTCCAAACATTATCGTATCCCTGAAGAATTGTGGCTTTTTAATGTATACTAGATCTGAGTTAAGGCCTAAAAATGGTGCTAAACACTTATATGGATCAGATTTGTCGAGTTTTTCATCTTTTGTTGAACAGTCTCCAAGTAATACACATTCTAATTGTTGGCAAAACGTAGTATGAAGGACACCTTTTACAAATACAATTAATTTAAATAACAAGAAAATTTCTCAGATAACAACTCTTGGATAATTGAAAAACTAACTGTAATGATGCTGAGCTTTACAGAAATCAGAATAATTTCCAAGCTGAGACAGGAAATGTACTGATGACAGCGCCCTGTAGCAAATATGTACGAATGGCTCCCAAAAAGTAAGTGAATTACCTCCTAAGCTCTTCACAAATTGTTTGTAAAATTTTACTTCCATTGAGAAATTTTCTAATCCACTCCTTTAACAAAAATTAAAAAAAAACAACTAATAAGTTATGTATTTGAGTATTTTAGTTTTTACTATATTATAAAAAGCAAAAAATTGCTGAATGCAAAAGCATATACTCAACCTTTCACTCTAATAAATACATTTATTCAAGAGCAAAAACACTCACAGAAAAATCCTACCCTAATTTGGTGGGTCTGTGAGGAACTCTAATATTCCACCACATCCCACCCAGCAAAACATGTTGTATTCCAAAAATAAATGAAAAAAGAAGAATTAAGAATTTTTTTACCAAGGTTTCTTTGATATCACCATCATCAGAATCTTACAAATTATTATTAATATTTTAAAAAAATTAAATCTAATCAGAATGTAATTGTAATAATATAATCTCTTGAGAAACAGTGACTGAAGGTATATTATAAATGCCCATACGACATATGCCCGTATTAACCTTTTTGGATACTAACACATGCTCCCCTGCCTTATCATTACATCACCCCCAACTTGATTTATTTTTTATTATGCACTGAATTTCAAAGCATTTACTTTTAATCGCTCCTACTCCTTTTACATTGCACCAATTCTGTTCAAAATTTCACAGTACATTCCTTGGATATACTAACTTATAACTTAATAATAAAAGCAAAACTTAAAATAATTAACTGAAGTTAAAAAAAAGTTGTATTTAATTAAAAATTTATTTGTCTCAAAAGTCTTCATTGTGTATTTTAAGTCATAATAATCAAAATAATAATAATAAATAAATTTGATTACTAATTTATTTAGCTCAATTCTGTACATGTATATACTTACATATACACGAGTTCAGAGTTGAAAAAATATATACATAAAAAATAAATAAGGATACCAAAAACAAAAATATATTCTAATAATTACTGTAAACATAAATAATGTAAATCTAAAACTGAGGTCACTTGCAGGCAAGAGAGTTGGGAAGGAAAGATGAGAGGTAGATAAAAGGACATTCCCAATGCGACATAGATATTGTGGCCAAATGGGTTTTGAGGAAAAGGAATGTATCGTAATTTCAAAAAAGTTTGAGAGAGAGGCCAGATTGTGAACAGAAGGGGGAGAAAAGTGTGAGGAGGTCTTTATTAACAACCAAAGTATCCGCTTCAGATTGGATACACTTCAGGCCATTAGATACTGTGAGTGTCCAGCTAGGGCCCTTAAAAGGCAAAAATCCATGGGTATTAGATACAATCTAATTAGCCCTGAAAAGGTTTACTGTATATGCTTGTGTATGTTTATATATATATATANTTTTTATAACGACATACCTATAAACCACAAACTCGTTTTTTATATCAGCTTTTAAATTTCCAGCCATCATAGATCCTATTATATCCATATACGATCTAAACGAATGTAGGAACAGTCTGAACACATAAATCTTTTTCCAATTTACACAAATCCTGAGGTGATCATAAAGAACAGAAAGTAACCTGAAAGAATCAAAATATAAAGCATTTTATCATTTTATTTAAACTCGTGTTTAACGTGTTTTTACCTCATAGAGCACATCCAGTTTTTGACATCCTCGAAGTTACCATACACTGCCTGTCTATGAATACAAGCAATGAATTTAAATAATTTTAACCAATGACCATTTTTGGTTGTTAATTCGATATATAACCTCCTCAATGAAAAATATGTTTCTAAAATACCGAGTTACAATTTTTTGTGTGTAATAATCAAGTAAATCGTTTTGTAACAAACCTTGCTTTTTTACTTCTGTTTCAATTTTTAAAAGATGTTTTCTATATTCCATTAAAATCCCATCTAATGCCACAGCGTACGAATTATACGTATTTGGTAACTTTGGATTTCCAGCCTTTAAATAATTCACTTTTCGGACGAAAAGCATCAATTCTTGTATAAAAGGGAGATAATGTAGAAAATTTGTCTGCATTACATTTTGAAATGTTAACTAAAAAAACAACAAATACATTGAAAATGAGAAAAAATAAACAATTTAAATATTTTTATTATTTGCATTGTAGGTTGTTGAACATATACTGAAGCTTGGAATTTTATTTATTAACAGTATGTTTCTGTTAATAAATAAAATTTCGTTCTGTAGTATATGTTCAACCTACAATACAAATAATAACATTATAAAATAAACAGAAAAAATCATTTAAAAAAATTAAATATTAGCTAATAGCAATCATGACACAATGACTAGTGGGTAATTAAAACATGATAGACTAGTTCATTAATTTACTTTATTTCTTCAGGATGTTTTTTATTATGGTAATAATGAAAAACTGATACAACTAACCACACTTCAAATTGCATAATTACTTGATCATGATTAGATAAAACTGTTGATTTTTGATTAATATAAAATATGGTTTGTTAAGGCTAGTACACACTCTTAGGCAAAATTGCGCAGTTGTCTATAGACAAATCGCCAATTTTGCATACAGACAGACCCCCAACAAATCCGAGAAGGCTGCCATCCTGCCGTCCAGACCTGCACACCTTAGCTAAAATAGTTTTTGAGATACCAAAACAATTGAGACTGGTATATACACAAAACACTACCATGGGATCATTGCTTGTTTCATATTTTTTTACTACCAACTTCCAAAGTATTGTATGTCCTCTTCTTATTGCATTTTTTAGTCGTCCAATGTAATATCCCATAAGCAAAATTAAGTATGAAAATTGTCTATCAATAGTATTGACTTTTCCACAGACCACTATGTAGATTTGAAAATGTACAAAATAATCAACAAGTAAACAACCAGCACGTAGTTTCTGTTTAAAAAAAAACACACACACACACTGAGAAATGTTGCACAATTTATTTATTTTCCATAAACCAAGCTCCTCTGCACATTACTGGTGAAGAGGTTTTGGAACATCTATCACTAGATTCTAGAAAGGATTAAGGATAACATTCAACCTTTATTATTAAAAAGTTGTCAAATTGCTTTTGCCCCCTTGCTTTCATTATTGTTGAAAAAATCATCCCGACCCTCCTCAAAATTAGCTTTGTAATGTACCAAATGTACCTCAGGGGTCATTACTCGACCCAATCCTTTTCTTAGTATTGATTAAAGATATTTCTCCTTGTTTTTACGCAGTTAATTTCTCCCTCTTTGTTATACCCCCTGAAGGTCTATACTGCTATTCATGATGCTGAGCTTCTGCAAAAATCCTTAAATAAACTCGTTAAGTGGTGTTCATGCAAATGGCATGGAATTAAATGTAAATAAGTGTAAGATTGTTAGTTAATAATCTTGGACAAAGGGTTGTCTTTTACAACTTTAGACTTTTGCCATACAAGACATCCAATTGGACAGGCTGACTACCATTAAAAACCTTGGAATCATCTACTCTAACAACCTGACATTACTTTCTTTGTACCTTAATAATTAATAAGGCAAATTCAATTTTAGGTTTCATACATAACACTACAAAAAAATTTAAGGATGCATATACAAAATGATTGTACTGTTTAAGGCTATGGTCCGTCCCATTTTAGAATACTGTTCAATTGTTTGGTTACATAAGAAAATACTAAATAATTTAATAAAAACTGTTCAACGATTTATTCACACTCTCTGGTTTAAAATTATTAGAACATACTCGGATACACCGTGTGAACTTATTATGAAATCTGCAGAACTGCAACCACTAAACATAAAACGACAAAATAATGACCTGATATTTTCTTAAAAACTCTTAAATATTATGATCGACTGTCCACAATTAATGAATTATTTTCTGCTAAATTTCCATGTTCCAATGTGTTACCAGACAAAAATTATTGTATTAAAAATCTAATTATAATACAAATTATTTAAAATTTAGTCTGATTGCTCAACTCATGGAAACGAGAAATACACTTCCTTTACATTGTGACACTTCTTATCTACCCTTAAGTCATTTTAAACATTTAAAAAAAAATTGATCATAGCAATGCATTTGATATTTGTTCACATATTTCAGTTGTTTCATTAATTTTTATCATTCTTTCTTATTATTTCCTTTACATTTGTTTATAATTTTCTGTAGTTTAATTAAATTTTTATCATCCTTCTCACTTCTTTTATATTTTTATACATATGTGTATTACGAAACAATACTTACAATATTTTATTTGTTTGGTATGTTGAAAATGTCCACATTTTCAATTATTGTTATATGTATATAACATATTAATATTTCAATTATCCATTTTTATTCATGCATAGTTTAACTTCTTGTATAACTTGTAACTGGGTATATTTACCTGCATAAATAAATAAATTTGTTTCATGTTTTCCATACAAGAAAGGAGACCCTAGACTTGCTATTTTTGTCTACATTGAGTTGCAGAACAAGCGATTGCAAAATTTTGTCTATAGACACAAGTTGTGTGATTTTGTCTGAGTGTTTACTAGCCTTTACAGTTTAATGTGAGTTCTCAATTCAGCAAAACACAATTATATAATAGGTTTTGTAAATTTGCTAGTATCTATTATAATCATTACCTAATTAGCCTAAAAAATTTTAATTAATTTTTAAAACTGAACTTACTGGAGATAAGGTAGGTATTGAGAAATTATTCTTAACGAAAAATCCTTGTTTATTCTTTGAAATTAAATAAGTGTTTTTTTCAGGCGGATGAGCTAATATCCATATTAACTCCCTCAGGAGTTTGTATTCACTTATTACAGTTATATTCTCGCTTAGCCTTCCCAATTGTTCCATTTTTTTGCACCTAGAGATAAACATAACATTTTTTAAAACTTCTAAATAAATATTTGAAATTGTATACCATGTTAAGCAAAATGTTTCTTCTGCCCTAAAATGCCCGGTCATACAATCTTTCCTAGGGACATGCTGATAGCTGCATTTCTTCCACCATTGGTATTGGGAATGTTTTGTTAGCCATTCCTCGAGGTCTTTTGCTTTTCTCAGTGGATCTAACTTTTGGTCATTGTTACTAATTTTTACACAATCTGCTTTAAATAAACTTAGAACTTTATCAGCGTCCTCTATAATAGTTGGCGGATCGGTTTTGGAGAGATACGAGGAGGATATGTCAGATTCGAATGACATATCCTCATCCTGTGCATAAAAATGTATCAAAAAATCAGTTCCCAGTTTTATTGTATGTACATTACCGTCAGTAAGTCAAGTTTTTCATTTCCTTCTCTTATATAACCACCCAAATAAGGAACCTCACCAGGTACTTCTTTTGAATGTGATTTTTCTAGAGAGACATCATTCAACAAAATAGGTTCATCGTCTTCAAGCGCATCAGTCGGCTTATAAGAGAGTTTGATAAGTAGATCTATAATACCCCACTTCTCTCTTGCCTTTGCAAAAAGAAAATGAAAATATAAAATAAAGTTTGAATGCAATAAAACAAACTTCATTGAATGGGAAAATTACATTAGATTGTTTGAAATATTCACTGTTTTCATAAGTGTTAACTAATATTTTAAGATTTTTGGCTTTCTGAGTGAATCCATGAAATATGAATTTATCCCAAAAACTCAACAGTTGTTGTTTGACGTCTTGATCATTCACACTTGTGTAATAGTGGGAGAACATGTGATGCCAAGCTGAATCCAAACATCTCGTAAATTCTGGCGAGTGTTTCTGCAAAAATAAAATTTTTAAACATTATTTTTTGACTTACTTTCATCTGAATAATACACATTAAAACATGTATTTCAACTAGAAATAAAATGTGTTGTATAATAACAATAACTCACAAATAAGTAATGACAAATAGTGTATCAATGAAAACGATTTGGTCTGATACGAAGGTGGTTTAATGATGCAGGCACTGAATTTTAATTTTCAAAAAATCTTCATTTCAAAATAAGTATTTTATATATTACAGGTAAATTTTTTTTATAAAATTTTAAAAAGCAATAAAACTATCACTTTAGTTTGTACTCAAATTTATTGTTTCAACAACGAAAGTAATTTAAAAGACCAATTACATTATTCAACAAATTGGCTCAAGAAATGATGAAATTGAATTGATTTTCTTTATGTTTAATTAGTTTTAATTAATTATTCTTTTTATGTAAGAAGTATGTTGTATTTTGGCCGATCACAACCTTCTCTTCGATTGAAACTTCCAGTGACCATCGTGCTGTCCATCGTGTATGATACACCCACGACTTGGGCTATGCAATAGACGCTACATCCATCATTGCCAAAGCATATATCCGAGCGAGATCTTCTTGGCTTAAAACCATGCTTTTAAGGAAAAAAATTAATAATTAATTTTGAAAAAAGTATTTATTAATTTTTTACTCAAATTTATTGTTTCAACAAAGAAAGTAATTTAAAAGACCAATTAACTTATTCAACAAATTGGCTCTAGAGATGATGAAATCGAATTGATTTTCTTTATGTTTAATTAGTTTTAATTAATTATTCTTTTTATGTAAGATCTTTTTTTTTTCGAGGGTTCTCAACAGCAGAGGTTATATCAACCCTCGGGGTGCCAGTCTTTTTGAAAAAAAGCCCATTTGTAAGTATGTCGGGTTCGAATGCAGGGACGCTGGATTTGAACCTGGGACCTTTACCTTATAGTGATGAGCGCTGTGTCAACACCTAAACCGTTGCGGCCACCGACGACCCTTATGGGCTCTCTTGGTTGAGATGAAAAAGTTAATGTGAAGAGCAGGATTCGAACCCATGACCTTTGGCTCAATGCGCCACTGCTCTAACCACTTGAGCTTTTGTGACTGGTAAATAATTAGTATGGTCAATTAGACCATTAAACATAAATGGATTTATGTTTAATCTAAGGAGTAATCTTTGTACCTAGTTATTTTGTAAAATAAATACAAGTATCCAGTTTTTGTCTTTGAGTATGAGATTTATTACAATGTTCAGACTTCCTAAAGTGGGCTTACATCTACAGATATGCTCTTCTTCGGTAGGTCAATTTAAAGAAAAACTGAGGAGGAAAAAATGAAGAAACTTCTTGAAAACTGAACTAAGCTCATGAAGCTATTTATACTAATGATTTATTTTACAGATCAGGATTCAGGTAAACGGACACATAAACAGAGTATGTACGAGAACCTTACATGATAATATTATATCCATTTCAGACCTTTGTATAAATTACACTAGTAATCATAAATAGAGCTCTTGATTGCTATAGAAAGTATGTTAAAAATGTGTATTTTCAATAATGAAAAGAAAAAAATGGCTGACTAAATAAAGTAAACTAAATGAACTAAATAAGAAATCTAGTCATTAAGCCTGTTAATGTTTAATTGTTAAATTGTGAATATTGTTAGTAATTTAATAAAGCTGTTATAGCTATTTATTTATACTCAATTAATTATACACAATTTTTGATTGATTGAGAACATGTATAATTAAGAATAACATGATAAAAATAATAGAAGTTGGTATTAACATTTATTTATTAATTTCTGAAGAGTGTTCATAAAAATCCTCTATAAATTCTGAACTGAGAGATCAACCTGTGGTCCATCCTGTGCACCAAAGTTGTGGCTAACATCTTGGAGAGAGAGAGAGAGAGAGAGACTTAGGCAGGCGCCACACTAGACGGACTGCAATGGAAGTGTCTGTGATGGGGGGGGGGAGAAAGAAAAAAAAGTGAAACCACTTTTCGTTTTGTGTATTTACAAGGCAATGGAGAAGCAGAAGAGAAAGAGAGCACACTGGATTCATCCAATGAATATGAAAAGGGTAGCACATGGTCAATTACACTGTCTGCATGGGGAACTTCAACGCTATCCTGTCAAGTTCTTCCAATACTATGGGATGTTTGACAGAGCGTCTTTAAAATTCCACAGACAGGGCCTGTTCTGAATTTCCGCAATAAATTGGTCCACGTCAATCCTAGATCAGCTTCACTTCCAGTTTGCCTGTCCGACTGCCTGTGCTCTTCTGTTAAGCTTGTCTGTCTTCAGTGCGGTGCACCCCTCTACTTTGTACTGTTTTGATCTGTTTGGACGGAACCCAGCGGAACATTCAGTTGACGGATGATGGTGCACCAACAGAGCTCGACGGAGACATTACGACTGAAATTTCCTGGCTGTTTTGAATGTAAGCTTGTGCAAAGGAAATTTCCGTCGCATTCTGTCTAGTTTGGCACCGGCCTTAGGCTGCATGCAGAGCACAATTGTCAAACAAGAAATCTCTGAAAGATCCTTAAAAGGACAGGAAGAGATAAAACAGTGATAAGACCTGACGATTATAGAGAGTATCTTACGCTATTAATAAAAGCGCTATCCAGAGTACTTGCATGACAGTCCCCTTACTTGTAATTTAGGCAAAGAATAGCTCGAACCAACCATCTGTCTCTCATATAAAGAAATATATTTATAATTCAACCGGTCCTTCAGACGCTTACTCTCAAATAATTTAATATTTTTTTATACAAAAGTAGCTATTATACGAACAAGTAAATCACTGATACATAATTAATTTGATATGTAATTAATGAAATATTCACTCACTTCAAAGCCTGTTATTTGAGTGACTAGATCTTCAAAGTTCGGTCCACAAAGCCGTTTGGTGGCTTCAATATAAGCCATATTGCTGTAAACATTTGCTCTCACATTGACATTAAGAAGGATTTAAAATTTTCCACGTTTTCATGTTTTCACAAATTACAAAAATAGACAACAATCCAGTTGTCAACGTACTTCCCTCCTTTAATAAACAAGATACAGAGTCAATCTATAACAAACGCGGTAAAGGCAACGATGGTATCGATCATCACAGAAACGATGATTATAACTTACCAGTATTGAATCAACTTTACTAGACAGAAGGGCGGTGGGGCCGTCACTGAATACCAAAATTGATCTAAAATGAAAGTGGTTTTTTTATTCCAAAGACGGCCCAAAACCTGCGTAAAATACTTCAAACATTTATTTTCCTTATATGAAAGCCACCCTAAATATTTGCTTTGCAATTTCTCTCCAATGATAAAAGATAAGATATAAGATGAAACCAAACTATCTTTCTGTAAACATTAACAGTATTGTCATTTTGTCAAATAAATTAAATTGGCAAAAACTGGTCATTTGAGTCATAATTAACACAGTTACCAATTGTAAAAAACAAATTGAATTTGAACAAGTAAGAATGAAAACTGAAAAGTTCTCTCCCATATTTGTCAATTGTTTTAATGCATATCAGTTATTTAAGCCTTAACGTGTAAAAGAAACTGAAACTGAACAAAACTGTGA